TAATTCTCGCAATTTGAACAAGAACATCGACAGGCAAATCGCAATCAAAGGTATAACCAGATAATTCCATATTGTCAGGAATTGTAACGATGGGATCATATAAAAGTCCTTGAATATCAGAATGAAATTTAGATTCTCCGCTGAATTTATCACTTTGTTCACCCGAACAGTTAAAATAATACGAAAATATCTGCTCGTTCTTTTGTTCTTCCTGATCCTTCGTTTCTAAAATGATCATTAACATCAATTACATTAAATAAATTGTAAATTGAATGAATTAATGCTACCGTTTTCAGAAAATTCATCGTTTAAAATATCTTTGTTAAAATCAAAAAGATCTTCAATTTCCATTGTTATTCTATTTTTTTGTTTGACAGTAAAAATGTGTAGAGTTTGATGAAATTTGCCGCCGAAAAAACTGTCCGAAAAAAGTCGAAAAATGTCCAATCCCTGATATGCGTTATATTTAAGCCAACCCTGCGCTTCATATATGAAGCAAAATAAGAAATTTTGCGTTCATTGAAAAATAAAGAAATTTTATATTTTCATAGATAGATTTTTATTTAAAAAAGTTAGAAAATATGGCTTTTGCTTCTCCAATGCCTTCTCAACAATTTTTGTGGGATGTTTTCCAGAAGTGAGTAACAGGTTTATTTTAAATACTGAAATAATATTCAAAATGTAAATATGAGTTAAGTATGACTCATCCATTCCCTGGATTTCATCACTTCCTAAATAAACATAGTCCAATCGTAGCACAAAATCGTGAAATGCGTTTCTTTTTTACATTTTATAATGTTATTACTTGATGATTTCGATTATGAAAGTAAATAATATGTCAGGATATTATGTTAAATATTTATCTTTAGGTTGTTTGTTTATTCAATTTTTAAGGGTTGATCGTGATCGTTCTGGATACATATCTGCTGATGAACTACAAGCTGCTTTGAGTAACGGTACCTGGACACCATTCAATCACGAAACAGTTCGTCTAATGATTGGAATGTTTGATAAGCAAAATAATGGTACAGTAAGCTTTCAAGATTTTGGAGCTTTATGGAAGTGAGTTGACAAATTACAAAAATAAATAAATTATTGTGATTCTATTTTTACCTCAGGTATGTCACTGATTGGCAAAATTGTTTCCGAAGCTTTGATACCGATAACAGTGGATCAATCGATAAGAATGAGCTCAAGACAGCACTTACATCTTTCGGTTATCGACTAAGTGACTGGTTAGTTGAGATGTTAGTCAGGAAATTTGATAGAATTGGTCAGGGTACTATCTTGTTTGATGATTTCATTCAGGTATGACTTATTTTTTAATTCAACAATGACGTATAGCAATTATTAATTATCTAATTTTTCAGTGCTGCGTACTTCTATACACTCTAACAGCATCTTTTCGCCAATACGACACGAACCAAAGCGGAGTTATCACAATCCATTATGAGCAATTTTTAAGCATGGTTTTCAGCTTAAAAACATAAAATACTTAAAAAAAATTTCCAAGGCAGTTGAAAGTGCCAATTGAAACCCAAATATTTGTTATCTATTTTATATCTTGTTTCTTCTCCTTTTATTCAATTGAAACTTATCTCCACAATTTTATAATATTATCTATTAATAGATAATTTGCAACAATAGACAAGCTTTTTTTTTGAAACATACTAAGGAAAAGCTTCAAGGAAAAATTCAAATAAAGATAACAAGAAATCGTTTAAGAATTAAAGTGCTATAAGAGTAATGAAGAGGTCATATAAAAACTACTATTTGAATGTTGTAAATTAACGAATTGAATTTGTAATTTTCAATAAATTCTTAAATGATTTAAAAGACAAAAAATAATTGTAGTTTATGTATTAAGAAATTTGTAAAGAAATATATTAAAAAAATTGCTGAAATTTCAAACTTAAGTTAATATCAGATGAACTAGAAACCTATGTAGACGGCATGACTCTTTTCTTCCTTCTTGGAAGATCCTAATCTTGAATTTTTCTTGAATCATGTTAATACAAATTCTATCATGATATTTCCATATAAAGTTTTCAATACATCGACTGATGAAACTTCTATTTATTTTAGATATCTAACGTTCCGAAATCAGTTTCAACTGATTATCGCAGATTTTAAATGCTTTCTCAATATCTAGGCTATTTGTATTTAGATCAAACAAGTTTGATGAATTGACACTTCCAGTTTGGTCAAGTGCTTCAAAAACGATGATGTTTTTCCACTCATTCTGAAGCACAGTTGCTAATTTAAGAATCTCAATGATGATTTCATACATTTTGTTTTCAGAATCAAGATACAATTTCTTGTAGAATTCATTAACAAAAGTTTCATGATGCTGAATGAGTTCAGAAATGTTTCGAGATTTTGAAATTTTAGTATCAAAATGAAGACTCAGACCTTGCAATATCACCATCAAATGACTATGAATTGAATTTATGGTTTGTTGCATTGCAAATCTTGTAAGCGCTAATCTTTTAATAACGAGATCAACCATTTGAAGTTTGGCGTAAGGCAATCTATGTTTGAAGAAGTCAGGGAAGCGAAGTGAAACGAGAATTTCTTGTCCCCATTTGATTTTCAAAAGAAAACGAAAAACTATAGAAAAATAAGAAAGTTTAGAAAATAAGTAAGAATATATTAATTTAAACTTTGACTCACCCTCATTATATTTTTCCATAAATTCGTTCGTGAAAACGCTTCTCAAACTTTGATTAACATTGAAGAAAAGTTTCAACTCATTAATAGCAGAGGGAACGGATATATGACTTATGTTATGATCAATTTCAACACTAAACAATGTCGAAGTTTTTTGATGCCCTCTACTTACTGCATCATTTAAGGCAACAGTAAGTAGATAAGGACTTGCCCACGATAATTCACCAATTTCAATTTGAGGAAATAATTTCACATTGAAGAAGGTAACAAGTTCACAAGACTCCAAAAAAAAAAACACGTCGAATATCTTGAAGATGTTGTTGAACTTGAAATTCATTGAAATAAATCTTCATGACAAAACTATCAGCGATTGAAACTTTTCTATGAAGCAATTCACTGATAACTTGTTGAATGCTGTATTCAAGTGGGATTAGAAGCGATTCTGTACTATTTTTCAACATCTCAAGAAGATTGCGATATGAAAAACTTTGTGTTGTTTTCGATATTTTAGTTGAAAATCGATTGAATGTTGATTTGAATGTGAGTAACATCAAATCATCGTCGTTTGTAATCATCGCATGCTTTAATTCTTCTATTAATTGTCGATTCTTTTCTAAAACATCATAAGATTCATTAAATTCATCACTTTTTGATTCCTCCTTGAATTTAGAAAACTTTTTAATTTCAGTTATCACATTGTTAAGAAACTCTTTAAACAATGGCGTTGTGTCAGTAACAATTTGCCTCATTTCATGAACGCGATCAAGATCACTGATAATTTCTAGACTGAAACTTGCATCTACTGAAATGTCTAAGAATATTTTGATCAAAGGATCACTTAAAATCTTTTCGGAAATGTCATCTCTGAGATAAAAAGATTCTTCTTTTGACTTTACAAAGTTCCGTAGACATATTAAATCAAAATCATTTTCAGATGTTTTTCCAATTATAAATTCAGATTTTAAATCATAGAGTTTAGCTTCGGTCAACCAGACATCAATCATTTCCAAGAATGGTTGAAAACATTTAATGAGAATCATCAAAGAAAGATTTTTCTCTTCTTTCTTGGAACTTGTCCGAACTTTTTCGTGCAAACTTGCGAGTAAATAAGTAGCACAAATATGTGGTGGATAATTCGTTGAATCGAGAACGGATTTAGTGTGAATATTCCATAACATTTCTAACATCTTTGAATGAGATCTTATTTTGTTATGCAAGATGACAATGGTATAGTTTTCTTCTTGTGCTTTGACAATCGCTTCTTGTTCGATTATGAATTCTTCAACTTCATGGAGAAGACTTTGAATGACTTTAAAATAAATTCCAGCTGTATGACTTGTTTTCGATGATTGATATGACTTCAAGCATGCTAATTTCATTTGATACATGAAATTCATTGACCTCACAAAGCTATTGAGGAAGATATTGAGCGTCTCTGCATTTGTACTTGGCAGTGTTACATTGGCATTAAGTATAATTTCATTATTTTCCATTCTAAAGAATTTACAATCACTTGGATTGATAAACATCCAAAATATTTCTCTCATCAAACAATATTCTGAGATTATCGATAACGGATGAGATTTTATGAATCCTAGTGAAGCTTTTGACAAATGTTTTCCCCATAGCTTACAGAAATTTGAGACTGGATGTAAATTTTTTGGCTCAATAGAAGTTACATCTTCAGTCCACCAGGTATGTTGAATATTATCTCTTAACCACTTCTCAGAGTCCTCAAATGTTGTTGTCTTGTATATTTTTGGTTTTTCCGGTGGTTTTAAAGCGTATTTAGAGTTAATTCTTGGCAGATATTCAACTAATTGAGCCTGTTTCCCTTTATTTGACTCTTCTTTAACGTCATCACCTGCATCAGACCAATCACTTAAATCTGAATCTGTATCATTTCTTTGAAGCATAAAATTTTCGTTCAGTAAGGAGGAAATGAAAATATCGCTTTCAACTTTTGGTAGGTTTGACACAACAGATTTGAAAGGAATGACTTCTGTTCCTTTTCTCAGTTTGTTCTTGAGAACTTTAATCGGATTATTAGAAAGAGTAATAAGAAGATTCAATATTGAGTATGTGACGTCTTTTTCATAATGATTTACTGACAATTCATGTGAAACTGTTTCTTCAACAAGCTTTCGGAATTTTTTCTCTATATCGTGTAAATTATCACAGCGAAATTTTTCACAGATTCCATTGATATCCCTTTTGATTTCATGAGTATTTATTGTTAAATATCGTTCAAATTTAAAGTTGGAACAACAGAAAACCATACATGCCTTAAAGTTCTGATCTGACCTCTGGAAACAAATCAAAGAACTTTTTACAAGAACGAAATTCAAGAGAATTCCAATTTACTTACATGAAATCCTGTGAGTTCTTTAATAAGGTTTCGTATATTTTCCTGCACCTGAATATTTCTATAATCCATAACCAAAGCCGTTTAAAAATATTTTGTTTAGATCGCGGAGTTTTCTCAAAGATGTAAACATCTGGATTCAAGTTGAAAAAGAATTTTTCGGCCACTTTTCGGTCGCTTTTTCTAGACCTGAAATTCGCAAAAAAAAACATTTACAAGCCCCTGAGAAATAAAAAAGAGTCGTTTTCAAAAAGTTTGAAAATTCAATTTACAATCAACAATTCAATACAATTACCTACCTAGTTAGTTTTCATGTATATATTATTTTAGTGATAAGAATTTTATGTTGGAAATAAGTGAGAAAAACAGAAACTTCTTGAAATTCTTAATTTTGTAACACTCAGCTGATTCAGAAATTTTCTTTGTTTTGATTATTGAAAAAAAAAAAACATTCATTGTAAAAATTGAATTAGCAACATTCAGTTACTTAACTACAAAGTATAATTTTGTAGTGACCCACCATAAGTTTTTGGGAAAAAAAGATCCTCAAATCTGTTTAATTTGAAGATTTTAAAATATTAATTTAAACAAAAATATTTTTAAAAGTGACGCATCAAGGAAAAAAAAGTTAATTTAATTCAGTTAATTAACCTTATCATGGCTGATCTAGATTCTGGCTTCTGCTATGTGAACTTCAATCAAGATTTCACGTAAGTTGTTGATTCTTTAATAATAATATCGATTTTCCCTCTCCAATCGTTTATTTTCCTTCTTTTTTTCTTCGTCATAAGAAAATAAACATTATTAACATTGTAAAGTTCACTTCAAAGCAAATTATGTAGAAAAAAAAATCAATTTTGAAGTGTTGTGTGTTTAATAATTATAACTAATCAAAACTACATTCATCCCGTTGAGAAAACTTCTTCTGTATTTCTAAAAATTGATACGCAACAATTTGCGTCTTTGCGAACGTCGCACATTTGGAATCGGCCTTGAACATTGCAAATTGTTCTAAAATATTTCGAACGACATTAGTCAATGGTTAATTCAATCCAAGGTCCATTTATGCATGTTAATAACTTATCCAGCTGATATCGTAGGGTCAACAACCTAACTCACCTTCCGTATTTATCATTGTTCATTTCATATTAATATACCTACATACATAAAGAGAAAACTTTTTGGACCTGAGCAGCCTTTATCTAATACCTTTGTCTTTTAGATCATTATCAGTTGGTTACAAAAACGCATACACTTTATACTCGCTCAACTCTGTAGATCAACAGCTTGAAGAGATTTACTCTAGTTACGGTGATGATATCTGTATTGTAGAGAGACTCTTCAGTAGTTCATTGTTGGCTATCGTTTCTTTGAATGCACCAAGGAAACTCAAAGTCTGTCATTTCAAGAAAGGTACAGAGATCTGTAATTATTCTTACTCGAACACAATCAAAACGGTGAAATTGAATCGAGCACGATTGGTGGTATGTCTTGAGGAAAGTCTTTATATTCACAATATTCGTGATATGAAAGTCGTTCACACGATTCGTGATACTCCAACAAATTCTAGTGGTCTCTGTGCGTTAGCTGCTGATTCTGACAATTGCTATTTAGCTTATCCTGGAAGTGTCGTTTCTGGAGAACTGCAAATCTTCGATGCAGTGAATTTACATGCAAAAACAATGATACCAGCTCACGATTCACCTTTGGCAGCGATGGCTTTCAGCTTGAATGGGTCAGAAATTGCAACAGCAAGTGAAAAGGGAACCGTGATTCGGGTTTTTTGTGTAAGCAATGAAAATATTTATTAATAAGTTTTATACATGACAATCAATTCACTCCAGGTCAATGATGGAACTAAACTCTTCGAATTTAGGCGCGGTGTTAAACGATGTGTATCGATCTCTTCCTTATCATTCTCCTCATGCAAGCAATATTTATGCTGTAGCAGTAACACTGAAACAGTTCACATCTTTAAACTTGAAAGATCAGTCATGAGTGGTGAACGATCTGCAAATCTCAATGCGGCTCATAAATCAGGTGATGAAAATTGGATGGGATATTTGAAGAGTACAGTAGCAAATTATCTACCATATGCGTTACCAACACAAGTTACAGATGTGTTCACCCAAGGACGAGCTTTTGCTTCTGCTATGTTGCCAGTTGCAGGTATCAAACATGCTTGCGCAATTACAACAGTTCAAAAGTCTCTCAGGTAAGTAAAAAAAATATAAAAAAATCTTTGCGTTTTGAAAAAATGTTTTTTTTATTTGTAGGCTTCTAGTGGCATCACAAAATGGTTTTATGTACATTTATTCAATTCCATTAGATGGAGGAGAATGTCAACTCATTAAGAAGCACGGTAAAAAGAAAGAAGTGAATGAATTAAAAACAAAATTAGAGTTTCATTTCATTTTTAGATTTAAAAAATATTGACCAGCCATCACCACAACAGAATCAGCAACTCCAACAACAACAAGCGACACTGATTCGTCCTCTAGAATCATTGCCAATAAATGTACCACAACAACATATTTCAACGCCCAAATCATCAGCTGAGGATTAATTAATCGGTTTCTTCATTTCTTTATATACCTATATAATTTTTTCGTAAAAATTCTTAACGCTTAATACATCGTGTCTATTTGGCTAATGCTTGGAATTTTTTGAAAAGTGTGAAAAACAAACACAATTTCATCATTCAGAAAACCGTGATATTTCCTAATAATGAAAAATTCAGCAACGTGAAAATTCAAACAATCTTTTTAGTTTACACATTAAAATATAAACAAAAAATGAGAGTTAAGAAAACTTTTATATTTCAATACATTTTATTCCATTATGTTTTTAATTTTTTTTTTGTTTCACTTGACCATTGATATAGTTTTAATATGAATATTAAAATGAGTAGAAGAAATAAAAGTCATTTGAATTTGATGCTTTTGAGTTTTTTTTTTCTTCCAATTTTTATACTGATTGGCAATTTTCAATTCAACGGCTAACTAGGTAGAATGCGAGTTTTCAACAGTTGAAGTGTAGGTCATGTAAGCGATAATTTTTTTTCTTAATTTCATGTTCATTTATCAATAAATTTCTATTCTATCATTTGATGGAAATAAAAAATGATGCTTCAATAAATTCATATGATATGAACATAAATGAGTAATATTGAGATAAAAGTTTTATTATTTACCAATTTACATAAAAATTTTATTTAAGGGAAAAAGAGATTTAGAAACTGTTGAATAAATAAATAAGTCTCAAATCTAATAAATGCTAAATCTAATTTAGCAGATTTTTCATGTATTTTAGAGAAATCATAAAAAATCCTTGAGAAAATCTTTAATTCCCGTCATTTATCTCATGACAGAAAAATCGAATGTTTTCAATTTTCTTATAAATTTCAGAATGAAGAAAATTAAAGATATGAATAATTTCCCTAAGTGTTTTCTCATGAGAAAAAGAGTTCAATGCTATTGTGACAATAATGTTAAGAAAATCTCCCAATATCAACAAATCTAAACGAATGGACGTGTAGGAGCTTTATAATATTCTCATAGTCAAAAACTTCAACTAAATAATATAAACCAAAGACTTTTAACTATATATTTTATTACTCTTTAATAATATTTTCATAATTGCTACTATATCAAGGTTTTTAAGGAAATATATTTTATTCAATTTTTGATAGTATTAAATGCTATATACATATATGTAAGGCTACATAAATGTCTAAATAATAACAATTATGTTTATTGCCCGAGCGGCCGCTCGTCGGTACTCCCCGGAGGCATACGTTTGCACTACGACGATTTTTCGTTGGCACTTCCTTTGGCTTTTCCTTCAGAAATCAGCGAAAATCACAGAGGTATCAATTCACCACTAACAGTTGACGCTATGATACTGCCATTAACTCTAAATAAGACTACCATAGGGCAACTTAAGAAATTCTTCACTACCTAGTCCAACACATAACTAACTTAAGGCGATAGCCAGTAGTTTTTAGCCAAATGTCCTTCATATGGCGGATCCTAAAGGAAAGCCTTCCCATTAAATGGAGACGATACTCGTATGCCAGATTTGTGTGAGATACGCCTTTTGTGCCGCTCTGGTTGACTACATTATCTTCTTCTTAGTGTCTCTTATTTTCTTAAAAATATAATCTCGTCTTTTCTTTATGGAAAAAGTAAAAGAACAAATTTTTAATCATCAACAATACAATTTTTCAAAATACTAAGAAAATTTCTAAATATTATAGCTAGGTTACATAAAAGCAAATTAATTTTTCAATCTAGATTTGCTTGCTCGTGTCAATTCAGAATCTTCTCGAACACGATTAAATGCATCAGTTTTTAAGAAATCAACAGTTGTGTATGCAACACTTGGGCCATCTTTAATTGATTCATTCAAAGAACTATCCAGAGTAGAAACATTTGAAAATGAGGCTGACCCAACAAAATCATGGATGGTTTTTGGTGGGCTATGATCCAAATCTAAATATTGAAGACGATTTTCAATATTTGGCGTGGTTGGTGTGGTTACTCCAGATATTCCCAATCCAATTGACTGATTCAAAGGCTTTTTACAAAGTTATAAATAATTATGAATATTTTGCTGTAATAATGATTTATTATTAACTTACCAAAGGAGAATCTGCCGTTGACACTAAATCATCAATTCCAACCAGTAACGAAGAATCAATTTCAGAACGTTTCATTGTATTCAACTTAATTAAGAGATAATTATAATTAGCAAGAGATCATAATTCAATTTACAAATATTACTTTAGGTAAAGCTCCTGGCTTTAATTTCCTATTAACTTTTGGAGCCGTTTGATCTGTGGCTTCACTTTTGGCCATTGATAAAGATGGAGAAAGTTCCTTTTTCGGTTTTAAAGTTCGATTAACTTCAGGCGCATGAAATGTGTTAGTTGGAAGTGCATTTGTGAAATCAAATCTAAAGATATTATTTTCACGACTTTCACGTCGACTTTCATGAGGTGCTGCATTCGAATAAAAATTCATTTTTGATACTTGCATAACTCCAATATCATTACGAACTAAATTTGGTGTTGAAGTCATTAAATTTGCGTGAGAGTGCATTGAGAATAATGAATCCATTGTTCTGAAATTCATATGACTTCCACTGAAAACTTGTTGAATGTTAAATGATCGAGGGAAGTCATAACGTTCGTCAACGTATGCTGTGCTTTCCTTTGGACCAATTTGTAAGATTGGAGTAAGATTTTCTTCGGTATCTGATGATTCTTGATTTTTTTCCATTGCCAAACTTATTCGTTTTGATGGTAATGGAAGTGCATTTGATGCCATTTTCATGTAACTCTGTTCAGCTGTGATTGCGATTGAATCGTTCTCAATCGAACTATCAGATGGTCTTGTTTTTCGACATCTTACTTTTGGTTTCATCCATTCATCATCTGTTGATCCACCTTCTGAGTCAGTTGGCGATGAATTAACACTAATTGGATTTTTTTCATTCGTTTTTGATTCTGACATTCTCTCACATGTTGTTGACGAGGTTTGTAAATTATTTCTTTTCGGGGAATTTGGTTGATCATCAGTTAAATTGAAACCGATGTTTGTTATGTGTGATCGGGGTACATCATAAAATTTTGGATCCAATGAATTAAGGGGAGTTTTTGGATCACCGCGATCATTCTAAATGATGGATATATAAAATAAAAATTTAAATAGTGAAATATATTAATGTACTTACAAATAAAACAGGGCTACCACTAAAACAGTCACTTAATGGAATATAAGGACCGGATGAACGATATAAGGAAATATCGTCATTGTCATCATTATTATTAATCTTGTCTTGAGATTTAAGTTTTAAGTTTTCTGGGATTTTTTTGATTGTCCCCGTTATTTTTTTATTAGTAGAAGTTGAAGTTCCTTGAACATGATCAAGTGATTGACGATTAATATCAGATAGATTTGTATATTTCGAATGCACTCCACCCGGATTATTATTTTCAATTTCGGAATTTATAGTTTTAGGTAAACTTGCACAATTGGATTGACGGCGATAAAATACATCATCATTTTCATATTCATTAATCATTGATTTTTGATCAAGTGTTGCAGCTTCATCGTCATGATTAGTGACAGTGGTTTTTTCTTTCTCCACCATGAATTCTTTAGTCTCGTTATCAGCAGTAGGATTAAGATTTTGATCTGAAATGATTTGATATATGTTACCTATGTTGATAATTTATTAAATTATTAAAATTTCAGTTGAACTTACATTGAACTTTCGATACATCAGATGATCCACTTTTTTCTTCTGTTTCTTGAAGATTACAAACTTGACAAATCACCATGACCCAATCACGCATATCATTCTCACTGTCTGCTGCCATGTAATAAGTTCGATTCGGGGTTTTCATATCAAACATATGTTGGAATTTAATATTTTGTCTATCTAATCGCAATCCTGCGTCAACTTGTTCTACTTGATCGAGATCAATGACCCCTTTTCGTTTTCGGCAGCTTGTATCAGTGAAATATTCTAGAAAAAATTGACCAGGAAGCTCTCCTTGTTTCAATGTAAACCAACGTCTTCGCCATCGCTAAATTGTTAAAAATATGTGCTTGATATATATTTTCTTATATTTGTGTGGAAATTTGAGACGAACTTACTGCTCTAAATATTCCACGAGGATAGGGTGGACTCTTCACTAACCATCCTTGATGAAAAATTTCAGCATTTTTTCTATGCATTCTTAGAAGCTTGTTGATGAATCAGTTTCTAAATTTAATGTAAAATCTTTGAAATTCTACTCGATATTTTCCTCTTTTTCATTAATAAAGCATTTTAAACCGAATATACTTTAAATAAATTTATGCTTACATATGAAATTTATGAATCAAGAATTATCATTTTTCTGAATCGACTTTTTCCGAAAAAACATAAAATGTAAAAATTATTACATATTATTAAATAAAAAAAAGATTATTTTTTTACGGCTGTTTCTAACGATATTCATCAAAATTTGATAACTTTAATTTATTTTATTACTTTTGACACAGTAACAATCCACTAGAAAATTTAAAAAAAAGTAACATATGTGAAAAGAAAGACTAATTCTTTTATTTTCATAAAGATCAAGATGTAAAAGTTTTTACTTCTATTTTAACTAATAGTTGTTTAAATGATCCGCGAGATGACGTCGTATGTACACATGAACTGTGAGAGTAAAAATCAACGCTGTGAGGTTTTTCCAAGCTGTGAGAATTTTTTTTGCCTCAGAAGACTGGAAATATATATACCTACCTACTTTTCATCAGATTTTGTGTTATAAGACAATTCAAATAACACTCTCTACCTGAAACTCGTTTCCCCAAACTAGAAGTCAGTTTCGGGTGGAGAGTGTTCAATCAGCTTCAGACAATTTATTCAGCTTCAGACTGGGTTTTTGGTACCACTTTGTATGGAAAATGAATTTTTTTGTATAGAAAACCTCGGTCCGCGGAAAAACTAACTAGTTTATGCCCGGGTCACGGGCCCCTTCCATACATCACTGCAAGGACATATTGCAACTACGCCTATCGAGGGGTAGATATTAAGACTACCTAATATTTATGGTTTGTGTCTATGTTTTAAAATATTTTAATTTGAGTAAAAATAATATTAAAAAGAAGATAAACAACTGTAAACTCTAATCGGTAAGCCAGATTTAATTTCTTATATGGTTTGCCATCTATTATTCATAAAAGAATAGCCCTGGAAGCTATAAATATCCTGAAAAACATTGGAAAACGAAAATATTTTTGCATGAATAATCATCGAACCTCCCCAATGGCTTCACTTTCCTGTTTTTTTCTTTCTTCTAAATTTATAGAATATCACCACTACATAGTTATTAACAGTTTGATTGAATAATCATTATGGCCCGACAACTCAATCCAGCACATCAGAAAATATCTGAAAAATTGATCATTTTAAACGACAGAGGTAATGGAATTTTAACCAGAATTTATAACATAAAAAAAGCTTGCGGAGATGCAAAATCAAAGCCGGGATTTCTTTCTGATAAGTCTCTTGAATCATCAATCAAGTTTATTATTAAGCGATTTCCAAACATTGATACGAAAGGTCTTTCAGCTATTACCAACATAAGAGTTGAAATTATAAAGTCTTTATCGCTTTATTACTACACATTTGTTGATTTACTCGACTTCAAAGACAATGTTTGTGAAATGTTAACAACAATGGATGCACTACAAATATATCTGGATATCAGTGTTAATCATGAATTGACGAAGAATTATTTAGAGTTGGTGACAACTTATGTATCTTTAATGATTTTACTTTCACGGGTTGAAGACCGCAAAGCAGTATTGGGATTATTTAATGCAGCATTTGAGATGCAGAACAATGGGAGTGATCCAAATTTCCCAAGATTAGGACAACTTATTGTTGATTACGATCATCCAATGCGAAAGCTTTCTGATGAATTCATTCCACATCAAAGGTTACTTTCAAGTGCATTAAAATCATTGGTACAAGTTCATCCAATGCGAAGTGTCACAGCAGAGAAATGGCGTGAAATGCAAATCTTGACACTTGTAGGGAATCAAGCAACTCTTCTGAAACCATCAAAAACTGATACAATGTCTTGCGAATATGTTTCACTTGAAGTATTAGATCGTTGGATAATCTTTGGTTTGATGTTAAATCATCAAATGCTTGGTCAATCATCTCAAATTACAACCATGTGGATATCAGCACTCGAATCTTCATGGGTCGTTGCCTTGTTCAGAGATGAAGTTATTTATATTCATCAATATATTCAGAATGCTTTTGAAGGATTAAAAGGATATAGCAAAAGAGTATCAGAAGTTAAAGATTGCTACAATCATGCTATTCAAAAAGCATCATTAATGCATCGTGAACGTCGAAAATTTCTAAGAACTGCTTTGAAGGAGTTGGCATTAATTCTAACTGATCAACCAGGCTTACTCGGTCCAAAAGCTCTTTTTGTCTTGAATGGGTTATGCTATGCTCGAGATGAAATATTATGGTTGCTCCGTCATAATGATAATCCACCAATAAGCTCAAAAGCAAAAGGAAAGTCAACAGAAGATCTTGTTGATCGTCAACTCCCTGAGCTCTTATTTCATATGGAAGAATTACGAGGATTGGTTCGAAAGTATAGTCAAGTTATACAACGATATTATGTACAATATCTTTCTGGATATGATGCTGTTGAGTTGAATATTAAAATTCAAAACCTTCAAGTTTGTCCTGAAGACGAAAGTATAATAATTTCTTCTCTTTATCAAACAATTTCATCTTTGACAGTTAAACAAGTTGAAATGGCAGAAACTTTTGATTTTCGTGCTTTTCGTCTTGACTGGTTTCGTTTACAAAGCTATATGAGTGTTGCAAAAGCTGCTATTAAAATCACCGATCATGTTGATTTAGCTCGTCTTTTTGACTCAATGATTTTCCACACACGAATGATTGATAATCTCGATGAAACACTTGTCGAAACATCTGACTTGTCGATATTTTGCTTTTATAGTAAAATGCTTGAAGATCAATTTCATATGTGTCTTGAGTTTCCAGCTCAAAATCGTTACATCATTGCATTTCCATTAATTTGCAGCCATTTTCAAAACTGCACACATGAAATGTGTCCTGAAGAACGTCATCATATACTTGAACGATCTATATCAGTTGTTAATATGTTTCTTGATGAAATGGCGAAGGAGGCTAAAAATATTATAACAGTAAGTTTAATTAATTTTTCTTTCAGTTGGTAATTTTAATTTATTTTCTTTTTAGACAATTTGTGATGAACAATGTATGATGGCTGATGCTTTATTACCCAAACATTGTGCAAAAATATTATCAGTTTCAACGCAACGAAAGAAGAAAGATAAATTAAAGAAACATTTAGATGATGTTCGAAGACCTGGGGATGAAAGTTTTCGTAAAACACGGGAAGAGCTTACAACAATGGATAAATTGCACATGGCATTAACTGAATTGTGTTTTGCAATTAATTATTGTCCAACAGTTAACGTTTGGGAGTACGCATTTGCACCTCGTGAATATCTTTGTCAGCACTTAGAGACGAGATTCTCACGAGCACTTGTTGGAATGGTAATGTATAATGCAGAAACCATGGAAATTGCCAAACCATCGGAACTTCTTGCTTCAGTACGTGCATATATGAATGTGTTGCAAACTGTTGAGCATTATGTGAATATTGATATGACGAGAATATTCAACAATTGTCTTTTACAACAAACACAATCGATTGATAGTCATGGAGAGAAGACAATTGCGGCACATTACAATACTTGGTATTCCGATGTTTTATTGAGAAAAGTGAGTGGAGGAAATATTGTTTTCAGTATGAATCAACGAGCCTTTGTATCTATAACACCTGAAGGGTGCATTCCATTTAATCCTGAAGAATTTTCAGATTTTAATGAGCTTCGTTCATTGGCTGAATTAATTGGACCATACGGTATAAAGTTGATTAATGAACAACTTATGTGGCATATTGCAAATCAAGTACAAGAATTAAAACGAATGGTTGGAATGAATAAGGAGACTTTAATCATTTTACGAAGTAATTTCGATAAACCGGAAATTATGAAAGAACATTTTAAAAAACTTCAATATGTTGACAATGTTCTTCAAAGAATGACAATTATTGGCGTCATCTTAAGCTTTCGTCAACTTTTACAAGAAGCTCTTTTAGATGTTCTTGAACAGAGAATTCCTTTTCTCGTAACTTCAATGAGAGATTTCCAAAATCATGTTCCAGGTGGCGATCCTTTGAAAATTGTATCAGAAATGGCATCGGCTGCAGGGCTAGCATGCAAAGTTGATCCGACATTATTGAATGCATTACGTGCGCAAAAACCAGAAATTGATGACAGCGAACATTTAAGTGTATTACTTTTGATGGTTTTTGTTGCTGTTTCTATTCCAAAACTAGCCAAAAATGAGCAATCATTCTATCGTGCCACATACGAAGCTCATATAAACAACACACATTGTCTTGCTTTAGCAGTTAATAATATTTTTGGTGCGCTCTTTACAATTTGCGGACAAAATGATATCGAAGATCGTATGGCAGAATTTTTAGCATTAGCAAGCTCGTCATTGTTACGTCTTGGACAAGAAACTGAGAAGGAGAATATTAAAAACCGAGAATCAATTTATTTGTTGCTCCATCAGATTGTACAAGAATCACCGTTTCTTACTATGGATCTCCTTGAATCTTGCTTCCCATATGCATTAATTCGTAATGCGTTTCATGCTGTTTATAAACAAGAGCAGACTGGAATATAGGTGAGGAGCATATGAAATTTACATCTTCATTGTATTGATCTTTAATTTGTCATTGTACTATAGGTATGTTTTCTGCTAGCTGCGACTCCTGTAGTGCTTCCACTTAGTCGAATGCGTTTCAGTGGTCCCGTATATACAATGTATTACGAGCTAGCTGAAAATACTTAGTATTCGTTAAAGATGAAAAATAAATTTCAATTTTAACTGCATTTACTCTCGAGACATTTTAAGAGTGGTATAAAATGTCTAAGTATTTAGGAAATCAAATCTCTACATAATACCTACATACCTTTATATTTAATCAAATACCTATATGATTCAAAAAATTCGTCTAAGAAAATATTTAGTAATAAAAAGCATAAATAATCACTGTTCTTCACAAAAGTGAACTTTCACAATTTAAATCATGCATCTACACCTATATGGGGATATTTTTTAGAATTAAGTACAATTGAACCGATGTTTACCTTATTTTTACCTTCTTTAATCAAATGCTTTAAAATACAAAACAAATGATATTTTAAACATTGAATATTGCAATCTTGTTCTTATTATTATTATCTATGTATCTATATTAAAAAGTTGCATTTTAAATATTTAATAAAAAATACATTTAAGGAATAATTATTAGGTAGGTATATTCTTGAATTTATGATTGATTGTGTTCTAAATCGTATTGTTTTTCAAAAATAAACGGTTTCACATTCAAAACTGGTCGAATCGGAATCCGAGATTAAAACGTGTTTTTGAAATTAAACAAAATCGTCTTTTTCCGTTTTTCAAATGTATTTGAAACTTCACAGTATTTTAAAAAAGCTTCTACTTTTTTTTTATAATTCACAGCTTTTAAAATTAACGTTGAAATAAACTTTGTGAATGGGTCTCTCTTGGAGAGCGTAACGAAGCAGTCACGAAATTATTACATCTCTGAATTTAATTTAAATATAGTTAGGAAAAGTGGAATATTTCAACTAAAATAAATGATTTCTTTGCAATACTTTAAAGAAAGCAGTTTCAGGTGGAGAGTGAGAAATCTCGCCAATGAGACCCGATTTTAACTTTGTATGAAAAACCGGATTCGGTTTGCTCGGTTTTTTATAAGTAGAATCAGGGTGTCAAAGTACCTTAATCTCTCTTTAATCTAATCCAAATGTCATTCTCGTTCACCCAGGTGAAGTCAAGTTCGCTTTTTTGCCACGAATATCTCGTAACCAGTTAATTTTATAGGTGATTAACATTAAAGGTTAAGGAGGACATCCCATCTGATAAGCGTTTCTAAAGAAGTTATTAAGGAAAAATATTTGCTGTATTGCATACCCTTTATGAGTTAACTCAGGAGAGACGTCGGACTACCCAGCTCTGGTAGTTTTTCCGCGGACCGGAAAAACCAGTTTTCATGTACAAAGCGGAACTTACCAAAAGGGCAGAAATTCCAAGAGATTTCTGAAATTCCAAGTAATTCCACACTCTCCACCTTAAACTAACTTTCTGGGAGGCGAGTGTCAGGTAGAGAGTGTGAAATTTGGAAGGAATCCGAGTTCGGATTGTTTTTCCGCGGACCGAATTCATTTTTAATCTGAAGATTAATATTTCATACTTGTATTAATTCAATTATAAACGCTTCAGGTGATATGTTTATATGATATTTAAGTCCTTTAGTTTGTGACGTATGAAGTGTTATAGTGAAGAAACCAGGAATGATGAGTTGCAAGAAAACTTTAAACAAAGAGAAGTGAAAAAAGTCAAAAAAGTGAAGTGAGAAGAAAAAGAAAATATTGTTTGAGAAAATTTTGAATAAAGATAGAATTCTAATAAGTTTTAAATTTTTCATCAGAAACTTGAAAGTTTATAATTTCTTTAAAATATAAACGAAGAAAATATTTTCACACGACACAACAGTGAAGAAAAGCTATTTGTTCAAGAACTGGTAAATTAAATTGATATTCATCACTCTGAAAAGAGTGATAAAGCTTCACTTTAAATAACCTGACGAAGATAAGAAAATCACTCATCTAGTAAAGGATTAAATAAATCAATCTGATGCAATAAGAAGAGGATAATCAACTATATTCACTCCAAAAAATTTTTTAAAGACAAGGTAAAAAAAGAGTGAAACCAGGAAATTTTCATATATTTTTTAAATAAGAATGTCTTCTCGTCACTGTTTCACGTCAGCATTCCCTTAATTCCCATGGTCATTTCTGACCAATATCAAGTGATTATTTATAAATAAGATTGCGAGGCCGCACGAAAGAATTATTCTTGTTATTAGTTTTATTAGTCAAACAAAGAGGAAAAATGTAGATAGTGATACATAGTATACATAGTATACATAGTATAATTGACAATTGTGAGTCACGTGTGTCTTTCGTATTTGGTGTTAATTGTTTTATGTCGTCATTATTTTTAATTTATTAATTCTTGGAAAAGGAGAATTTCATTATTTCAAATAACGAGAGTCTTGTAAAATTATCTTAAAATGTCTTCTGCATCATTCAATGTTTTTTTATAGTATGATTTGATAAGTCAACGAATCATCACTCATGGAGTTAATATATAAAGGGATGGTGTAAAAATTGGATGTAGCAATAAACAATGGGTTATGGACGTGAAATTGATTGTCGTTGCGTCTCCGATATCAAATACAAAAATATGTACAGTGCAAGGTACAGTGCTTGTTTGATATAAGCAATGTCGCGTATATATTACATTGATTGCTATTTAATGAGTTTTCTATCGATAAGATTCCTAATATGCATTAATATTCAAACTTTTTTTTATTAATAACTTTGTTTCCCATAAGTTTAATATTTTGTTGATATGAGCTATTATTTATGTCGTTATAAATGTTTATAAAACTATTTTAAAATTTTAAATCGCTAGATTGAAGTGAAAAAATAACTAATTGAGTCAAATTTTGAAAAAAAAATCTCAAAATTTTTCCAAAAAAAGTGATAATGAAATTGTTGTCAAGCTCTCTCCCTCTAGGCCTCTATATATAAATAAAAGAATCATTTGATAAGTATCGCGTGTTACCAATGTATAACGAATTTAAAAAGTAAATTAATCATTTAAGTGAGAAACATTTATTAACAATGGAAGCACATCGTGATTTTTATACAAAATATTAGAAGTAAATTTTTTGGCTTTCCTGTGAAATTTGGAAATTTTTTAACTGTTCATATTTTTCAAATTTGATAATATTTTTGACTGTAAATATGCAACTGATTTTACGAGTACTGTTAGTTACTTAGTTGAAGTATACCAGTCACTTTTACGACCACAATAAAATTGTTCTCTTATCTCATAACAATGTTAGATAATACTGCAAAGTTTAAATGATAAGAAAGAAAATAAGTTGGAAAGCATTTGTAGAGTATGTTGCTATTTTACCACCATTCAGTTTTTCTCTCATGTTTTATCTCTGCATTATGAATAATCACAATTTATTAAACTTTTGTGTAGATTAAAATTGAGAAATAAACTGAAAAAAAAAAGCCTAGAGATGTTTTCTCGGAAATTTAGACGCAGTTCACAAAATTTACTAGATACTTATATAATGTGTCATTTGTTCTTCTACGCTTTGTTTAACAATTATAATTAAATTTAATTATTTTATTAACATACAGATCACTTATCCCTTTACAGACTTTCAGTGCCCCAGAAGTTCTATTTGAATAAGATTTTTCGTGTGTTTCTTAATAAGTTCATTTCTCTATTTTACATCTTCTTTCTCTGTTGTTCCTTTTATCCCAACATGACATGAATACCTCACTGACGTAATTCAGTTGACATAAAAAATTTAAAAAAATCTTCATTGTCAATCAAACGTTTACGAGAAAACATATGATAATGATGACGAAAGCAAAAGTTTTATCAATACATACATATATGTATAGTATACAGTTATAAGTACTGTGCTTAAAAACACTTATCATATAAAAAGCAAATAAATCGTCATTCAAATTTTGAAAAATGTTAAAGTCTTGAAATTTATCACAAAAAGAATGAACACAAAAATAGGTTAAATGGACGAAAACATATCGATAGTCAAATTACAAGAAGTTTTATAAATTATAGCATGGAAATTGTTTGAAGATTTTCTGGATCTGTGATTCCTCTGTTTTATTAATATCAATACAGTGATTGATTGTCGTTGATAACATGGAAAATTTCATTACAAAATTTTCTTAAACATTCATTAATTATACTTATGAAGGCTAGTTTACGTTTTGAACAAGAAGTTCAGTGGTGAAAACAACAAATACCTAATTTTAGTAAGCATGTAATTCGTTATATTAAATAATGTTTACTTAATTTGGTTTGACAAGAACTTAAAACACAGCTCTCTTTTTCTTTTACTTTACTTTTCCTAAGTAGCTTATGAAATTTGATTTTTATCTACTACATGCTTGCTTTAGTGACAAACAAAATCAAAATAACTTTGTTTCTCGACTATATTTATTTAGTTCAACTCAACAAAATTGTTGATTATCGAGTATTTAATTGAAGTTAATTCAATCATAATAAATCAAAGGGAAGTTAATGTTAAAGCTTTTTTGAATGTAAATGCCTATATGAGAAATATAAAGAAAAATTTTTTATCAGGATTTCTTGCAATAGGTCTAAAATCAACAACTTAAAATTGTAATAATCAGCCATGGGGAAGTTTAATGGCAAAAAGTGTCGCCTTTTGACAGTGATGTCACTAACAATAAGCTTCTTCTTCGTGGAAATCGTCACTGGATATATAACAAATTCAATGTCACTCGTAGCTGATTCATTTCATATGTTAGGTGATATTGCAGCACTTGTGATATCGTTTCTTTCAGTTAAGGTAAATAATATGAGTAGAAAAATAATAAAAAACTTAAATAAATTATATTCTTTCTAACTAATCATCATAAGATGTCACCGAAGAAATGGAGTAAAAATACCTTTGGATGGGCACGTGCTGAAGTTCTTGGTGCACTCATTAATGCTGTTTTTCTCGTAGCGCTTTGTTTTAGCATATCAGTTGAATCAATTAAACGTTTCATTCATCCAGAAATAATACATGGTGCTGAAAATATTCTGTTTGTTGGTTTCATTGGACTTATGGTGAACGTTGTGGGACTTTGTCTTCTTTATGACAGGTAAGTGAAATTGATTATTACATCTTGTCACCGTTTATAACCTTTCTTTCAATATACGTTTAGCGGTGGACATGGACATAGTCACGGTCATAATAAATTGTCACAATTATCATCTGTTGATGACAACGAAAATGAAGATTATATCTTCGGTGAGCCGCACAAAGTTAAAGCACCCTCACCAGTGAAGAAAGCATCGTCAGGTCACGGTCATAGTCATTCACACAGTGCTGGACAAATGAATATGCGAGCTGCATTTTTACATGTGTTAAGTGATGCACTTGGATCTGTGATTGTAATGATAAGTGCTGTTATCATAAAATACAGTGAATGGGAATATAAATTTTACTGTGATCCTGCAATGTCAATGCTTCTTGTTGTTTTAATTCTTCATTCGGTATGGCCTTTGCTACGTGAATCAGCTTTGATTCTTCTTCAAACAGTTCCAACTCACATTGAAGTTGACGCGATTCAACGACGACTCTTGGAACGCGTCGATGGTGTTCTTGCAATTCATGAGTTTCATGTATGGCAATTGGCTGGTGATAGAATTATCGCATCAGCTCATATAAGATGTCGTAATTTGAGTGAATATATGAAACTTGCTGAGAAAGTCAAAGAATTTTTTCATAATGAAGGCATACATTCAACCACAATACAACCTGAATTCATAGAAATTGAAACATTGAATAGTTGCACAACATCTGATGGAATTTCGACAAATTTGAATATCAACGGGAAAGAAGAAGGATGCGTACTTGATTGTCCTAACATAGATGAAAATTGTGTCAAAGCAACATGTTGCCAAAATGTTAACAATAAGGTAAGTTCAGTTGAACCCTTTATTAAAATATAACCATTAATTTTACTCCAGAATTACCGAATTTACAAAATTTCAAAACAAATGTCAAAATAAAACTTGGAAAATGTGGAAAACGAAGTCAAAATGTTAATTTATAAAAGCATTCTCATATTGGATTAAATTAATGGAAATCTAAATAAATGTTCTACTTTTTTATTTCTCTTTCATTGTTCTATGATTTTTCGTTCAGGCTCAACAGCCAAGTCCATCATCATCGCCCTACTTGTGCCGGCAACGTCAACGGAATAATGTTGAGAACAATGAAGCGGGAGAAAAAGGTAAAAATTTCTCCCTCAATATTTTTGTTGTTGGTATTTTTAATTAAATATACAAGCACTAAATTTTTTATGATAAATCAGGTTCTCTTCTTCAAAATGTACAAGCCCACCCCGTAATCGGCTCTATGACTAACCCAGCACAACAATCTGCATCAGAAAATCAAACAAATCTCTTGGTTTGACCACTGAATTCCACTATCAACGAAAGTAAACAATGTTTAATTAAATGAGAATTTGTGTGAGAAAATTGAGTTTGACTGCTATAACATAACAACGTTAGGAAGAGTAATAAGAGAAACACTTCTGGAGGCTGTGACCGTAACATGGAAACAAAGAAGGAAAATGTTGACCTTGGATCAATTTCAGAATTATCACTTTAATTAAAGTCTTCATAATTAACAGAATCACTATCATCATCAAGAAAGAATAGGAAAATGGTAGATTCTTACTTAAATGCGGTTTTTAAGTACATAAAATAATTTAAACAGAACGAAATGAAATCAAATTTATTTTTTATAAATTAGGTATAAATTATTTAACTTTAACTTCAAATGAATCCTCCGTCATATGGAGATAATTTTATTGCTAAAAATATTATCTAATTGTGCTTTTTTTTAACAAAACTTGTTCAATACAATCTCAAAGAAAATAATCAAAAAAAATGCAATTAAATTTTTCAACCAAGTTTTTTTAGCTGTTTTCTAAATTCCTTTAACTTCACATTTATCGAATTAACTTTCGAACAACAGCCAAAGATAACATTAAAATAAATGAAAATGATTTTAATAGATATTTATATATCATGAATCATTAATGACTATCCCTATCATCTTTCTCTAAGGATCATAAATTAAATAAAAAATATGAATTTAGAAAAAAAATATCTGTTAATATCTGAGGTTTCTTAATGCTACCTTACGAATTTAAGTCAGTCGATGAATACAAAAGAAAATCATTAACGAGAGAAATATCTATATTAATACATAATAACATTCTAAATGTTAATTTTCTCAACAAAAACTCAAGTTGATTTTCATATTTTATAGAAATAGATTCTAAATTACTATAAAAACTACCTATAAAAAAATAAATTTAAGTAAGATGAAGAAGAAAAATGAAAATCTTCTGCGCAATAGAATTTAACTACCTAGTTTGAAAATTTATACTTTTTATATACTCGCAGCATATTTAATTACCTTGTTATACTTTACTAAGGTGAAAACAGTATAACTTCTGTAGGTTTAATCGATTGTCATGACTTTATGTCAACTTATGTTCCAAACATTTGAAGGATAAAATATACATTTTTGAGAGATTTGATTAGAATGAAAATTTGAAATTCAGAAAATTCATGATGTTAAGTAGTAAAAAATATGAACATTATGAAATATGTAATGAAATCTACAATAAAATAAAATTCAATTCAATTTATGTAAACTTTTTATTTGTCTCATTATTTAAATCTTCGATAAGTGCTTCATCCCAAGGACCGGAGATTGTGCATTTTTTATGAGTGAGTTTTTGAAAAATGTAAGGAAAAATAACGTTTATGAACGTTAAAATGATGATGTAAATTGAGCCAAGTAGTTGCGAGATATTTTGAAGGAAGAATATTGTAACTGCTGTCATTGGAATCAGCATCCATGGCCTCCAAATTTTCTCAAACAACAAAGGTTTTAGTACAAAAACTTCCGCAGATATAACGAGAAGAACAAATGCATGATGGGTTGTCGACAATCTTGAAGCTAAACATATTGATGCAAAGATTCCACAGTTCAACGAGACTGTTTTTGATACAAGAAATCCGTCGATTCCATAATCATGAAGGAGTAGATGAAAGGACAGAATGATGAAAGTGTTAAAAAAGATTGTATCAGTTGAAATGCTATCGGTGAGTGTATGTAGAAGTGGACTAAACATATATCCAAATAGTAAAACAACACCGACTGTTTTAGAGTCCTCAATCACGTTGTGAATTTTTTCTGTGTCAGTAATTATATACGCAATATAACCAAATCCAGTGAATACGAACGAGTTGAAAAGAAGTTTTTGTGGCTGAATTGTGTTGACATAGAGATCGTGAAATATAACCAGAAATAAAGAAACACACGATATTTCTTGACTAACTTTCGTCACACCATAAAAACACTCGAGAAAAGTAAATTCTCTTATATTGTAGTTTTTTTTCAAATCCTTGAGAAAATTTTCGTCTGTGTAATTATCTTCATATCCGTTATTTTCGTACAAATTCTTCTTCCAAGGCTTGTCTTTCTTTGGTTCCATGACAATTTCTGATAAATTGTTGATATCAGCAGACAGTTTGCATAATTTAATAGCGTTAAAAACTTAATTTTTCTTCATGAGCTTTGTCTACCAACCCGTTTAAGCGAACTCTAGCGGCTGCAATTCTACATATGAACAAGTTGAATACCCCGTTTGTTTAATTTTCGCGGACTGACACTTCGTAATAAAATAAAACAGAAATCTAAATTAGATACCAAGTGAAAATACAAAATGGATGTAAGAAGTCGTCAGCAAGCAATCTCAAAAGTGCTTATGAAAGCGTGGCGTGAAAGATGGACAGAATACGAGTTTGGTATACAAATTAAACAATGTTTTCCTTCAGTAAGGCTTATTGCAGATGCTAATAATCTTACCGATGTCATAATGGAGCAAAGTTTAATAGGCGCTGGTGTCAACAAACTACTTCTATCCTATCTGAAACACTCGTTACACTCCCAGTTGATCAGTTACCCAGCTGTTGTCATGAGAATCACAAAATACACAAATTATGAACGCTATAATTGCATCAAAGCATTGCTGGATTTCCTGCTTGACATAATTGATGGAGTTACATGTAGAAGTAAAGCAGAAGAATCAGCTTTGATGAGTGCTCTATTATCATTGGTGTTCTGGCTGATTGAAATGACAGAAAAACTTGTTAAACATGTTGAATTAAACAACGGACCAACAAAAGGTTATTTATTTAATATTCCAATAATCAAGAAAACAGTTTAAAAAAATTATGACAATTTTTATACTTTTAGAACAAGAACATTGTCTTGAAAAGATAACAACACTCAGTCATAGTATCATTAAAAATAAATTTCTCATGGGCGTTTTGTACTTAGCAAAACTTGAAGATCGCGAACTTTACGATAAATGCATCATAAACTATAAAAGAATACACAATATGAGCAAATATGAAGTTGTGAAAATTTTTTATCAAATGATTTTTGTTAAACTTGATCACATGGCAATGAAAGAACTTGAACAAAGAGTCGTTGAGCCGATAACATTTTGTTTACAACCTTTTATGTCAATTGAAGTTCTCGTTCATTCGAGTGCTGACACGAGCGTTCATGTGTCAAAATTTTTAATGATTCAGAAATTGAAAAGATACTCAACATCTCGTCTTTATTGCGAGATTATTCGTTCATGTTTTATTACATTGTGTCATGTCAAAGAAGTGAATTATCGGATTTGGGGAGCATTTTTTCTCTTCAAACTTCCATTAATTCTTAAACAAATTCATCTTCAAACAAAAACATCCGATGATAAAATGGATTTCTCTGAAGATGTTATAAAAGCTTTCGAGATGCTCATGGAGTGTACACCAATAGTTGATCTCATGGATACAACATTCCAATGCAACTCAATTGAATGTTTTCTCGTTGAACTAATGAAACATAATTTAATAAGTGAAGATAACTTCAAGAAAATTGTCGATAAACGTGAGATCGCGATATCTAAATTAGAAAAATTCGACATTCCTAGCACTCCACCTCCAATTAATCAATTTGTTTCTACAATAGAACCAACTTTAAATGGTTTTATATCATCATTGAGAGATCAAGTAATGCCAGAAGTTCCAGTTCTTCAAATGTTCTGTACCCTTCTTGTTGAGAATCGAGCATTTCTTCTATATTCTGTTGCAAGTGTGAAAGCACAACACAAAACGATGATCAATGGAATTGTTAAAGTCAATGACAAGTCAAAAGAAATTTTAGGAGAAGCTTCAAAGAGCAAACAAGCTGTAACTTTCTACGCTAATATGTTCGATATGTCATTCATTTTGCTCTTTTCGATAATGCAGAAAAGTGGTTGCGAGAACTTTCCAGAAATGACTGGTGATTATTTCTTTGAAAAATGGTGTAGAGAAGGAATGGCATTTCCATATAAATCCAAATCACCGATGAGTATCGTAAAAATGTGCGATCAAACGAAAGTTGAAGAAATGATTGCATATTTCAGTGACACAACCACTGCACAATCTTCAACAATATCTTTTAAATGGGGTGAAATTTGCATCAATATCCCAGCGATGCTTCATAACGTTCTCATCGCGTGGGAGAATGAAACAATAACAACAGTAAGAGTCAAAAACATTCTTGACAATATGCGAACGAAAATGTGTTGCTTTGCTGTTATTGCTGCCTCTTGGCTTTGTTCTTATGTAAAAGTTCTTCGTGAAGATGAACAAGCAAAACCGAAATTTATGGTACAACAATTGATGAAACCTGTTGATGAAAACACTATGAAGTTGGAAACATTTAGTGAAAAATTATCATTAACACATGAAATCATCATGAAACTTTACGACTCAAGAAATTCAGCAGAAATTTTATATAGTCAAAAGCCTTTGAATGAAACATTTTGTGAACTTTGGAAAGAAATCAGCGCTAAACGTTGGCTCCCTTTTGAAGTTGCTATAAATCTTGAACAACTTTTCAAATCTTGCGGTGCTTTTTGGTTGATGAAAAATCTCATTGAACAAATTTTCAAATGCAAATTTATTAAAGAAATGGAAACGACAATGGATATTGTCTTTGCAGTTATGCATTTGAATATTGAAGCTTGTACCGAAACATTATTACGCGATATTCTTCCAATTATGTTATTGAATAAGAGCCAGTGAGTTAAAATTACTCTTTGATATAAATATTAATCATGAAGTTTTTAATTTTTCAACATCTTTTTGTTGCAGTTGTTCCAAATTAAAAGGGTTACAATCAAGAATGTTGGCGAAACTTTGTGTCTATGCAATTTTATCAACAATGGACACAGCTGATGTCAACCGAAAACGTCCGCGAGATGACGACGATGATATGAATTCAATGACAAAAGTAAGAAAAACTGGAATCGAACAACAATCAATTGGATCAGGTATTGAAGGAAGTTCTAATGATAAAGATATTTCATCACAATTGAGAGAATCCCTCAAAATGTCACTTCAAGATCTATTCAAGATTTTTTATCAGCAAGTGACAAAAGATGAAATGTCACCAAAAGTTGACTTCATCTTTCAATTTTTATCGTTGTTAGTTCAACTTGAGAAAAGTGTCAAACTCAAATCAATTTTGAAACTTATTCCAAATGGTTTGATAATGAATCTCTTAAAAATTATTCCTGAAGATGATGTGTCGTTTGGATTTGTTCTAAGGTGAGTTGAACTATCTTATTTTCTTATTTGTTTTAATCCCAAATTATAATTCATTTCAGACTTTATGATCTTTCCGTATCATCAGGAAGAGCTCTAGCAATCTCCGAGTTATGTCTTCTTCGTAACATTCAAATCCGAAAGAACAGTATAAAGCTATAGAAGTTTTGTTTAATTTGAATATTTTTTAAAGTGTGTCTCAATATTTACTTTTAATTTAACTTAATTTAATCATTTTAACACGAGTTTGTTTTTTCTTAATTTTCTTTCTCATTCATTAAATTTCAACTTCTGTTTTCTTATTCTTGTAGGAAAAATTAAAAAAAAAGGGTAAAATAAAAATTGGTGCAGTTAATTATGCAAAACGAAACATTTCTTGTGTGACTTTGAGAAATTGTTGGAATTCCAATTGAAAAACATCCAATAAGTTACAAGACATTATTTGCTTAGCTGAATTACCAAAACTTCTTGCTACTCATCTTTCTATATGAAATAAAAAAAATATTCACTTCAGATAAATTTGTTTCTATTAGCAAGAAAAAAATAAAAAGGAATTTAATCAGTTAATGTTAAAAATTGTACATTTTTAAGTAAACCGACATACTATTAGTACAAAATGATTGAATAACACAAACAACGAGATAGAGAGATATTGATATTTTTGCTTTAAATGTATCTGAAGTAGTGGCCACCAATCAATAAAATAACGATGTAAAAATAATAATTGATGTGAATACTTCGCATCGTATTTTTGTTGCGCTTGCGAGAGCATCAGTTTGAGTTAAGACAACGATCAAAATAAGTTTCTCCGATATATGCTCCGCGCATGGCTTTGGTGACATTATGTTCGAACAGTCGTCGATTTGATTGAAGAACTTCAGCAGCTTCTTTGTTCAAAGGATCTTCTGCGTTGGGTTCCTAAAAAATTACCAATTTAATACATATTTGAATCGGAAATATTTTTTTTTTTTAAACTCATTACTAGGAAAAGATATTGCAATCCATAAACAATTGAATTAATAGTGAGTACGGGCTTCCAATCTTCTCTCAGGATGTTCAAACAAACATTTCCTTCTAGATCAATGTTTGGATGGTAGACTTTAGTCTCACACTTTACTTTCGGCGGTTCGTGTGGGTAATTAGGGCCAACCTATTTAAATAAATAATATAAATATATTCTTAATGACTCACAATTTGTAAACTAAAGATTACCTTAAAATTGAACACAAAACGTCCTCCTTTATAGTAGCCTTCATCGGGACATATAATCATTTTAAAGTTCAATAAATCATTCGGATCAGGAAAATTTGTAGTGCAGGTCCGCGGAAGATTAAGCTCGTTGATGTCTAAGTATCAATTTATTCAAAATTATTAAGTTTTTTTTAATAAAGATTTCACAAGAAAGGGAAACATTAATTTGAACATTTTACCTTTTGTAATTCGTAGCTGAGCTGCTGTACGAGTTGATTTTTGTTGTCCACCACTCTCTCCGTCTTTCTTTTGTTGTTTTAACGAGAAAAGTTTTATCATTTTGCTGCTGCTAGGAATTTATACCAATATATTAGTTTGAAAGGAAAAAATATTCTGTTGGATACGCTCAATAATACTAAGAAAAAGGTTCAAAGTTCATTGCCGTCACATGCTTCAGTGTTCACAACAAACAAATGTTCACAGTTTCATCACTTATCAATTATCCCTTTAAAAACCAGCTGAAAGAATACGTTTAGAAAATATTTGCTTCTTCCACAAGAATTCTTCAAATTTTCTTGATTTCCTTCTTTTTCTCGTCAGCAATGTTTGAACAGGAAGACAATCCATTTAGTGTAGATGAAATTGAGCCAAGATTGTTTTTAGGCAACTGCACAGCAGCTCGAAACATTCAATTTCTGAAATCAAAACAAATATCTCATATTCTTACGATTGATAGTGTTCCAATACCCGCATACGTTTGTTCGAGTGCTGCTGTCATCAACAAGTATATTCATATTGCTGATATGACGAGAGAAAATATCTTGGAACATTTCACTGTGTGTATTAACTTCATTGAAGGAGCTTTGAAAGATCCCAATGGAACAAATGGTATTCTTATTCATTGCTTCTATGGCGTGAGTCGATCAGCAACAATTGCCATCGCATATCTGATGAAAAAGTATTCTATTAACTACCAAAAAGCCTTTGAACTGTAATATATATCACATGTTTGATAAAACTGATGAATTTAGCTTAATAATTTATTTAAATTTTTAGAGCAAAATCAAAACGAAGACTTGTTCAACCTAATCACGGTTTTGTGTTGCAATTGAAACTCTTTCATAAAATGGCTTACGAAATAGATCCAACTTATAAGAATTATAAAATTTTTCGCCTGAAACTAGCAGCTGAGCAAGTTAAAAGTGTGAAAATTCTTCCTTCTTCTTTCTTGAATCTTTTGGCTCCTGATCCTGTACTTCATCAGGAACGACCTGATCCAAACGTTTATCGTTGTCGAAAGTGTCGAAGGATCGTAGCATCGAAATCAAATCTTATTCTACATAAACCAAAAGATCAAATTAATTCATTTGAGACATCTCATTTGAACCAAAAAGGAAAACCAAACAATTCGGTGCCGAATCTTTTAGATGACGAGCAGATGGAAAATCAAAATCCAACAGTTAATCTGAATGAAGCAATATCAGAATTAGCAGGAGATTTAATGGTTTCTACAATAAGTGAAAAGCTACTTAAGAGAAATCATCCTGATCCTCAACTTTGCACCAAAATGTATTTTATAGAACCAATGATTTGGATGAAAGATGTTCCTAACAATGTAGAGGGAAAACTTTATTGTCCACAATGTAAAAGTAAAATCGGGAGTTTCAATTGGATAATGGCATCAAAGTGTCCATGTGGAGCTCAAGTTTCACCGAGCTTTTATCTTGTCCCATCGAAAATCGAATATTCGAACATTGTCCAGAACATGCAAGTCACTGTTTGAAGGTGAGCTCTATTGGATTATTTCATTTCTCATCCTAATGCTCATAATAAAATCATAATGTAACCACTTCTTGGACCACTCTTAAATGCTATTTATTTTCTATACACTTATTCATGTCTCAATCCTTATCATACATACCTTGTCTTTTATTAAATAAATCAAAATTTAATGTTCTTCCATGTTTCTTACGTATAATTCAATGCTATGTCAGTATTAATGAATAAATTTTGTGATTTGCTTGCTTCAAAGCTAGTAGCTTAAGATATATGATATATGAATAAAATTAAAAAAATGTGATTTTCTTTCCATAGAAATAATTATAAAAAAATAAGAAATGAATATCATAATTGAATGACAATATAAATTCGAAACATTCAATAATCCATGAAGAAAACATTTTAGTGATTGCAGCAGCGTCATCACCAAAATTGTCATTCTGCAATTGATTAAATATTCAAATAAACCCCAAAGAAAAATGTTAAAAATTATGCTTTTATTTTAATGACGACATTATTCAATGTCAATGAGCATTTAGTTAAACTGAAGAAAAAAAATACATTATGACTTGTAATTCATAAATTATTATAACACGTCGTTATGAGTAGCTAAAATCTAAATAAATGCAATGGACATCTTTTTCCATTACAATATTTTTTCGTTTCAGTAAAATTTGAGTCAATCTAGCATGCTGGCATATGATAAACAAATTCAGATTTTCCTTCGGCAAATTTATTTCGTAGTAAGTATGACGCAAGAGTTTCGGCGACTTGATGAGGTTGATCTTCGTGAACTGCATGACCAGTACGAGCGAGTACTTGAAGTTGAAATTTTCCTTGCATTTGACCAACTGTTAGCTTCTTATCTAAGTTATCAATTCCGGCTAGAATTAACAATTTTGGAACTGGAACTTCCAGAAATTTATCGCTGAGATTTTCAAACCATCCTTTCCAAAACTTTTCCGATCTTGAAAGATCAATTCTCCAAGTATATTTTTTGGCAATAAATTCTGCTGGTGATTGAAAAATGCCATCACCTGAAGTTTCTTCCGCATCTTCTGGGATACTAAACTGACTTGTTATACCAGTTGAACTTTCTTCAGCATTATTTAATGGAAGCTCTGCTGTTGCAAGCTTCTTTGTTTCACAATTAATTATTTGTCCGGGCATTGAAACTTTGGCAGATTCTAGATTTCTGATTTGCCCACTACGAACGCACCATTCGATGGCATTTGGAATCGATTTGAAATAGTTAGGACGTGAACGAAGAAATGATTGCATCGATTGTAAAGATTCCAAAGCTGTTCCTTCAACAACATCGATGACAATAATTCCTAGTAATGATGAAATCAATTTCATGTGAGCAATATGTACCGCAACTGAACCTCCCATTGAATGACCCATAAGTGTCATGTTAGGAATGGTTGGAGATTCTTTATAAAGTTGTTTAATAACTTTACTAATATCGTTTGCCATTGTTTCAGCTGAAAGATCGTAGTCGTCGTCTGTTACAGTGTTACCATGACCTCTGAAGTCAATTGCCAAACATTCACAATGAATTATTGAAGTGATTTCTTTCTATTCGAAAAAATGTTAAATTATTTAAAAAAAGAAATAAATAACAGACTTACTGAAAATACTGCCCAAGAAAGAGCATTGTATCCACCACCATGTAGAAGTATTAATAGTAGAGCATCATGTTTTTCTGCTGGTTTACTTCGATAACATCGAAACACCGATTTTTCGTCTATCATAACATCAATATAATCGTGAAAAAACTGGTTCCATTGAGACGGTGAATAATCCTTATAACGTCCGTGTAACCCCTTTGTTGTTTTGGGTACAATTGGAGGTAATTTTGACTTCAACAGATTTTTTTGTAAATCGCTCATACTTGTAAACAAGAATAAGGGGGATTCCACTCTGTGAACCTTCTTGAACTTCCTTCTCCTTGAAGGCTCAGTAAAGTGAAAAAAATAATTAACAATTTTCTTCAAACAATAATCATAAAATACGTTCTGATTATTAATACCTAAAATATCAAAAATTGCATCAAAACATGTTAAAATTAAAAATATATATATGCGCATTATATGCGGAAATTCCGATAAAAGATATAAAAAGTCGACCAGTGTCGAACTTTTAATTTCCCGCCAATTTCACTAAGTCCTTTAAAGAAATCTAGAAAAAAGTGATAATTAGCAGAATGGAAACACGCATCAAAAATCAAGTTATGACATTTTTTAAAATTGGTGGATTTCACCTAAGATCTGAAATTGCAATGTTGGTTGTTGACAAAGCAAAAGTACTTTCCGATCAAAAACGCAAAGAATTTATTGACAGAATTTATTCGAGCATACAAAATCAAACACTTGAAACTGCTAATATTGAGAAGGGACATATGTTGGCTGCTATTCGAGTAAGATTTAAATTATGATATATGTTGAAGAATGATTAATTTTCATTGTGTTTAATTGTAGGAGTGTACACAAGGCAGATATAATGAAGATAACGAAACTGTTTTCAGTGTTATTAATGCATTTGATGTTCCCGCTTGTCAATATTCTAGGGAATCTAAAAAATTCATTCTTAAAAAAAATCCTAAAAATATATTACCTTCAGCTGACTCTAGATCCGAATACATACGAGAACGATATCACACAATTCTTCAGCGTATTTTGAGACACGATCTCTTTGCTCCTAATATTAATGAAAACATAAAGACATTAGATAATAATCAAAGAAAATTTACTTTAAAATATGCTGAGAATCTCTTATCGACATCAACACTGAAAGAGGTTGTAATGTTAGGATTGTTATCAAAGTTTAAAGAGGGAAAATTTTACCTTGAAGATCCTTCGGGTACAATTCCCATCGACTTAAGTGAAGCAAAGTTTCATTCCGGTCTTTACACCGAGGGTGCTTTTGTTCTTGCAGAAGGATCATACAATGATGGAATTCTTAAAGTATCTGGTCTTGGCTTTCCACCACCTGAAGCAGCTGCAAGTAGTCGAGCATATTTTGGAAACTTAAATTACTGGGGAGGACAATCTTCATCACTTCTTAAACATTCAAAAAGTTTATTGGAGTTTGAACGTTTAAACTTTGGTGGCACAATCATTTTCTTATCAGATTGTTGGCTTGATGATCCAAAAGTTATAGAAAAATTAAAGAAACTTTTTATGGGATTTGATGACACACCACCAATTGCTATCATCATGATGGGACCCTTTTTAAAGAACAAAGAAAATATATCAGGATTGAGAAGAAAATTTGCTCTTCTCGGTGAAATTCTTGATTCTACATTTTCATTGAAAAATGAAACCCATATTGTACTTGTTCCTGATATAGAAGATCCCAATTCAGCTAATATTCTTCCACGTCCTCCATTGCCAACAGCACTCGTTCAAGACTTTATGCGAAGAAATAAACGAGTGATTTTAGCAACAAATCCATGCCGACTTCAATATTGCACACAACAAATTGTCGTTTGTCGAATGGAACTTCTTAAAAAGCTTTGTCGTAACACAATAAAATTCCCTGAAGAAGGACAACTTGCTGATCATGTAAAGTTAATTTTATCGATTAGATAATTTTTTTAATTTTTTTTTTCTAGTTTGCTCGAACGTTGATATGTCAAGGTACATTAGCACCCTTTACACAATTAGTAATGCCAACCTACTGGGATTTCGACCCTGCTTTAAGTCTTTATCCTCTTCCAGACTTGATTGTAATGGGTGATAAGACCACAGACTTTCAAAAAATTCATAGTGATTGTATCATTATTAATACTGGAAGTTTTCCACGGTCTAAATTTTCATTTAAATTGTACATGCCAGGAACTAGAACGATTGAGGATTCGCAAATTCCAGATGATGAAGAAAATGAGTAAAGTTCATGATGAAATAAATAATTAAACATTCAATATGTATAACCTTATCTTAATAAAATCATGTTTTTAACACAATTAATCAGTTTCAGTCGTATCGAATTTGTGCAAAAAAGATTTTAGAGTTCATTAAGGCTATAAATGAAGGAGAGTTCGAGTCCTTTAAGCTTGAAGATGGTCTTCGGATTAAGAAGCTTCTAAAAAATATTTTTTAATAAGTCTGAAAAAATATTCTTATTTACATATAATGTTTTTATAAGAAACAAGTTTATTGAACCTCAGTAATATAGATAATGATGTAGGTATTCGTATCCAACAAAAACTAAAAAATTTAAACTTAAAATTATTAGGAATCATTCTCTTTATCCCAAAAAACGGAATTCTAATTAAAATGATTTTCTTAATCAAAAATAAACTTAAAATATTCATTACGGAAAAAAGTTACTAGCAGCAAAGAATTGTTTTCGACATGGCGTAAGTTTTTTTATCGCTTTGCTGAAAAGTGAGACGACAGTGGTGAAAATTGTAGTTAAACATTAAAATGGAATTTTCCATTCATGTCGTGTAGTTGCAAAGGAGAACTTTGAAAAAATATTGAATATTTTGGATTTGTCTCCTGGTATCAAGACGAAGAATTCAGAAAAAGCATTCGTGATTATGCTGTAAATTAGACTCTAAAGAATATAAAAATGAAATTATGCTAAAAACTCAATCAAAGCTTATGCGTCGTAAAAGTTTAGCATTTAGAATAATACTCCATGTAACAGGTGCTTTCTACTTCATCTAATTGCATTTCTATCAATGAAACTGGAAAACAGAAGTAGGTTGCATCAGAAAATTGTATCGCCTATTAGATTGATAAAGAAATACCTAAATTGTATTGAAGCTTGACTGATTCGATGCGATTTTTCTCATTGAAATTTTAAAAAGAAAAGTTGCACACTTGCAACAATTTTCCATGAAGATTTACTTTCAAGACAACAATGAAAGGAAAAGATTTTATTTTCACTACTTTGAGAGTAAAATGAGAAGTAGAAGATACAATTGAAAACTAAAGAAAATTTCATCATTATGCGACGGGAATAGAACTGTTTGGAGTACCTTTGTATTGAATGCCTTTTAAAGTGATATTGAGCATTCTTATTGAGCACGAAATCAATCTTTTTCCATTGTACTTTTTGCTAGTTTCGATAAAGCTTCTTCAATAAATTGCTTTCTCTAAAGTTTTACGACAATATAATAACTCTTTCTTTCCTCACCTCAAACCTTTACTTTACAAAAAACTTCTATTCATATATTCATGTTCTTTCAATAGTTTTTTTGAACAAAAAAAAATTAACAAATATATGTTATATGTTATATTATATTATAAATTATTATTTAGGTATATTATTATAATTACCATAAATAGAAATAACTTCAGTACTATTCCTTTTTGTTTTTGTTGTGTTCTTTCTTTCAGATATGTAACGACCTGTCGTTAAATATAATAATTTTAATATAAGCATTTATTTTGAAATTATAAAAATCATATTGTTTATACTATCGACAAAGAAATCAGATATTTCAGAAAAAAATTCGAAGAGTTTAAACTATTGAAAGTATCCTTTGTTCTTAAAAATGAGATGAATATTCAAAAGTATGTAAAAACTCAATTTTTATGTTCATTAAAAATATTTTTCAGAGATAGAAAAGCTTTTATGTTGTTGGATCTTAAAGTTTATTTTTAGAAATTTTCCAGATGAATGACAGTCCCAAAATTTCCTAACGATAAGCAAATTAATATTTTTTATGAGTACAATGAAAATTCATCAGAGCATGGCGGACCCTTGAACATCGTTAAGCTTTTGTTTTACGATAAAATCAGGAGAGAAAGTCTATTTTTGTTTATCATTCGCGAATTAACATTGCTTTTCAGGTACTCAACGACCTTCACCTAATATTACTCCTGTCTGTTCAGAACAAATGTTTCAGAACTTATCTGTCTGTTCAGTGAAGAAATTTCATCTGAGAATTCTAGAAGGTTGTAGAATCTATACAAAAAAGGTATCAAAGAAGCTAACATTAGTCAAAACAAGTTTTAATATCTAAAGTGGAAGATAAAGAAAAGTAAGGAAAGAGAAAAAGATTTGACAAATCACACTTTAGGTTCTTCCCACTCAAAGAATTATATATTTGACCTCAAAAGGCAAGACCATTTAAAGTTTAATTTCATTTATTATGCAGGTTCGATGAACCTTGTTTCAAGGTGCCAAGATTCTTTGAAGCATTCCATGAAAGAAGGAGAAAGGCCCTGATGATGAGTATTTATATATTATATATGTTTTATAGAACCTTACAAATCTTACGTAGATACTTTCAAGTAGATAGATTTCAAGCGTAAAACATTGAGAAAAACCTGTTGGTTAAAAAATGAATGAGTGTATCAATAATAGAAAAGTGGCTGAGAAATAATTCAATTTAACAGACTAGGAAGGTCTGCTTTTAACGTACTTATCTATTTTTTTTTATTGTCTAGAGGAAAGTTTCAATGAATCTTTTCTACAAGAGTTTAATTCAAAAGCATAACTTTTAGCTTAATCCGACAATAAATTATTCGTCTATCTTTCATGAAAAAAATATTATCCATGATATAATATTAAGAAAGTTCCTCACTCTCGTCTTTTTGATAATAATTTTCACCTAGCAAATCGTAATATAAATATTTTTTTTATTGTGACTCCTACCCGAATAGCACAAAAGGCAATTACAGCTTTAGGACTTATTAATTCAGAAAGAAAATAAGTTCCTTGTTCAGTCATGATCCTTAATCCTCAAATATAAATCTGATCGTTAGAAATCAACACAAATGCTTAAAGCATTTGAAATCAGAAGTTTTCGTGCACAAGAGAATTTCATACTTATTTTCGTATTATTTGACAATGAGTGTTATTTTACGCGACAGCTGTTATAGCCTCAGATATTGATTGTATTTTATCAGATGACTTGTTAAATGGTGCTTTCGGCAGCTTTTTTTTACAGAAAAATAGAGAAATTCTATCCAAGTTATTACCCATCGTACCTTCAGATTCATTTCCATGCAAAATTCATTAGTATACGCAAAATTACGTGTCTAAAATGTTGCAAACATTTTGAAACAAGCAAAAGAAATAGATATTTCTCGAAATTCAAAGAAATAATTTGAAAAAAGTTCAAAGCTTCTTTTAATATTTACTCCATTAAAAAATAAAACATATTCGTATTGATATTTCTCAAAAGCCTCACTCATGACAAAAAAAAAACTTAATAAAGCAACAACAGAAGCACGTTGATTTCCTTTGACAACGTTAAGGTTTAATTAAATCTCATTCCTCCCACCACGTCTGATTTCAATTTTGTCTTATTTTCCTGTATCAACAAACAAATGAAAGATTACAAAGCCATTGTTTCAATTGTAATTGTGAGCTATGAACTCGTTGTTATTAAAAAACCATAGATTATTTCTATGCTTGACTAAATTCAAAGAAATTCAACAATAGAAAAGAAGTTTTTTTTCTAAAAATTCTTTAAAAGATTTCATTTTTTTTATTTGATGTTTTATATTATTTATGGTGGTTTTTATACAATAATAGACTTCTATCAAAAAAAATTATAGGTAATCTAATTTAGATAGCCTTTGCATACGTTTTGTTAGGAATTTCTTTTATTCAATGTAGACAAAGCTCAACATTTATAATCGAGTTGATTTTTTTCTTTTTATTGTCTCAGAAGCTCCATATTTTTCTGCTACTATTCGTTACATTATTTTTTAAACGCTTCACTCAATAGCAAGCCCTTTATTTACAAGCCTTGAAAAAAACTTGCGTTGAAAGGCTAAAGGAAAGAAATTAACTTAATTTCTTTTTTTTAGATCGACATGATTTCTACTAATTAAATTGAAAGGAATGAAAAACTTCAAAGAATTTCGTTTAGAATCTAAATAAATATTCTTCTAAAGAATAAATATTTTTCTTTTTGAAAATGCTTCAAAAAAAGTCTACCTTGTACCATTTTTAATTAAACTAACGCATCAGCAAGAAAGTGACACATTTCTTAATTTTATTAATAACTGAGTCAAAAGTTGTTAGTAAACTTAACAAACATTTACAGAACAAAATCCATATATTGAAAGTCGAGATAAATTTATCTTGATAATATAAATAGTAGGTAGATGTAAACGCAGAGTGAATTGGTGGAAATGACTGACAAACGATTCTTGAAAAAATCTAAGCTACTAAGCTGAATTTTTGGCTTTTGTTACACCCACTGATCCAAAACCCAAACTGACATTCTAAAAAAACGGGACTGATGTTTGAAAGTAAAAATTTTCTTTTCCTTAACAACAAAAATGAGAAAAAAGTTTTAATTACCATCACGTTGACAAAATATCATAAATTTCTGTAATTTTCTAAAGAAAGGAGCAGATTGAATTTGACAATAGTACTCGAAACGTGATAAGCTCCAAGAATGAGTTTTCAAATGAACGAATAATTCATTTCGTAGGAGCGCCGATGGAAAATGTTTTTGTAAGCGCTTTTATATCGGAAATCGTGGTCGGAGAGAACTTTTATTTTCTCACCTCAAACCTTTGCTCAAACGTTTTTAAACAAATTTCAAATATTTTTTCACGTTGATGATGAAAGAAAGAATAAAAACTTTTAAAAGCTACCTCTGCGTGTTCATTAGGAGCCGTTTTACATTAATTGCTGTTTGGGTTTTCTAACCCATTTCTCCAAACGTTCTTCATTTTTTTTTAAGAAATCAAAAATTGATTTCAACCTCATATTGAATTAATTTTTATTTTTCGCAGTCTATGCAAAAAAATCATTTGAGAATTAGGCGATGTGAGAAAGTGGAAATTTCCCTCACAAATCTCAATGAAAGCAGTTTGAGAAGATTAAGTGTTGAAACACTTGTTCTCTTGCATGGAAACTTTTTCAAGACATTTTTATTAGTTTTCACTTTTTCCTATTGTTGAATTCCCCTACTTTGAGTGAAAAAAAACGGTAATCAGATGTTAGCAATCAGGATAAATTATGAATTCAATTCATTAATAAAGAAGTGGAAACAAATTACGGTTTTCAGACTTTGATTATCTTTTCTCAAATTTTATTTCATCGACTAGTTTCGATGACAAAATGTCATCATCATCAATTTATTAAGTTTATAATTTACCTTCACAATTAAATTAGATTTCTACAAAATGTTATTAATTTTTTTTCAAGGAATTCTTCATCTATTTATTAATCAACAATAATGAGATCAGTTTTACGGACATACTCAACAAATTTACTAGAACAACGAATGATATATGAAAAATGTTTAAGAGAATCAGTGAAACCCTTATTCCCTATTATATCGAGAAGAAAACAAGAAAATTTAGATACCTCCAAAAATTTATTTAGATATCTAGATAAATTTTTTCAATAAAAATTTCATAACCAAATATCTGAATAGAATATTTTTACACAGAAATTATAAGAAATTGGATGGAAAATTTCACTGTGAAATTTTTCCACCTCCCTTGGAGTCTTTTTCAGCAGAAATTTAATTAATATTACTTTGATGTTCGATCAGCACGAAGGCTTATAATTGGAAATCTGCAATCCCTCAATAGCAAATAAAATTGATTTTATTCAATTTTGATGCTGTTTCAAAATATATTTTTCTGTTTTCTATGTTTTCTATGTGTTGTAAATATTTTGCTACCAACAGTTAATTGTTGCCGTGTTTTTCAACTTCGTATCTATGAAACATTTTTTAATGAAAACTGAAACTGTTTCATACTTTGAAAATTTTAAAAGTGTGATAAAATCAGATGCCAATTTGAGTTATTTCAACCAGGTAGTGTCGAATAAATTTGGTAAAAGTGTTTGCATAAAATATTTATTTATTTACAAAAAGATTTATATAAACATTTACAGAGAGTTCAAAGTTCGCTAATAATTAAGCAATATGTAGAAGGTTTTAATAGAAATCAGGTTTATTCATAGGGTATTTTTGTTATGTATTGAATAAGTTATAAGTTATATAAGTATAATATATAAGTATAATAATAAGTTAATTCGAACATAAATGTCCTAATCATACTAACTATTGTTGATTAAAACACTGAACACGAATACCGAACACTTTTATAACTTATTACTTTAACTAAGAATTAGGTACCTTATTTATGCGAATTTCGATAGCACATCGGCTATCATCATCAGAATCTCGATTCGTACTCTATCGAGTTAAAGTAATAAGTTTGTTCAGTGTTTTAATTAGTGATACTTATTACGTGTTTCAAAACAATTAAAATATATTAACTATTGTTGATTTCATATTATTAGAGAAATAAATGTACATGAGAAATAAAATTCAACACATACAAAACCATTTGTCCAAACAAGCTTTTAATCTATTTGAAAAGTATGAATCAATAAGAATATGTCTAGGTAATTGAGTAACGGTTGTGAGTTTTAAAGCTTTCAGAAAATTTAAACAATTGAAAATAATACCTACATATTTTATTTATAATCAGCATTTATTCTTGAAAGAAAATCACAATAATACCAAAATAACACATTTTTTATCCGTGCAGTCTTTCAATTTATCTGTCGACAACAGCCAGCAATTGGATTCCTTTTCTATAACACATTTACTCGTGACGCTCCCTATAGAAGCAACAGTTTTTTTTGGCATTTTTCTGTAAGAAACGAAACTTTAAAAACTTATAAGAAATTGTGGACAATAAAATAATACAAAACAGTTTGTGTAGTTTATTATATCCGGTTATATCAAATTAAATTGGTTTTAAAATTAACCAATTGAAACTTTTTACAATGAATTTTTCTTATGAATATCCTATGAAAATTCCTTAACGTTCATGAAGATTAATAAATTGATACTGCTTGTAATTTTACAAGCATACGGTACTACACAATAAATAACAGGAAACTACCAAATTTGTAACTCATTATAGACATTTGCTGCACTCACTGTAGATACAATTTGCTAAACATTGAGATGAAAGGATATTTATGACTTAAACTTAAATTTTATTTCTTAAGAAATGCAATTAAGAACAAAAATTATTGAAAAGGAAATGAAAAGGGGGGGGGGAAAGACATAAAAAATATTTATGGAGTTTTAAACAATAATTCGTTTACCTAATTGCTCTGAGACATCCTAGTTTAGGAAGCTGCGAGTGTTTCAAACACAGCTCAGCCTTTTTTTAATTAGATACCACTTTCTCGGTATTTTTTATAAATTTTCTCTCCTTAAAGAAAAGAAAAATCTCTTATTGAAAACATGACTAACGTTTCAAAGAATTTTTCTCATTTAAGTAATTAACGACAAATCATTTGTTTTTTTATTTAAAAAATTATTCTATGGCAGAAACTAAATGAAATTACCGTGTTATTAAAACCGAACAAAAATTTTTCAGAATGTACGCTTAACAAAATGTGAGCAGCTGTTGACATTTCGTTCTCTTTTCAAGGAGTTTAAGCGACGATAAAACAAGAATTGATCCAGCATCTGAGACAAGACATACATAGTCGTCATGCATGTGTTCATGCATGTGTTCATGTTTATACTTTTGATGTTAAATGAGAATGAGAACACATCTTCTTCAAGTATCGTTAAGCATAATTAAATGGCAGTCATTAACAATTGCAATCAACACAATGATGCTTAGCGGTGATATTTATTGACAAAGTTTCAACATGAAACCGTTAAATATTTTTTATAATGTCACAGTTGTTAGAAAGCAATTAAATATTCTTGAGAGTGCATAAAATTAAGGAAAATTCATCGAAGAAAAAAATGAACTAAAATGACTGAATGAATTTTTGCCCTTGAATGCTTTCCAAGAAGAAGAAAAAAAAGTTAATGATGTTCACATCAAAGAAAAGTCATTGAAGTTGCTGAAAGGAAAATAGAAACTTTCAAGGTTTGTTTGGCGTTTTGAAAAAGATTTTTGGATTTTATTGCACAATTTTTTAAATATTGTTTTCATTTTGGGACGAGAAACAAATCAATGAATTAATGTTTTCTTGACTCTACATCACGATTAATATCTAGGTATTAATTTGAATTCAAAATCTATATCCTCTGGGATCGGAAATCGCCAACAACAATTTTTCTATTGAACCTCTTAAAGAAATATGCGACAAACAATTAAGAGTGCTGGAGATTTGATTTTTTATCTGTCAGATGTCAGCAAATTATTTCTAATGGTATCATCATAACTGATTTATGATTCTCATTCAATATATATTAGCTGTGGCGTTAAATCTGTGAATCTGTCAATTATTAATGTTGGATGAATAATAAAATAGAAAAGAATATTTTTCTATTAGCGACTGATCGCCGCAAGTGTTTTAAGTAAACTAATCTTTATTAGTCAATTGACAAGAGATAACATCTGCATTACATTGGTGTTACCCGATTATATTTACTTCAAGTTAAGAAAGGTAAATAATTTATTCACAGTTTTAACTAGGCATTGTTTATGCTTTTGAGTCACATACAAAGTTTCGGTCTAATTGACTTTTACGCAAAGCAACGAGGAAGAGATGAAATTTCAAAATTTTGTTGTTTGCGGGTTTTTAGTTTAATCTCATTTTACACAACTCCTTGGCATATCACAACGGTATTGTTGTCATTTGAAACTTAAGTATTTTCATGCGGAAAAGTAGGTTAAACTCTTTCTTTTTTTGTTGTTTCAACCACATTTCCCCTTACACCAAATATAATTGCTTTCGAAGGCTTCGTTGCTTGTTATGTGCGATAAAAGTTTATGCACGAATATATATTTTTCAAGATGAAACAACAACTTCAAGTGTGAGAATAATAAAAGACTGAGAGAAAATGACATTGTGAATATTTTATGAGCTTTTGTCGCTTGATTGCATACGATTAATCGTTAAATAACTTAGTGAAAATTCTTGGTACTGTTATTTTCTCAATTCACTTTTAAGCAAAACTATAAGTACTATAAATTATAATGACTCTATTTTCTTGGCCCTGTATTTTAAATATTTACCTATTTTATGTTCACATTCGACATGGCTAAATTCAAAATTATTGGTCGATTAAAAAAGCTTTTAAATTATTCTAAAAATACTTTCATAATATTGTTGTTTCATTTTTTAATTAGATTTTTTCATAGTCATAATAATTAGTTTAGATAAAAAAAACATATTTTAAAGATCATTGACATGTATTGTGGTATTAAAAATCTTCAAATAATGTTTGGCAAATATTTAGAATCATTTTTAATCGACTCAATCAAAACTATAATGACATGTGCTTACAAAGTATAATGCCTCATGCTAAATAAATTGCATTTCATGCAACAAACAACAATTTTATTTATTTATGGGACCAATTTGTGACTACAGAGAACAGAAAAAATAGTCAGCGAAGCAAAAATAACAAACAGTGTGGGAACATAATGTAGATTTCAGGATGAAATTGATAGTATCAACGAGGAAGAAGAATGCATGCAGCGTGAACGAAAAAAAGTAATTTCGTTAGTTAGTTTGCTGTCATCCTCATTGTTCAAAAACTACCACTTACACTTATCTGTTGTTGAATTTTTTTTTGTGTAGATTCAATTTATTTTAAATGCAGACAGGACATATTATTTACGTGTAGATGCTTTATGTTTTTTAAAAAATCCTATGTCTAAATATATATGGAATCGAAGATATTCCTGGCTTTACAACTGCAGTAGTTTGAAGAAGATTCATCTTCTTGTTGTCTCATACCCGTTACTCTATTAGGCATTCTTCCATATTGAATGGTCTCGATTTCAATATGGAGGCCTTTTTAGAATTGAATGGGGCCGTCGTTATTAAATTTCTCATTCCACTTTTTTATGTGTAAAAAATATGTTCATTCATGTCTGTTTTATGTGATGAGATTGAAATAGTGTCTTTATTTTTTTTCATGTTCGCTCACGAACGAGGTGAAAAACAACGAGTCTTGAGTGACGGGTTGCAAAATTTTTCTTTAGTAGCAGCAATTAAAAATATGAGCGTGAATTATGGAGGCAGCGCGTCCTGAAAATGACTAAATGGCAAGCTGAATGAATGATAAATTCTATATTGAGAGAGAATTATATTTATTTCAATTATTTCCTAACTTTTTACAAATTGGAGAATAAGAAATTTAATTAAGCACCAGCCTTTCTAAAGGTTTAATAATTTGAGAATTGAATTTTTAAATTAAATTTAGTATGTTTTTAAATCGATAATTTAAATTTAATAATTGAAAGAATTTGTTAAAATCAGGAAAATTTAAGAAAAACCTGATATTTAAGAAGAGAATAATTTTTTACAAAATTAAAAATTTTAAGTTAATAGTTTTAAAGTTCCGAAGGTTTTATCAGCTTGTGGGTCCGGTATGTATCTGGGTCGTAGCTACCCAGCTTTTTGATCGGGGAATTTTCGGACCCCGCGCTTTTATCATAGAATTTTTCTGTCAATTTGTAAATGAAATCTTTTATGTATGGGATATTTGCCTTTTCGTGAAGATAACTGATCCTCGTTCTGAACCTTGAACTAAGAACCATTCTTAGACATTTATTTTGAAAAATTTGTAGCCTATTTAAGTGCATTTTTGCACTATTTGCAAACGCAGGGCAACCATATGTAAGAAGAGGTCTAATATATGAACGAAAAATAGTCAATTTGGAAAGAATGAGGACACAACTAAATTTTTTTAAAAGGGGATAAAGTATATGAATCGCTTTATTTGCCTTGGCTATGTTCTTATTGGTATTGTCTTTGAATGTTAATTTAGTATCCATCCAAACTCCTAAATATTTCACTGAGTCAGTCCAATAAATTCTATAGATTCCAGTAAATCCAATGATATCGATCCTTTTAAAAACCAAAATTACTTTGACCGTTTAAGCAGAATTATAAGTAGCAAAGTCAACAATATTTCTATGAGTCTTCTTCTCACCATCATTGAAGTTTCTTTTGGGCTCATTTCCCTCCTTATTTATTTGCCAAGTGATTCTATCAACATTGCATTTAATCTGATGTTGAAAACAAAGAATAAGAAAAAAAAGAGGAAAACTTGTATCATTTTTCTGATTTATTTGTCAAACATCTCCGTTCTATTTGAATGATGGGAAAAATATGAAAAGAAGGAAACAGTAAATACTAAACATGAGTATAGGATTTGTGGAACCAATTTTTCTGATTAGCCCTCAAAAGAAGCGTTGAAAAGACTTCCTAAGAAATATGTTTCATCAAAAATATCAAATGAAGATGAAAAAATACCAACATCTTCTTTCAGGTTCTCTGAAAGTATTTTTTCAAACATAATCAAGGATTTTTATTAATATTTAAAAGAAAATTTTATCAACCATGAATAGATGAAGCGACCAAGAAGTGAAAAGTTTTCAGCGACATTATAACAATAAAAGCGTAGAAATTTTCCAAAACGAGATAAGATGATGAGAAGAAAAAAATAAATCAAGTGCAAATGGAAAGACACGCTGTGAGGCATTTTTTTTTCTTTAATTTCTTGCTTGTTCTTGATTTGCGAGTGTCAGCAATTCTCATGGTGCTTCTTCTAAAATTTATTTTGGTATTCTCATCAAATTCATGTCTTCTCATCATCTCTTAGAAATAAACAAATGACAATACAAAAACTGCAAAAGCAAAGGGTCTTTAAATTGTTCGTATTTCATTTCAATTATTATTAGGGCCTGGAGAGACTTCCGACACAGAAATCACGTCAAGCTCAAAAGCATGCAAACTGAAAGCAAACGAATCCGAAGAAACGAAAAATTATGAAATAACAGAGATATAAAAGGAATCATGAATCATACAATAATTTTCTTTTCCCTCCTGCTAAGTAAGCTTTTCATTTCATTTTCAAAGTTTTTTTAACGGGCTTGCTTGTGACATTATAATCTTTCATTCTATCTACTTAGGAACAAGCAGTGGGAATTAAAATGAAATAAAGGAAACCTACTATGGGTTTCTCCTTTGCAATATAAATGATCGACCATTTATAATGAAGGAACATATAAAGCAAACAATAGAAATGATAATCTAATAATGAACATAGAATAGAACATTCCAAATTGCTTAATATCCTAAGTTTTGTTTTGGAATTTATAACTTTTTTCTCTGACATTGATATGTTCTTTACTTTTCTTTCCGTTAGGCACTTTTACATGGACTCTAGGAGCCTTTCATTGTTTAGATTAAGGAAGAAAAATTAAAAAATTCCAAATTACTCAAAAATTTGTACCAGATTAATTTTGGTAATTTTCTTGATTTAGTTTTATTTTTGATTGATTAATGATAATAATTTTTCTAGGGTGAGTTGTAATCATTGATTTGAAAAACTTTTCATTTGAATTTCTCCTAAATTTTAATTCCCATTGATTCGAGATACATATTCGAGATTCTGTATTCTACCCACAAACTAATACCGTTTTTCTTCATCAACTCATTCATGCATAACTCAGAGGAATGTTCAATGAATTTCACACCGACAACGTAAAGCGTTTAGAAGTTGGGGAGAGATAAAATGTGTGGTTTTTAAAACCTCGCTCTGTTGAAGCTATACACTATTGCACGATTTATTTTCCAATTTACTTTAATTAGAGAATTATTTCTGATGTGAATTTTTCCATTGAAAATTAATATCATTATTTTTGAGGAAGAGTCGGTACAATCATGCTTATGTTGCTGAGCAAGAAACAGATATGAACTGCAAAGAAGAAAAAATATATATAGATACATACCTATATTAATTTGTTCAAAATAATCTTCATGACTGGATTATTTGGTGTAGGTATGTAAGTAGCACCATAGAAACTGAATATTCTCTTACATAACCGTTGCTGTTCCATTTTACCGTCGACCTCCATCTGCTTGCCGGATGCCATAATTTTCGACAGATAACAATTTTTCAAAGACACTCAACATTCGTTCGCAAGCTTTTGTGATGGGAGGGCAAAGGGCCGATGCTCTTATCTATTTTTTACGCATCAAAACAATGTTTTGTGCTATGTTCTCGAAAAAAGAACAAATGATGATGAACAACACATGGAATTGTATACTACATATCAACAATTCGGTTTTATTTAACTTTTTTTGTTTCAATATGTTTTCACTCTCAGGGGATTTTCTAAGATTTCCTTTTTCAATATTTTCATTTCAATCAGAAATGATGCTTTTATTGTTATGCTTCTGCTGAACGAATATCTAAGAAGGACGAGAATTTCGCCGAAATTCGTTCAAGGGTTAAAGTGCTTCTTACGATAGCATTTAAAGATTTCTATCTTTCATTTATAAATTCAAGCCTGTTTTCATTGTTAAAAAAATAAAACTTTCGATTGTCTCACTCACATACATTTGTCAATAATGTTTCCATGCCATTGTAAGCTTAACAATACATCAACGCGACCCAGAATGCATTTATTACACAGCATTAATAAATGATATATTTTTGCAACGTGCCAGAGATTCATCGTTTAAGCAGATTTACATTCCGTTGAAATTTTAAATTACAGACATTTGTAAAAGTATGCTTTCGTTCGCTCTTTTCTTTTTCATCTGGAAATGTAAATGGAATAAGAGCAGAGTTGGGCGATACATTTTCCGATCCAGGTCGGTAATCCAAAACATTTTCCAAAATTTGAAATATTAGATCGTGGATTGGATCGTCGATTCAAAAGCGTCAAAATTGTAAAAAAATTTCTACCCCTCAGCGTGAATTACAATTATGCCATTTCAAACGCTGAGGATAGATTTTTTTTACAAGTAAGGACAAAAAGTATTGAAAATTTGGAACAAGAAAATGAATCGACGATCCAAAAAATTTTTATATCGCCCAACTCTGAATAAGAGGATTACAAAAAGCTCACACACATGTTTTTTCATTTTTATTTTTTAAAGATTGTAGGAGAAAGATTTACCGAGGGGTAATTCATCGTAGGTTTTTTGCCGGCTGTCTCTACATAATGCTTCGGAGAGCACTTCTTAGTGCGTTTTCAAAATAATAACAATTTTCCAAAAATCTGTATAGTTTGGATTCTTTCAAGTGCTTTTTTCTCAATGGTGCTTATACCGACCAATTCTTGATGAATTACTCCTTGATGGATTTTCCAAACACCTTGGAGAGTGAGCGAGAGAAAAGAATGAAGAATAGTCTAAATAGGAGTAAAGGTCACGGGATTACCTAAAAAAATGAAAAACAAAAATGATACATTAAAGCATATTTCAAAGCACATTTAATACTTCATATTGTGAAAATATTTTTCGGCTTATGATTGATGTCATGTAAAATTTGTCATGATGGATTTATTACAGCTGACATGAGTAGCAGCTTATCTGTTCACTGAAATTGAAAATATGTACTTTACGCCTTTATGCCTATGAAACCAAACAATAGCAAGAATATGTTTTAGCATATCCTTGAAAGAGTTTTCTCTTATTATTATTCTTTTCTTTCGTCATTGTTTGATACTTACAATAAGAAAATTTTCTTGAAAGAAATCCGATATAACCTGAATTTGTTCATAGAATAAGCAACGAACTCCATTCATAAAATTTTGTTTTCGAATTTATTCTATCAGGATTCATAGGTTCTTTAAAGCACTTCCAGAGACAAAGTGAAAAGAAAAATTCGCGTGACAATTTGTTCTTTGCATTGAAACATTTATGCAGGCTGACGTGGTTATTAGGATATGAACTTTTGTAAAAGAAAATTTTTTTAAATGAATGTGTCAGAAGTGAACGTTGATGGATAGAAGAAGTTAATCTGATGTAAAATCATAAAAGTATAATGAGAAAGTTTTAACTTGTCTCAAGTGAGAGCTCAAACTAAAGTTTACATAATCCTATTAAGGCTTACTAGATTAACAAGAAAAAAAAAATTATAACAAAAATGAATTCTGAAGTAAAATAAAAATAAAATAAAATATATAAATTTATAAATATATATTTATTTTACTTTTCCAATTGTGTATAGATTTAAGAACTATGTTCCTTTTACATTTCCTTCAGGATAAGGAAATTTCTCATGTACACTGATGTTTCATATTTTTTTCTGAAATTATTGAAGAGAAAATTAAATCTAAATTTCATTCGCATCTTCAATTTAATAGTTCTCTTTAAAAAAACATTTTCTGGATAATTTTCACTTCACTTATATTGCAAACCTGAGGATACTTCGATACTCAGAAGTTTCTTTCTAACATTGTTGCATAAATTAACTTTTCTCCCCTCTTACTTAGAATGAAAAAAAAACAAGTTTTACGTCGTTTGCGAGTGACTCTTAGATTTTATAGTTTTTCTCACAAAATCTTCTGTCGTTAAAGATTTTAAGTTCAAATTTATTTACTTGTTATAGGAAATTGTAGCGAATATATAAAATCGTATGAATCTGATAGATTTTTATTTAAGTTTAAAAAGAGGGAGTATGTGAAAAGCATGACGACGAAAGAAAAATATTTTATTTTATATGCTCGCACACATTCAAACTAGTTTCTATCGCATTTACGAGACGTGATATGAATTTAATTTTACCTTCCTTTTTCCGCCTTTGCTTCCCTTCGATTTCAAGAGATTTTTAACGTTCATTCAAACGCTACTTCACCACCGTTCATTTTTTCTGTTATTTTCTTTCTTTCATTCGGGTTCAACTAATAGAACTACTTTTTAATTTCGGTCCATTATGAATCTACTGCTGAAATTACTGTTACGTTAAAACGCTTACGAGTAGGAGTGCGAGGGAACAATGATTCTCAACGAGAATTCGCTCATTAGCTTTATTAATTTGCTGGTAAGTACTTATTTCTGTAGATTTTATAATCTAATGAAACTTCAAAAATCTTGTGCGCAATACTGTAGTAGTAAATATCGTAAGAGGAAAAGGATTGTTTGCTGCAATTCAAACACAACAACAATTATCATAAAGAAAATGCAGTGATCGGTTCAAAGAACATAAGAGATATTCTATCATGATGACAGATATCAGGAGGATGCAAAAATGACGGCAGTGACTAGTTAGCACAACCCATTTTCCCATGAAATTGGAAGGTGCTCCCATTGTCATTTGCCACATATGTCCATTGCCGCCCAATTGCTTCAAACAATTGGGTGAGGGTCTTTTTAGTATCTGTCTAAGTGATGATGATGATAAGAAATATTTGAGAGAAATATTTAAAAAAAACTGCTATGGCCTTGTATTACATCGATGAAATACATGACTTAGCTGAAGGCAAAATCATCAAAGAAGTTAGAGATGAATGTTCAGTGTTCATACTCAGTGTTAAATAATTAGTGAGCATTCGAGCTTTCATATTCTCAAGCAAATTTCTCGATTGAAGTTTAACAAGTGTAAAATCTTTTCAACAAGAAGTATTGCGAATGACAGTATGATTCCGTAAGGGATGAGCAGAAGTGCTGGCAACGAGTCATCAATTGAAATGCTTTGAAAGTTCTGACGATTGACACAAATCGGCTTCTTTGTATAGATCCTTGACAACGTCCTTTTCTGTATTCCACTCTCCATTGCTAAAATGAGGCTTTTATAACGTTAGCAGGTGAAAGTTCCGCAAAAAAGGGAAATGATGAAAAAGAAAAAGCAATAAAAATGCAAAGGAAATTTTCCAATCATATTACGAACAACAACTCATTGAGAATTCTAGAAACTCACTTGACTTTGATGATCTCCTTATATGGAGACCTTTTCTTGATAGCCAGGAAAGGGTCACTGAATTTCAAAAATTCAATATTAACTAATTCGCACTTCTCATGCTCATAGAACGTTTCCTCCATGATATTATAAATGCCTGTTTCTTCAGCAATCATTGCATATAATCCTTTCCTGATACGAGCAACACCTTCGTGTATCTTTGAGTAATGATCTTTTTCACCAGGAGGATTCAGTTTTTTATAAACTTTCTTTTCAAAAACGCCTTCAGCTGCTGCAAAGTAATATCGATTATAAGGCGTATCTTCAATGCCTAACTCTATTTTAGAGTTGTACAAATCTTCCATCGTTCGAATGTTCTTTGATGGTGATTGAAGCAGTGAAACAATATTTGCTGTGTAAGCAGCATAAAGAAAGGAGAATGCCAAAAAGATGAAGAACTGAAAATAAGATGACAAGAGATGGACATTTAATTCGTTTTTGATTTTTTCTGTTTAAACAACAATATTGTGTGATATCATTTATGTACAAACCATGATGATTCGACTTGATGTAACACTCGATGTCAGTGACGGATCCATTTGGCATATAGCGGCTATTGTTGATAACATCGAGTCAGTGAATCTCTTGTGATGATTTACTTTCTCACTATTGACAGCAGAGTTGTCAGTTTGTGATGTCAAATGAAGCAGAATCGTGCTGATGAGAACGAGAATAAGACATGAAAACCAGACACTCGATCGAAATGGCAATGTGTATATATTGGAAACTTTAAAAGGAAAAAAGTTATTTGCAATTAAAAAATATCTATATAGGTATTATTTTTAATATTTCTCGTCCAAAACATTGAATTATTTGCAATTATTAATAGAGATAAGAATGAAATGAAGGAGATATATTTTCATTGTTGATATTAATGATAGTAAACATCAACTGCGTCTTCGATAACTTAATTTTTAATAAATTCGCAAACATGTTACTTTCACGTTAACTAAGTCCCTGCTTTGTACCATTTGCCTCGAATCTCTTAATCAAATTAGAAAATCCTATTGATGCATGTGATTTTCCTACCTGCTGATAACTGTGGCGCACGAAAGATGAACTTTCCTCGTGTTGGTGTGTTTAATGTCGTGTAGTCTATAAAAGGAAATCTCTCTGCAACCATAAAAAGTGCCGTCCCTGTAAAAAGATTTTTTTTTCTCTCATTTATTATAGTGAACGTGATCGATGGGACCCTTTTTTCTCTTTATTTTACCTCCAATATCAGCACCTTTGTGGACTATGTCACCAACCATGCCGGACCATTTCTTTGTCTTTACATTATAATAGCCCCAAGTACCTTGAAATAGCTCTTTCTTTGTTACATTGAGCTTATCCAGGATAGAATTGATGATAATATAATTATACTTCAATATTGAATCAACGTTTTTATCAGCAAAGTCTGTTAGATGATTTCGACTGGATTTGTTCAGTGCAACATAGCTTGATGTTATCAATTTACCGTGTAAATTTTCTCTTTTCTGTGAAATGACTTTCATGATACGTTCATCTTTAATACCTGATTGCATGCTCCATGAACCGTAACTTTCACAATATATTTCACTTGACTCTTCTTCAATTTTATAAAATTTCTTCAGATTGAAGCCATCGTTAATGATTTGAGCAATCAATACATCACTATCTGTAAGTGCTCTTATGTGGCGTAGAACTTCATTATTTTCAACAAATATTATCCAACGATATGGGTGTGAAAAAAGATTGATGTCTATCTGATTGTATTAATATTGATTCAATACTCAAAGCCAATAATGAAAATGACGAAATCAGCTATTTACCTTTCGAGTGATCTCCTCCGATTCATTCGTGCAAGTAAAATCCGTAGTGAAAAACCAATATTGTGGATTTTCCTTGAAATCACTTTCATTTAATGGATTCTGTTCGTAAAACGATGTTAATTTAAAACTATTCCTCACGAGTTCAATTTTCTCAACGTCATCAAAACAATCCCGCCAGACAATCATACTTGTTGGTTTAATTTGCGACTTCATAAAGTCCAACAAAAATAAAACTTTGTTCTTGTTACCATTGTTATCACACAACACCAGATTTCGTGACAATGTTAACATGATGATGACGAGACATCGAATCATTTCTAACTTTTGTTATTCGTGTTTCAATATTGAATTGGAAACTGAAGCGGTCAGTCAACAACTTTTATAAGAGACGTTATAATTGCCTCTGCATGGTTGATTTTAAAACTTTCATGTTGAAGCTTGTTATTTGAAGTCAAAACGTCCAATTAATGAATGTAATAAGCATCGTCTTTTTGAAACTTAAAAATATACTATAAAGATTCATTTTCATATGGGATATTTATTGATAAATTATAGTCCACATTTTTTTCCTTCTACCTTTATGTTGTTTATAAATTTTGGCCTTCGCCTTATGGTTTATATTTTCTCTTCATGATTAAAAATTCCATTTGAGTGCTTTTCATATAGATATTCCTGAGTTTAAATGAAATTCTGTGAAAAGGCCTTTTGTTTGTTTATCTTACCATTATTCATTGTTGACGTACATGAGTAAAAGTGTTCCTTTCACTAGAATAAGTACCACACGAATACTTTGCTATACTCCTATATTATGAACGTAATTCTGATTTGATTAATATCTATGTTTGTACATTTCAGTTGAGCATTCATTGTGTCTAATATCACTAATTAATTGGATTTTCTATCTATTCACAAAAGCATTCCTATCTATATACAGTCGATTCACTATAAGTGGAAGCTCTATAAGAAGAAAAGCTCCATAAATAGGCCCCCCTTCAGATTCCACTTTAAGAGCGTCGACTGAAGGTAAAGGTGAGATGGAGTAATCAAATGGTTGGGAATGTTGTATAGAAAATTGAAATTAAATAGATCTAAGATCAATAGATCTACATAAGATCTAAGATCTTTGGGATGAATTCCATCGAATAAATATTAGCTTACAACATACAGAATGAAAGAATCTTAAGAGTTTTTATTGATAAAGAACAAAGTTAAACCTGGATTCAAGCTCAGATTAAGCTCAGATTCAATACATTTGATTTCAATGGAAGTACTTTCTATCGTAAAAAAATTGAATTTGTAATACAAAAAAAATCTATTGCAAATTTATGTCACGTACAATTTTTTCCTCAATAATTTCTTAGTAATCTTTCAGGTATGTAAAGAAGAAAAATTACTGATTCTACTTGTATTAAGAAAATGAGAAAAACACATTTGAAAAGAATACACTTTTTTTTTAAAGTTTTAATGGCAATATCTCGATATTATGTCTTCGAAATTCATTTGAAAGAACTAACAAAATATCATTTAAGATACATCTGGTTAAATATTTATTTTAGTAAGAGAGGAATCAAGGTAATTTAATTTAAATATTCATCGACTTGGTAAATGTGAAATTCTAATCCTAATTGAAGCAAATTATGCTTAATAAACGTGATATAAAATCATACGCAAAAAAAAAAAATAATATAAAAAAGTTTAAAGATATCTCATCGTCACCTTCTCCAAATAATGGTCGAGGTGATGGAAAGATCCTTTCTTTTGTGTAATAAAATATTTTGGAAGGTGACGTCGAAAAAGGATTTCTGGTCGAGAAAGTTTTCCATTTTACCTTTTCGTAATTGCCTTAAAAATTTGAATCCTTTGCTTTGGGGAAGCAAACAAAAAATGTATCTGACACTGAAAATAAATGAAAAAATGACAGAAGGAACTTAAAAAAAACAAATTCGTTGAAATGAAATATTTCATAAAATTTAATTGGAAATTTTGACAACAAACTGAAGAAATAATTAGGTGAATTAGAGAAAAATCATTGTTTCGAAAGAGGAAAAGCGACAGAATGATGACTAATCATTTTTAGTTTCGTCTTTTAAACTTTTATGAAAAGCAGTCAAAGAAACTTTTCAACCCGTTAAGCCATGTCAACTCCTACAATAATTTTTTCGAAAATATTAGATAGCTATTCAACAAATTTCCACGAATGAAATAATTAAATAATACATTTTGCAATTTGCGAAGTTTTTATTTATAAGCGGATTCAAAATAATTTTCCCTCGAGCCAGGCTTTTGTCGAAACATTTATTTTTAGAATTTTCAAAATAATTCTGGATTATATTTTTCATTTTTGTTCACAATCAGATAGTGCCGAAAATAAGTAAAAAAATATAGTAAGCGGATTATACTCTTAACTTAATTCAAAACTAAATACTCTGCATGTTCAATGAATGAAAAGTTTTTAATAACTCGTTCATATTAATTAGCAGCTTACATACGTTGCAATGAAATCACAATTTCTGTTTGAATTTCAAATACTTAATAAATTGATCTGATTTAAAATTTAATGCTATATCTTAATACATAGTAATTAATCAAATTTATCTTATTGACATTGTAAAATTAGCTACTTGATTAAAGTAGGTGGTCGAAAATGATAATAAATTATTTACTAAGTAGCTCATCTAATATTTCCATTTTCAAAATTTTACAAATTCAATATTTTTCCATTATTAAATACTTTGAGACATTAAATATTTGTTCTTTTTTTAACGTTTACTTATCTATCCATAAGAGAACACTTTTTATATTATTGTGATGCAGGAAAGACTATAATTTTGTGATTTGAACATTTGTTATTCCTGGATTTTGTGCGTGGATAGACATACTTCATTGATTCAAGTTTATGTCAGAATTACGAATCTGCAAGTTTATTTTTCAATAACATTCTTAATCATTATTATATTACAAATTGTACAGCTTACTTAATTAAACTAATTTTTCGTTTCCGTTCACATTGATTGTTTTATTGCGAAATTTCAAAAATTAAAATTAATTTTATTAACAGAAAATGAGATAATATAAACAGTTTTTATACAGTAGATTGTCATTAACATTTGTCCAATCCCCAAAGTCGCTTTTAATAGTCGGACATTAAGTGACTTCATAAGAGCAATAGGTTAAGAAGCAAAATTTTCCAGGATTAATTATATAAGAGATTGGAAGGAAATTTTCTTTTACTTCTTAGTCCCCAAACTGCTGCAAAGCAATGATCTGTAGCGAGTTAAAACAAAGAAATTTCTACAAATCGAATAAGAATAAAAATATATTCAAAAAAAGTTTTTGAAAAACATCCCCACCTCAAACTCTTGATGAAAACCCTTGTAAAAGCAGAAAATAAGTTCCTTTAAAGGTTTCTTAAAATTTATTGAATTTTGTTAACTTGAAATCTCATTTAACAAGTTTGAGGGTTTGAAGCCCCAGAAGTCATATAGTGTGTTAGGTATTTAAAATGAGGGCTTCAAACCCTTAAACTTGTTAAATGAGATTTCAAGTTAACAAAATTCAATAAATTTTAAGAAACCTTTAAAGGAACTTATTTTCTGCTTTTACAAGGGTTTTCATCAAGAGTTTTAGGTGGGGATGTTTTTCAAAAACTTTTTTTGAATATATTTTTATTTTCATAGTTTTCCAATGCTGTTTTCTTTTAACATATAAATGAAATAGTTTTATACATATATATTTGTACTCATAAAATCAATCAATGATTTATTACTGCTTTATTTTTCTATAAGAACATATTTAAACGATATAATGCTATATTACAAAATTTTGTACTCTAGTTTTTGATTATAGTAAATTTAATTATTTTTTTTATAATCTGGTAGCTTTCGCAATCTTTCCATTTCATCTGATACTTCTCTGTTAACAACATTTGTTTTTGTACCCGTCAATTTTCCGCAATCAATTTCTTCAAGTCGCAGGCCTTCTAAGGATCGTGCTCGACTTAATGCTACGTATGCTTGTCCAGGAGCAAAAATTTTAGAACCTATGTAGACAACACATTGATTGACGGTTGTTCCTTGCATTTTATGAACAGTTGAATCAAAACATAATATCAATGGGAGCATTCTTCTTTCAACTGTTCCATACGATAACTTTGCTGGAAATTGTACTGTCATTGGATCGATGCGTTTTATTCCAGTTGGTTCTCCAAAATCGATATCTACACTTGTCTGAATTTCAATACGAAGTTTTTTTTTCTTCGCAATGTTTTTTTTTTTCGCTGGTATGTTTTTTTTTCGCTGGCATGTTTTTTTTTTTTTCGCTGGCATGTTTTTTTTTTTTCGCTAGCAAAAAGTGTTGAAAGAACATACATACATAGAAGTTTTTTTGTAAAGTAAAGAGTTTGGGGTGGGGAAAAAAGCAAAAATTTCTCTAAATCTCGATCCCTATAAAATGTTTTTCTTCAATGTTTCTTTATATTTTCATTGTTTGAAGTTGATACTTTTGCAACCATGTCCTCAAGGGAAAAATTATGATTTTATCCACTTATCTATATGCAATGCGTCTGCAAGACTGAAAATAACGTATTCATGGTTGAAAGAGTGAAAAACATTTATTTTCTTTCTTAAAATATCTTAAAAACAATCGTAAAACGATAGACACTAAGCCGTGATAATTTGATTGTATCGTCTCCAAACATTACTTGACGATATTACTCATGGAGGAAGCATACCCGCGGAGCAGTTGTGCCGCTCGGGTTTATTGTCATGGTGATAATGTTCAAAGACAATTTTCATCTTTTTTTGTTTAATGATTATAAAAATTTTCAATAATTTCAATATTTTCTGTGAATGGTATCTGTTTAAATCAAAATTGAATGTACATAAATGTACATAAATTAAGTTTTCCTTTCTTTGAGAAATAATTTGTTTAATTTCATTTATTAAATATACATGTATGACTTAACATGTTTTGATGTTTACGTTTTTATTTGAATTTAATCTTAAATAATTTACGGCTTTTCAGATTTTTAAGGTGATTAAAACTCAAATTTTTATTTGGCTTCCGTCCGACTAGTTTCTAATTTTCTTCAGAGCTCATAAAAGAATGTTTATATCAATTTGTCAAAAAAATAGTTACATTGACCAAAAACTACCGATTAAAATTAATAAACCGTAAATTAATATGCTCTATCTGTACAAATTTTTTAACTTGCTTTTTTACCATTGCACTTTTTCCCCTTTTTGTTCCTCCACAATTTCCTTTTGAAATTCAAAGGAAATTGCAGTCAATTGGCAAAACAATTCTTTTTTCTTCCTTTTCTGTTCTTCGAAATATTATCAAGTGAAATCCAGAAAAATTATGAAATCATAATTTTTCTTAAGCAGAGAAACACAGTTGAGAAAGTTTACTCACAGAACTTATATCTTATCATAAATCTTGCACCAAGAAAGAAATTGTTTCAAACATTATTTTTAAATCCAAGCTTTAAATATGTGTTAGGTGCAGAGGAAGAATTTCAATGAAAATGAGACGTCATAAAACAAAATAATGCTTAATCAAGTGATATTCAAGTTCATTTCGCTTAAGCGTTCGGCCTCAAAACGTAATAAGAAAGTTCTCGCTTTTTATGTGAAGTTTTCTCTCTTTATTTGACTTTGAATAACATTTAAAAATTTTATTCAAATGTCTAATTTTAAAATTTATTTTGAAAATTGAGTTAAATGAGTTGATGGCATAACATGTACTTGTTAAGATTTTTTGTTGGTTGAGTTTATGTCAAAAGAAAAAGATAACTCTCAGAGAACGTTCCTTTCCTTTATGTTTCATGATGAATATGAAAGAAAGCGGAGAAAACTTTTTCATGAGGTTTGATCCGCTTCAAAGCTTTTGAATAAATAAAAGGGTTGCGAATACATATCTCGGGACATCTTTTCAACTCGTCTATCTCGGTTTAAAATGTAATTAATTATATGCTAAAAAGCATGATAAAGCAACATTATTACCTTCAGTTTATCCTCAGTTGTGGTTTAAACAGTATATTTGTTCCGTGTACAATTTAAATAAGTATGTGTGCTTTGTTTATTTAGAAGCAAACATTTGTTAAAATTTTATTTAATTTAATGAACGAGAATAGATCTATCCTCTATAAGGAGACTAGAAATGATATAAAATTGTTCAAATGCTACATTTATTATTATTTAATTACTCGTCAGAATAATAAATATTTTAATTTATTTCTGCCTCTTGCTAATTGATAAGTCGTGGGTAATATGCAAGTATAAGTACTGCTCATTATTGTTTGCAAAATGTTGTGATAATTTATTTTTAAAGCACAACATTTTCAGGAGTGGTTAATTGAATACCAGAAAACTATTTAAGAAAAGTACTTAAGATATTTGACTGGAAATCAAATTTATGGCAGCGTGATTTGAATCCTATCAGCTATAAAATTTATCTCATAATTTTTTGTGAATAATTCTGAATAAATTCATGTTGTAATCATAACAAAACATACTTATATAAATTTCGCAAAGTCTAAAGATAATTCAATGATGCACACATAAACTTAAACATTTATAACGTTTAAAAATTAAATCCAATGCTTCATTACAAGTTTCATTACAGGCTTTTATAATAATTTCCAAATCCAGCTTGTTCTGTTGATTCATGTTGTTTAGTTATTACAATTTACAATAATATATTTAAGGGGGAATTTTTATTTTAATTTTTCTCCTTTCCATTCCACGGATAACGGGATTTTTAAAAAGAGAAAACATTACATATCAAAAAGCTTACTTTTCGAGTACGACATGAAAGATTTATTGATTTTCATAACGAAAAATTGAAATGTGATGAGAAACAGTTTTCTTTTAACATTCCACAGTGTGTTCTTAGCGGTCATAACTCGAATTTCCAAGTTATGACAGTCAATGCTTGTCGTCAACACAAAGTAACACGAAGCCCTCTTGTAAGTTCGTTTCCTTTTTAAAGTTGACAACAATAATGGCGAAAATTTCGTTTATTTTTCCTTTTACTTGTGTTCCTTCGTGTTTTCCAGCATAAATATTGTTCATTTTGACATACGCTCTTATTTGCTATTTGTTTTGTAATTCCACATTGTGAACCTGGGCTTTCCGTTTCTATTTGATTGCTGTTTACATTTCTTCTTCTTTTTATCCCATCAAGTCGAAGGTACGAAGAAAGTGTTCTTTTCCTATGAAATAGATATTTATATGTACAATCCTAACATGACCAATTTTGAAATTGAACAAGCAATAATTGAACTCATTTCGAAAAAAAAAGTTTTTTCCTTAAATAGCTACCTATTTCTTTTAATAGTGAACACTGCTAAAAATCTCTGCATTTAAAATTTGGATGGTTTTCTCTTTCTTTCTTTGTTTCACACTCTCAGTTTCTCGAGTAATTTATAAAATGTGTAAGTTATAGACAAAGTTTAGAGAAAAACAAACCAAAAATGGAAGAAAGCTGCAGAGAAATTCATAATGGCTCCATGTCTTAGATAATTTTGAACAAATTTATTTTGTCGGCATTTTTTCACTTTTTGAGGACCGTTTTTATTTTCCAGTTTGTTTTTTTACAATAACACAAAACCACAAATTTCCTTACAATTCAGCCTTGGCCTTACTTATTAAAAAAACATTATGATTCAATATGATCTCGTAAATGTGGAATGAGATGAAAAAAATCAAAACAATTTCCTGCAACACATTTTACTACTTTCTCTTCATGAATTTTTAAGGTTAAGAAGCAAGTTAAGTAGATTGAGTTGTCTTATGGGAATTATTATCGTTACTGTAATGTCCTGAAAAGTCGGACGTAATAAAAACAACGAGATGATTACTATGTAATAAATTAATTGTCATCCCGCGAGTTTGCAACGGATCCGTTCATCATCTTGTTCAAGTTAAGTTCAAGTAATGACTGAACTTCCTTTTTACTGAATGAAGTCTCATTTATACCTTTACATTATAGTCACTATTGTAAATCTAACTCAGTCAATCTGAAATCTCTTAAATCTTCTGATTTTCATTACTTATGCTTTTCTATTTGGTTTCTCTGTGTTATGAAGAAGCTGCAATTGATTTTTTTGTTTGTTTAAAGATGGATTTTCCACTGAGTGAGGAAAAATCCCTTCTACCTTTATCGCAAATTTCATCCCTGTGTTTAAAGTAACAAAATTTACGTATTTTATCCTACAGAGTTGATATAGAAGAGCTTATATTCTGTTTGCCAATATACATTCTAAGTCCATTCTAATCCAATGAGATTTCATTCTTGGAACATAACACGATGTAAAGTGAATACGTTGGATGATAAGAAGCGCATTGATTATTAATGTCTTACCTCGAAGCATTTGTTTCCATGTTGTTAAGATTTTGTAACTAATATAAACAACAAGAAAATCGAAAGCCTAAATTTTGAATAACTTAAAGCAGAAGGAATCGAACACACAAATTGGTAAGATACTTAAATGACAATTTTTTTCTTTTTTTTTTCTTGACGCTTATATTAATTTTATGTAATTTTTCATTTTTAAGTAGAAAGTTTTCGATTTTCCACTTCCTTTCGTCTTTGGAAGAAACTTTCACAACGACTTAGAAATTTGTTCCGAAGCAATCTGGTTTGTTTCTCATTGGAGTTGTTAGAGAGAAAGAAAAGTTTATTTTGCTTTTATTATGAGATATGTAGATATACGAATGAAAAAATTTTCGTCAGATATTTTTCTTTTATGGTGAGAAGTCGCGAAGAAAACGGGAAATCGAAATATAATGACAGAATGTTTTCAATGAAAAAAATTTTAACACCGATGTCCATTTTATTTATTTCATTTTATGGAGAGATGATTTGCGGATACTTCAGACATAAACCTCATCAGAAAGAGTAATTTATTGTGGGAGAATGCCTTGCTCAATACTATATTTTTCTAAATCACAAAACGAGGTTCATTTTTTTCAATAATGTTTTTAATAAATAAAAAGCTGTCTCTAGAGATGGAAGACATAATAACGATAATCTAAAAGATTGTTCAATATTAATAAGCCGATCAATGTTTTTTTTACTAAATTTCTATGTTTTCTCATCGACATGACTCTACCAACTGATGAACAATTCTTGTAGTAAATATGTACTCTGATCTACTTTAGAAATAAATAAATATTCCAAAAAACTGTTGGAATTTTTGTTTTCATTTTTATTTTGGAAGATATTTTGAGAGAGAATCGCATGAAGAACTGCCTTTTCCAGTTATTATTATTATTTTATATATATTATATATGTATTTTATTTTATAGTTCTCTTTCAATAGCTTATTTTATATTTACTCACTCATTCTTTGTAGATGAAATTCAAATTATTTGAGCTCACAAAACTGAAAAAAAGTAGAGGCTTAATTGTAAGCTAAGGTTAAAAATAAAATTGTGTAATGAAATATTTTAGAAGATCTTACTTCATAAGTTCATTTTTTTTTAATTAATCAAAGATATCATTAAAAAAAGTGAAATATCAAATAAAACAAGAAAAAATTAGATATTTTAATCAAATGACGCATGAACTTCAAATCTAATAATAGTAAATTCATTTCATTCTTTTTAATATCTAATTGAGTTTTCCAATTTTTTATCGAATGTATTACAAAATTACTTGTTGAAATTACAAGGCATCTATGTGACAAATCAAAAACGTGGAATTTCAACCATTCTCAATTTCAAAAATTCAAAAATTGAATAAAATGTATTCCCAGGCGACACAATTTATTTATTTTTTATTTCCTTATAGGAAACTTGCAATGCAATAATGGTAAGTTTCCTTTAAGGTGGCTTTGAAGTAAAATTTTTGGAATTTTTCTTCTTTCATTTTCATTTTATTTCCCTCCATAGTCATTATTACAGACTTTTAAACATTTGTCCTTTAATTAAGAATGTTTTACATACAGAAAAAACTTTTTTTTTCTGATTTCTACTTCCCTCTAAATTAAAAGTTTAACAAAATTATTTTATGTGACAAAAGACATTGCTGGATGCTTACAGTATTTAAACCTTTTGGTTTTACACTCAGCAAGTCGTTTTATGTTGTTTTCAAATGTATGTGTGATAGTGTCTAATCATATGTAATCATATGAGCCTGTTTTGCTACAGAATAGTTATGAATGAGTCAGGGTTCGGAAGCTTAACGATTTTTCGCAAAAAGCTTCCAAGCTTCCGCTTCGGCTTCCGACTCATTCAATGAGTGTAAAATTCAATGTTGTTTAATCTTATATATATTTTTTTTAAATAAATAATCCAATACAACACTTTTTTTAAACGCATCGAATTTTAAGGCTCAACAGTTGACTGTTTTGGACATGAATGATGATGACCCCAGCAGCACAAACGGAATCCGCTAAAGGCAAACCACAGACATACAGGCAGAGCAGTTGTGCCGCTCGGGTGATGGTTGCTTTTGTGCATTTGATGTTGAGTTGTATGACGAAACGATATGATGATTCACGTTCTTATTTATTTTGATATTCCTTTCGACAAGAAAATTAATTCGAGCTTATTTTTTGTTCTCAATTAAGTTCATCTTCGAATTGAAAAAAATCCAGAAATAAAACATTCATTGTCATAAATAGCAAGAAGTTAGCTGAAAGGAAAAGTTTGATAACTTGAAAGGTGAAGAAAATAAAAGAAATATAATAAAATATATGAAACAACATCTTTAAAGCCAGCAATAAATTTTATTTTATTTATTGTTGATATCTAAATATAAATAGAGATCAATATGAATTTCGAGTTAAGGTGTCAGAAATTTCATTGCGATTTATTGAAAAGAAAGTTTTTTTTCAAAATGACATTGTTATTATGGACAAGAGGTTGAGAATTTGAAAAAATTGCACTTAAAACTGAAATTTAATGCCATATTTTGGCTTAGTATCAAAAAAGACAGCAAATAGAGTTTTGAATTCACTTACGTTTCTGAAATTTTTTTAAACTTCTTTCATCTAGGCAAATTTTTTTTGAAATCATGATTTTCCGTAACACTATTTCTGTGCCTACACAAAGGTTCATTCATTTGAAGACTAGTCTTTGGTAAATTTCCATGTTGTTCCAATAAACCTTATGGAGGAATATATATTCGAAATGTCCTGATCATTTGATGTTAAGAATGGTGAAGCATTGTGATTTTATGAAGAAATGGAGGAATGGAGAACCAGCTTAAGCAGTAGTTCTAAGATTGATGATGTCATGAAACATGTTTCATACTTTCCAAATTGCTTCTGAATTTTATGAGACTTTTCAATCTTGATAAGATCCACAAAATGAAAATGGTTCCACAACTTGTTGAGTGCTTTTCATCTCTCATTATTCTTTTTATTCTTTTTTATTATTCGGGGTGCTCTTCGATCGTTTTTCCTTCTCTCTCCCCCTTTCTCTTTGGGGCTTTTGAGTAGATTAATCTTTCTGTCAGAATTTTAATAATTTTCATATTTTTCATTGTTTTAACATTCGTTTTTCTTTGAGTGGTCTAATCCGAAAGGATTTCAATGGATTGTTGTGCTAAGCAGTAAAATAGACGTAGACAACAGGGCGCCCCATAAAAACTGATAAATCTTAAAGTTAACAACTTCGATATGGGTCATTTATTCAAACACAAAACAACAACCGAAAAAGAAAAACTAACAACACATAAATTCTATCTAGATTAGAAAGAAAAGAGAATTTTTTGGAGTTGAGCTGAATAAGTTTCAAGCTATTTATTTAGACAATATTTCCTTTCTTCTGAGCTTTATTTTTCTATCAGTAAGTTCTAAACATGAAACAGAGGGTCTATGTGTTGACATTTTTTTTTGAATTGTGCCTATACACGAAAGTCTCTTTTTTATATTGTTGTTTGTTCAGTGTTGAACATCTAATAAAAAAATACCCATGCTGGCTTATACTGAAAAGATAAAATTCGAAACGGATCAAACTTTGTTTCTTTGCTTTATTGAAGCTTATTAAACCCAAATCTTGTGTTGAATAAATATTTGAAAAAGAATATCCACAGAATAAAATTACGCTGGCCCATGAATTTCATTTCATTCCCTTAATTTATTTATTTTGCATAATTAATTGAAATTGTAATTTGAGCGCTTTTCATCGTACACATTGCTATGCTTAACTCTTGCATAATTAAACAAGGCTTAGACAGAAGATTCGGCAGATTTAAAAGTAAGACAAGGAAAAAAAATGAAATCTTTTCTTCGGTTTTGGTTTAATTTTCTTGCGTGGCTTTATCAATTATGCATTTTTGAGTAATTCTTTATTCATTTAAGTTCAGTGGATATGTTTCCTACTACCAGAACAAACGTGAAAAGGGAGATTAAAATACAACAGTATAAATGCCCTCGCTCATCATTTAATGATGATGTAATACGGTATCATCTGTAATCCTCAGATTCTGATGTTTAATTGAGGGCGGAACTAGGATTGAAAAGGGAATAACTCCCTTTCATTTCATTCATGTTGGCTTCATGAAAATCTCTCTAATCTTTATTGCTTCACGAGTGAATGTGATTAACGATTGAGTGAAATTATAATTTATAACATTTAAACTTTACATGATTGCATCTGTCGATAATTATTTATAGCTATGAAGATACACGATAAATGAAATTTGAAGTGTTATACATATACCAAAGTATTGTTTGATTAATGCATAGTTCAGATAATGTGTGAAAATTTATCAGTTTATAATTAAAATCTTCTAGCTTGGTGCAATTCTTATTCTCATGCTTTCTCTTCAATTAAAAGTCTTTTTCATTATATTCGCATGATAATGATGATAATGATTAAAAGTACTCTGCAATGCAAAAAATTAAACTCAACGATAAAGACTAAAGTTTTGTTTGGCTATTGCATTTGTAAATGTCGTTGATTATATATTCATTTCAATTTGTGCTAGGAAGCCACAGGAGCTGAATCTTTAGTCATTTTTCTGCAGATTTTCTTCCCTTTTCCATTTCTTTCATTCACTCATTCCCACACATACGAAAAATAAGAATTTTGTGGAGGGATATATGTATGTGGAAAGTTTTCGTTTCTTTCTTTCATGTTGTTTGTTTGCTTTGGCTTTCCAGAATAAAAATCGATGGAGTTTCTCTTAACAATGATGACTACATTTATATCTTTTGTGCTGAAGCTTTGCTCCATTAAGTAGTTCTTACATAAAAGACGTACGGAAAAACTTTACCATTCTTTTTATCATAGCTCCCATAACTTGAAAATATTAACACCAAGGCACTAATCTCTTTAAATGCATGTGACTCCCTTCAGTGTTTCTCCTAACGGGCTTCCACTGTACTTTTATCAAAATTGTCATATATTTAGCGCTATAAGAAATTTATAAATTTAATGAACCAATAAAATGTCTAGAAAAAAAGTAAGAAAATATTAATTAACTTTTTAAAATACATACTAATTTATGTGCTGGAGTGCAGCTAAAATTAGAATTGCTTCAAAAATCGAATTTTGAGAAGACAAATATTTCCTTGGGTGTGAGCAGAAAAGTTAATTTATGAATGATAATGAACATCATATATGGAAGTGGACATAACATTCTCTTAATTGCCATTCAAATAAGTTGCTATTTATAAAAATATTATCTGAAATGATTCATTTTCATTCAATACATCCTACAGAATGCTGACAGCATCATCATTTTCTATTGAAATATTTTCAATCTTATCTCTAAGAAGGGAATAAAATATTTCAACTTGAAAGAGATTGAGAGTTCTTTGGCAACTCGACCCCTTACATCAGTTCATATATCAATAAATATTCCCCACAAAATTTCCTCATGACCTTTTCTTCCTTCTTTCTATCTACTTTCCGGATGTAGTCATAGATCTAGGACATCTTTAAAATTTCCCATCGATTCCGTTCCATATAATTATTGCATATTATATCATACTTAAAACACTAGAAGATGCTCGAGAATTTTTTTTCATTGCTTTCATCGGTCATATAAAAATGAAATATATAAAATATAAAGTCGTACCCCATTCTTTCTACTGGTTCTCCTCTTGAATGTTTTGTGCTACTTTTTCTTCTCTTACCCTACCTGGTGTGATACTATAATAGTTTAATGTCTGTTTTGTCACAAAACTTTTTCGCAACTGTTACATTATTTATGACACCATGGAAAACATCAAATAATATCGTTCAAGCAGTAGAAATGACATCGCCTTTAAAGTAGAATATTTTTAGCTTTTATAATAAATTAATTGAATGAAAATTTTTGGTTTTTCAAAAGTGAACGTTTTTATTCATTCAGAAATAAACGAATACGATGAAATTTTGTGCAAAATATTCGCATCTGTAGGCTTTTAAATATTTGAACAATATTTATTTTGTTAGTCTGTTTATAAATAAAAATTCACGTTTATCGTAAATTATGTTTCCTTTTGTGCCATGAGATGCTTTTAACACAGCATAAATGACACAAAACTATTCGTTTTATATGTTGCTTACATTTATCTTCCATATTTTCACATGAAAAATCAAAAGACGGTTTTAAGATACTGAAAAAAACGGTATTAAAACCAGCCGGAATTATCAACTTCTACTCTAATCTATTTTGTTTTCTTTAAACTGCGAACGATCTTTACATTTTCATGCACTCGCTTCGAACTATAAATCTTCGGTTTCATGATAAAGAGCCATGCCGAAAATTCCATCATGCCACTAAAAGTTCACATCAGCAACTTACAAATTTCCTTGAATGAGATCAAAAGCAAAGTATGTAATTGCGAACAACACTCAATGTCCGTGCTTGTTTGAAATCATAGATGATTGTACCGTAAGCGTACATATCGAGAATGTAGGTGAAAGCTTCATCGCACCTTTCTGGCACAATTTCATCATACTAAATTGATGTGAATGTAATAGAATCAAAGAAAGAACTTTTATGTATGTGAAACCAACTTTGCTAAGAAAAAACCTTTATGATATTTACAAGAAATGAATTCGACTTAACCTGATTAACAGGAATTTCAAAGCGTCCGATTAACTGATTGGTGTTCAGGTCCAATACAAGAATGGGTGGTATTTGATGCTTATTCAGTTTCCCAGTAAATCCGTCATTCCACTGAAAAAAAGAATTTGCTTAGCTTTTTTTGGAATTTGCCTAGTGCTATTCTTCTGAATGGTGCTTTTGCATGCCAATTGTTTCCGATGAATTATCCCTTGGTTTCATTTACATGATAATTGGATTGAAAACGAAAACAAATAAGATGAACAAAGTGAATAACTTCGAAGCGTGAAACAGTGCCCGTATTTTTATTTGTCTGTTGCTTCAATTGATTCATCACCCAGTTTGGGTATGGATGAAAAACAGATGAATTTTCATTGGATTTTTCAACATAATTTAAGGTACCTGCTATACCTTTTCTTCATCTTTCACGAACATCATGAATAGGAAAGACGATGAAGAAGAAAGCGAAGACAAAATTGTAATTTATGCTTTTAAAGATTCTCATAAATAAGGAAATTAAATTATTTGTTTAACACCTGGGGACGGTTAGAAAATATTTATCCATCCATACATCGATTGCCAGAGGTGAATTATTGCTTTTCACAAAGCTTCCTTTTCTTGCTGCGGTTTTCTACTTCAACTTATTGACACGAGAACTCCAAACCTCACCAAGCGTTTTTCTTATTCAAAATGTTACCATTTCTCATAGAAATGAAGAGAGAATTGTACTTTCAATGTCACCGATTTCGCTTAAACTATTAGGACAGTTTTATCGTGTCGTTAATATTATTTATAATATTTGGCAGAGGAAGTCATCGGTTCTCAGAAGGTGTAAGTATTCTTGAATATTGGTTAGCAAAATAGATTTTATACATAAAACAAACACACAAACAAACAACTTTTTAAAGACCTACTTATTAAAGTCATTTCGAAACAGGTCAAAAATTATAAATTTAAGTATTTAAAACCGTATTGTGACTGACTACTATCCACATTATATGTTTGAATATCATGCGAGTGTGTTCCGATTATTGGTTGGATTTTTTATTTTCAATTCGCATTATTGTTCATACATAGTTTCATTGAAATGAACTTACAGTAGTTTTGTAATTTCTTTCCTTCTCAATTATATACTATGGCATATTTATTTAATCGTCAAAAGCTTTCATTAAAGTTGAAGATAATGAATTGTTGAATAGTTTCAAATGCAACATATTTAGATTCAATTTATGATTAACGAAAGGCTGATATCTATTTGTTTAGATATCTATTTAAAAATTAATGCAGAATAAAATCAAAATCATGGAATCATATTATAACTTTAAAAGCACATTCGAGAGATTTCTCAATTTCAAACAAAAGAAAGAAATTTTAAAACTCACTCGGAAGACAATCAAAAATGCTTTCCAATATCATTTCTCTTCATTTAAACTTGAAATAAAATATGAATACTTTGTAAAATTCGCGAATAATGACTTACGACATGTCACGATTCGTGAAAGAAAAGTTTTTGATTACTTACGTCAATTATAATTGATAAGATTCTTTCTCGTGTTCATATCGAAAGTTTTTCTCTTTTCTATCTTCACCTGATTTCAGAACTCATTTTCGTGGGAAATAGATACATATGTATAACAAAAACGGAAAAGTTTCGTCATTAACAAATAAAATGTTTTCAGCAATGAAATGAAGACAAGAAGAAAATTGTCTTGTGTTTTTTAAGTTGTAAAGCACGCTTAAGATCTCTTAACGCGATTAATGGGAGAGCCATAAAATCTAATTATTGCTGCTATCAAAACCAAAAATAATCGTGCCGAAAACTTCAGAAGCAGATAACTGTTAACATCTTCAGATGCTTAGTGTCGCTATTAAGATGAGAACTAAATAGAAGAAATGGCTTACAGAAGAAATCATTTGTTAAGTAAAACTTTTCACAAAAGTTTTTCGCTTTTTTTTTTCTTTCTTTCCTTCTTCTTGTTTCAGTAAATGTTGGAATAAAGATTATATGCTGTATGGGAAATCTGTGTTTGTTCTAATTTTCCTTAAATGAAAATAAATATAAGGTGATCTAGTGATTCGTTCTTTTAATTTAATATCATCATGACAAAAAATAAAAATAAAACTTTTTTCATTTTCCTCTATATTTTTGAGTTTTAGATATCATTCTCATTTCAATCTCTAAATCTTCATTAAAGTTTGTTTTAGTATCCTCATATTTCCGAAGAGTGCGAACTTTTAAACAATTTCACTTCGCTGTTTCATTCGTCATGAGAAATGAGAAGACTTAGGTCTAAAGAAGAGTTCAGCTCTTACTTGTACAAAATTGAATTCAAAAATAAATAATAATAATAATAATAAATAAGAAAAAACGAAGAAACAGTTAGATAATCAGTTAGATTCAAGCGTTTGCATTGATAAAGACTCTGAAGCAAAAAACTTTCCAATAGTCTGGAAAATTGAGAATTATGGCTTCATTAAAGACATTCCGTTGAAACTATAAGATTATTTTAAAGCTCGATAATTTAAATATTTTTAATGCAAGCTTTTCCAGAAAATGGAAAACATTTTTTTAACTTTCGTTTGAGAAGCTTCACTTTAATCAAATGTCATTCGATTTTTAGTAATCCTTGAATAAAAATTTGCTTCATGAAGTCACAGCAGATCTTTTCCTACAACTTGTAGCTAAGTAGATTGCTTCTATGTTAAAAGTTAATTTTATAATAATTTTTTTAATAACTATATTAATAAAGTTTCATGAAGAACTCATTTTAATACTATGAGAAAATTTGTTGAAACTTTTCCGCTTTTTTCTCAAAATTACCACTTTTTCATAAGGTTTTATTTTATATTTATTTTCACCTCAACTTTGCCTTATTGGCACCTTTAATTTCTTTCTTTCTCTCTTTAAATTTTACATTCCCTTACATTTCCCTTTACATTTTTCTATCAATAGATTCTATAAACTCGCAAATATGTTGAAATCATTGACAAAAAATATCTGTTGTTGAATATTTGATGAAAATTTCATGGCATGAAGTTCTTTTGATTTTTGTTGAAAAAAGATTCATCTTCCTCTGTTTTGTGGGATTATTTCATGATTCTGATTGGGCTAGGAAACCAATATTTCATAAAAAATTCATAATGAAATTCATATGAGAAATACTTTTGAAATTGCTTTGGTGAGCTAGATCATCATCATCATCATCATCAGGTTTAGGACGAGTTTCTCCTATTAAAGATTCTCCACATGATGATTGATAAAAAGCAGTTTTCAGATTTTTATTCATCCTTCACGATCACATATTTTTTTTCTAAAAATGTATTTTTCCAAAATAATTTTCTGCTAGTGGAAAAGATGCATATTTAAACTGACAAGATATAAATTTTCCCTTTAACAAAATTCTGCAAAAGTCTTTGATGTAGTTTGTCTCATTAGCCTGAATGTGTGAAAAGGCATAAAATGATACAAACAAAATTGAGAAGAAACACCCAAATATACTTCGGAAAAACATGTTGCATTTTGTTTAATATTTTACGATGTATTTATTTTTTGCTTTATTCTGGAAATCGTAAACAGCATTCTTTCCACGTTCTGCAATAGCTTATGTGCTTTTCTCCCACGACTCATTTACAGAACATGTAAAATTTTATTCAAATCTTTTGAGGGTAAAATATGTTACATTCATACGTTTTGTAAACTCTTCTCATCTAAATATTATTTATGAAAAATTTAGACCAAAGCACAGACTATGAAAAGAAAGAATACGAGTCTGGAAAGTGATTCGTAAACATGTTATCAGCATAAAGCATACGTGGACTTGATTTTTCACTTTAGAATGTTCTAAATAATGTTATTAAAGCTTTGGTAGCAATTCCATAGTTTGTTTTTTCAGTAATTTAAGAAACCTTCAAAAATCATACAACTTCAGTCGAAATTTTGTCTCATTTCAATATCCATTGAAGTAAAATCATATTATTATCTCCCTATCCTCAAAAAAAAAGATAATGAAATGATATTTTCTACCTTCTTTCGAGTGACAACAACAGCATATCATGTAAGAAAAATATGACAATTTTCCTTCGCTTGTCACTTTTCACAATGCACATCACCCTCGCACACATATGAAAATAATCTTCGCAATATTTTTTTTCCTTTCTCGAGAATTTGATTAGGATAAGAATAAACTTATGAGGAAGAAAGAAAATTATTCGACGTATCATATGACTATGAGAATGTTTTTATTGCCGTCATACTCACTCACTCAAAGCCCTTTTCTTACTTAGCACCCTTCTGTTACTCTTACTTTCATCCAACGAAATATTTATTTGTATGATATTTCTAATAAAGCATTTTCAAAACATATCGTAAGCAAACAAGAAAAACTGAAAAGAAAAGAATTTGGAATTGAAAGATTTTATTGTAAGAATGTCTTCTTAAGAAAACAAAATTCATTTTCATAAGATTTTTGTTGCCATGTAACTTTACGACCTTCTACGACTTTCTCGTTTAATTTTGAAAAAAAAAACGAATTCTTTCGAGTGAAACTATAAAAAAAGTTATATCAAGGAATATTGTCAAAGTTCATGTAGCCAAATACAGAGAAAGTGTGGTTTTAGAAAGTGATAAAAGTTTTCTATGAATCTTAGAATAATAATAATAATAATAATAATAATATTTTTTTTGTTTTAGTTCCTTTTAGAATTGTTTCTAAATAAGTTTTGCTTGTATTTGAATATAAGCACCAACCTGAATCTTAGAATAATTACTGTGTTGATTGGAACATAATTTCAAAGTTTAATTTTATGCTACGATTACCTACTTAACATATTCAAAAAAAAATTCGCAGTAGTTTTATAAATCTCATTATCTTCTTACTAAGGTAATTGACAATCGAAAAAAATAAGGTTCCCATTAATAAGTATTAATTTCTATTTATGTATGTATCATTGATTAAATATTGGTGAATGATATTCCTTTTTGATATCTTTTTCTTCTTTCATCCCATAAGCTTTATCAATATATTTATAAAGTGAAGGTTCTACTTATTTCGTTATCTAGAAGTATCTTTTTGTATCTGTAGATATTTTCTATATTCTGTGATGAATGATTTTATCATAAATATTTCGTTCCGTGTGGAGCGATTTCATGCGTATCATGAGGCGGTTACCCAGTCAATAGTTATCGAGAATAATTTATTGTGCGTGATGTTTCTATTGTGATTTGATTGACTGACAAAATGGGAACATCAATTGATGATACGCAATGAATTATTTCTGATGAGCACAATAAAAAGTGTCTCGATTGTAATATGATAAAAAACAATATTAAATTATATGGATTTTTCATTTTTGATCGATTCTTTTGCTATTTTGTAACTGGTCTTTCCATTTCGTTTATTTATAAATATGGAAAGAAAATATATAAACAATAGATAAAGAATAAACATTATTATTTTAATGGTGATACTGCTAATTAAAATATAGATAGATAAATAATGTAGTGTAATAATGGAATTCGAATGCTATGGGCCATCTCGTCCAAAGGCTACTAAGTTCAATTAAGTTGTTGTTAAAATTCAGCTTTCCTAAGATCAATACGTTCGATGATTTTGGTGGAAAAGATTGAATGTTGGATAAAAATGTTGAATATATTGTAGGCATTTGTCACCAAACCTCATAAATAAAGGTAATTATGCAGACACAATTTTTTGACCAGAAAAAATAGGGTTGAAATTATTCCATATTTGAAATTGTAGAGCAATAACATAAATTTGTAATAAGTTAATCATATGTATTTTATGATCACATTATCTTATTTCATGAGTCTGTAGAATTTATTCGTAAAGAAAAAATGTTTGTCCTTTTTTTCCGATTAACTTTCTTTTTCTTAAAAGGCATTAAATGGTTTGAAATGGTTTCTTTTTCTTACTTAGTAGTCATTACCTTAAAATTTTGGGAACTATGACAACAAAATTATGCATTGCTGGAGGCTGAGCTGAGTTCTTGATCCTTGTGGAAGATATGTTCTTTTTTTACAGTTTCATTAAAGTGCACTTGAAGATTAAGACAAAAAACTTTGTTTCGTCATCTGTTCAAGGTACCTAACATTTTCCGTGATGTAGAAAAGCAATAACTGGATTATTTTTATTATTTTCATTCTTTTTTGGTTCAGATTCAACATTCTTGTTTGAGATAGAGTTTCCCATTTTTTTATTGATAATGACTATAATAGGATGAAGGAAGAGGAATAATTGTAATAATCTAGAATGTCCTTTTACTGTTTCTAAGAATTTTATACTCAAAAATTGTACGATAAAATGAGGTTAAGAAGTAGCATTGCAGCTCATTTCTAGTAAAAAGGTGACTTAAGGGAAATGGGAAAGCAAAAAGGGATTTGAAAAGTTTCTTTCAAAGTAAAAGACTCGAAAATATAGAGCAATAAAGATTTCATCTATAAATTTCAATGATTTTATTACTTAAGACTCTCCGTTTTTCGAAGATTTCTGGAAGCCCAGGGAAACAATAAAGGAACAGGAAAGATAAAGTAAAGAAAATAATTCAATGCACATAATTCGTTTTGTAGTTGAGAAATGTAATTGTGATTCAACGAGCTTGTGAAACCATTAAATTCTTCTCCCATGTAGTTAATTCAACCTACGAGAGTTTTCGACTTCCCTTGTTGTAAGATCAGAAAAATGTCTAGTAGGTATTTAATTCGAATACGCTAACAAGTTTAAAAACGCTTTAAATGCAAAGAACACAATTACATATTATTGCAGTGAGAGAGCGAATATAAATTAAACAACTAGCGTTGGAAGCTTTAAATTGTTCAATACGAATACTGCAGTGAATCCAATCCGAAAAAAATTCTCTTTTTTTGTTTTTTTCACTTCATTTAGTGTTTCAACTATTTAATTATACTTTATGTACTTGTTTTAAAATTATTTTTGGAAAAAGTAAAAATTAAATAAGTTTAACGTATAAAAAAAAACTTGCGATTGTTGCAATATGGATATGATGGTTCCGATCTGTTCACTAAAATTGACTTGGTTCAAGGGATACATGTATTGGCTCCATAAATAACATGAACGTCGTACTAATGAAATAAGGCAATCAAAAACTCAATGAAAACTTCTTACTTTCATTTCTATCGATATCACCACATGAGTTTAATATTAATTTATTGACACACTCACCAAAAGGAGGAAAGCAAGCTTCCAAAGAAGTTGGATATCCAAGGGATTCTATTCAGTTCATTACGCTACAGTGAAAGAAAAAACTATCAAAAATTTTTTTTTTGTATAATCTTTATGCTAAACAATGTACACTTTGTGGAATTTAAATCCACTTTCCATCTTTTGGTCCATTTTTAGGTATCTCTAAATTAAGTAGAAAGAGAAAAAAGAGATATGTATTGAGAAGTGTTGTTTTTGTCATTTTCCACTGCACACTCTTACCGTTGTTGATGTCAAAATGCTTTGGCATTAGATGGTGGTTCCTATATACGCCTGTCCTTGACCTGATGATGTTGAAGAATTTTATCCATTTGAAATTGTATAGTGAATAAACTAAATTTTTATGTTCATTAAAAATATTTTTCAGAGATGGAAGAGCTTGTCGTCGGATCTCAAAAAATTCATCAGGGCATGGCGGACCCTTGAGCATGGTTTTGCGCAAGGGGCTGTTCATCGAATAAAATTGGCCGGCAGAAGCACCATTGATGCATTGAAGCACTAGACAAATTCCAAGAAAAAGTAAACAAATTCTTGGAAAAAGGCCATTTTTCTTGAAAAGCACTAGTGATTTTTGATGCTTTATTTGGACACAGCCGGCAGAAGCACTACGATGATTTACCCCTTGGTTTTGCTGTAAAATCAGCAAGGGGTAAATCATCGTCAAAAATGAGCCGGCAAAAGCACTATTTTGAAAAGAAGCACTAGACAATTTCCAAGATAAAGTAAACAAATTCTTAGAAAATGGCCATTTTTCTTAAAAAACACTAGTGATTTTCGAAGCATCACTTAAAGGCAGCCGGCAGAAGCACTACGATGAACAGCCCCTTGAAAATCAGTAGTGTGTGAGAGTAAGAGTGAGAGTGAGAGAGAGAGAGAGAGGGAGAGAGAGAGAGGGAGAAAGAGAGAGAGAGTTTAATTTGGTTTATCCAAGGCAAGGGGCAGATCATCGGAAAAAATTGGCTGGCAAAAGCACTATTTTGTCGAGAAGCACTAGAAGCACTATGAAGCACTATAAAGCACTACGAAGCATTAAAAGCACTACGAAGCATTAAAAGCACTACGAAGCACTAAAAGCATCATGAAGCATTAGTAGTTTCTTCAGTACTTTCAAAAAATAAGGGGTACGATAATATTATGACAGGGGTATGAAATGATTTGAAATTTTCAAAACCGTTATTATCAACAAAATTTTATTTTTTTAATTAAAATGACCTTGACTCAAAAATCCTATAACCGTTGAAAATCCAAAATTAATTTAAAAAAATATATTTTAAAAGAAATAAAAAGCACGAAGCACTAGTGCTTTTTGAAGCACCATTTAGAGGCAGCTGGCAGAAGCACTACCATGAACAGCCCCTTGATCCAAGGGTTTATCATTCACGGACTTGGCTTTTCACAAGGGGGAAATCATCGTAGTGCTTCTGCCGGTTGCCTCCAAATGGTGCTTCAAAAAGCACTAGTGCTTCGTGTTTTTTATTTTTGTTAAAATTTAGTTTTTTTAATTATTTTTGGATTTTCAACGGTTCTGGGAATATTGAGTCAAGGCCATTTTAAATGAAAAATAAAATTTTGTTGAAAATAACGGTTTTGAAAATTTCAGATCATTTCATTCCCCTGTCAGAATATTATCGTACCCCTTATTTTTTGAAAGCACTGAAAAAACTACTAATGCTCCATGATGCTTTTAGTGCTTCGTAGTGCTTCTAATGCTTCGTAGTGCTTTATAGTGCTTCATAGTGCTTCTAGTGCTTTTCGACAAAATAGTGCTTTTGCCGGCCAATTTTTATCGATGATTTACCCCTTGGCTTTTCAGGTACTCAACGACTTACACCAAATATTTCTCATGCCTGTTTCATTGTGTAAGGTTTTGAATAGAAAATTCATCCAAGAGTTCGAAAAGGTTGTAGAATCCATACAAAAAAGGCATTGAAGAAGCTAACATCAGTCAAAATTTTATTATCAAAAGTGGAAGATAAATAGCAAGGAAAGAGAGAAGGATTTTGCAAATCACACTTTAGGTTCTTCCCACTCAAAGAATTATTTATTTGACCTCAAAAGCCAAGAAAATTTTCCATTTATTTTGCAGCTTCAATGAACCATTCAGTTGGTTTCTTGAAGCATTCTATGAAAGAAGGGGAAAGGCTGTGCGAGTAATTTTTTATGTATGTTTTGAAGAACTTTAAGAATCTTACGTACCTACCTAGTTTTTCTTACAATGATTTCAAGCGTAAAATATTGAGAAAAACCTGTTGGTTAGAAAATTAATGAGTGTATCAATAATAAAGAAGCGAATGAGAAATAATTCAATTTGTGAGATGAACGGCAACCATAATCCATCAAGAATATTTTTCTACCCAATGATTTCTCACACTTTCAGTACGCCAAGTAGGTTTTTGTTTTCTTTCACTTTATTTCGCTTTATTTTACGCCAACATGAAGATTTAATGTTTCATGATGAACGAGAATTGTTGAGCAGCTTGCGGTCAGTGCGAAAAAATCAAAATTTTCTTTATTCTACGTTTGATCTATTTTACTAAGTATTATCAGAATTAGACTAATCCTTCAACCAAAATTGAATTATCTCTCAATTTCCTATGCTCAATGAGCTCAAACAGCTCAAACTTTTTTTTGTGATGCTTTGCCTTAGATAAATGAATCAGTGAAAAACAATTCTCTTAAGCTTGTAAGCTCTTGGTATCGGATTATTAGCTTTGCTTGAAATTTCTTTTTTCTTAAAGTATTGTTCATTGAGAATGTCTAAATATTGATGGACACAAGTCTATCACGCATTGTTACTTAAACTTTAATATAAAAGAATCAATTTGATTATCAAAACCTTCAATTATAATGTGATGCTAACTTTGTAGCTATTCCAGTTTAGACAAAAAGGCTTTACATTGTAGCATATTGAAACAGTTTTCCAATGATCATTCCAAATATTTAAATTATCCTCAATCTGCTTACTCAATATTTTAAAGTTTCAATGTTCAGTTTGTAATTTGGGATTATGAAAAGAATGAAAAATTAACATGAAAGATTAACATATATATGTATATATTTATATGTATTTAATTTGTTATATAATTCAAAACATGGAGTTATTAAGCTTCCCTTAATGAATGCAAATTGCAAAGTTTGAAGATTCGTGAAGCACTGGTAATTTTACATAGATATATACCAGGTAGCTAAATAAAATTTGTTTACGCAGATGAATTTTCTCAACCAATTTTTTTTTTTATTTATTTCGAAAAGGTTAAACAAGCTTTACAAAGGAAAATTTTAAATCAAATGTCCTTAAAGCAAAATATTTGTTTCCTTAAAAATTTGTTTTAGATCTTTTCATAATCCAAATTCACATTCTTGGTAGAACAACAGAAATAGTCGAATAAATATAAGAAAAATAAGAGTAAAAAAAATAACTTCAATTTATGTAAAATGCTTTTTTAATGTTCTTCAAAATTTAATTTTAAAAGTGATTTTGAATTTTCAGAGAGCGTTTCCGATCTTTAGAAATCTTTTGTGAAAATCCCACTGCGTTGTATTTCTTTTAACATCTGAAAAAGAAATATCTGTATAGGAAAAAATAGGAAAATAGAAGTCCTTGGAAATAAGAAAATTTTGTTATTTCGTTTTCATCTATTTAACTTATGTATCTGAACCAGGAAGAAAGGAGATGAAAGCAGAGATGGGCATGTCTTGCGCTGGTAGCGTACTTGACTGCAAAAAAAGTCTTAGGAAGACATTTTTTTTGCAGTACTTCCACGTAGCGCAAAAAATGTGGTAATTGCGATACGTCCACATAGCACAAACTTTGGGGAAGTGATACCATTTTAGTAGCGCAAAACGGTTCCTTCGCAATCAATTGCGCTTCGCGCTTGCGGTACTTATTTGAAATAAGTAGCGCGAATTAGTAGCGCCGGAACGTGTTGCGCTACCAAGAGTATCACTTCCCCCAATTTTTTTTGCGCTTGTGGAAGTAGATATCACGTCCACAAAAATTTCTTGCGCTGGCTGAACCTAGATTCCTCCAATGTAGCGCAAGGCGTTCCTTGCCCAAGTCTGGATGAAAGTTCATTGATTAAAAAAAATATGAAAATCCCTCTTCCTTTCTAAAAAATTTTTTTTTAAAGTTTTCACCTTGGCATATTAGATATTAAGTCACACTCTGCAACGTTTCATTGTCTAACAGCATCAAAGAAGGTATGAAGGTCTAGAAGGGTGCATGAAGAAGAGGCTGGGAAAGACAGAAAAGAGAGAGACAGAGAGAGAATGCTTTCAATTTAGTGACAAATATTTTGTCGGATGAAAGTAAGCGTAACAGGAGGGTGCAAAGGTAGAAAAGCGCTTTGAGTGAGTGAGTATGACGGCAATAAAAACATTCTCGTTGTCATATGATACGTCGAATAATTTTCTTTCTTCCTCATAAGTTTATTCTTATCCTAATCAAATTTTCGAGAAAGGAAAAAAAATATTGCGAAGATTATTTTTTCATATGTATGCGAGGGTGATGTGCATTGTGAAAAGCTACAAGCGAAGGAAGATTATCATATTTTTCTTTCACGATATGCTGTTATTGTCACTCGAAAGAAGGTAAAAATATCATTTCATTATATTATTTTTTGAAAATGGTGAAATGAGAATATGGTGTTGATTTCAATTAAATTTTTCGAACAAATAATCAAAATTGTCAACTGACATCGATCAATTGACATCAATCCATCATTTATTTTCTTTGATGCTTTCGACTTATGAATGTTTTGACTTAAATACATACGATTATTATATTATTCATGAATATTTAAAGTTTTCTTAAAAATTTATTAGGCGGCAATTTGGATCTCTTGATGATGATCTATATGATAAAAACGATGAGTCATACTCTAAATTTGCAGAGCTAAATATTGAAGGAAGACAATTTGAATATGAAGGTTTTTAGCATATCAAAAGAAGTGGGAGACAAAAGTTTTCAAATTTAATGGTTCATGTACATACATTATTATTATTATTATATCTTTATTTCGGTTTGTGATTCATATATGTATAATTGTATGAGTAATCTTCTGTAAACCTTTAATTTAATCATAATTCATTATAATCATGCCAAAAGCCTAATGTTCACATCATAACTCGAGTAGCACAAACGCTCCATGTTAAGTTAATGTATGCTTTAAGGACGGAAGTGACAGTCCAATTCCCGATGTGAATGCACCATCGCCTTATTGTGTTATTCGGGTAATAATTTAAAAAAAATTATAAAATTATTTCAAATGAATTTAAAGCAATCTCCCTGAAATATCTCGGGAGCTCAGCTTTACACTATCAGTTTAATTAGTATATTAAAATCCCTTTTGAGTGCTAGAGAATGATTGATTTGGAACGTTGTTGCTCATGTTACCGTTTATTGAAACTATCAAAGTTAGCTTAAAATACGAATCAAAATTCAGAAGTCAACGTGTTGTGCACTAGCTTTTAACACTCAATTTATTTCAAAAGCATTTTGTGTCACATGGAAAATAAAAGATATGACAAATATAGATGTTAATTAACCGGTATTTTTCAGATTCCGGTTAACCTAGTAACCGAAACGAAGAAACTCGGTTAACCTACGGTTAACCGAAACCTTAAAATAGTGATGAAAATTTGATTTTCCAACATAAAAAATTGAAAAGAATGCTTGATATGCATATTTCCACTCTTTCCCTAGTACATTTATTGCACTTTGCTTGCTTCTGATTCAAAAATTATACAAAAACTTCAAAAAAAAGATTTTTTGGCTTTTAGTATCTTTGAATTAAATATTTACACAATTTTATAAAAATAAATTATTTTTAAAGGAAAGAATGCATATTACTAAACTTTAATTCGTTTTCATTCAACAATAATCAAAAAACGAGACAATTTGTGAAAAAAAAAATTTAATAGGAGTAAATTTCGCTAATTTCGGTTATTTTTTGGTTAACCGATAGAAATCTCGGTTAACCTAGTATTCGAAATAACCGGAAAAACCATCCGGTTATCGGTTCTCGGTTATCGGTTTTAATATCTATAATGACAAACTTTCCTCAACGATAATTTATTGAAAATTTCATTAAACACACCCGAGAGGGGTTTTTGATAAAATGTTTTTTTCGTTAGGGTAAAGGATAACATCAACAGCCTCAGCAACTACAAACAAACAGTCAAACAATCAATTCAAAGGTAGAAATGTTGTTTTAGGGAATGCATAAAGGCCATTCAAAAATTTCTGCCTTATTGTATGTCAAGCCTCATATATTTGAAACGAAAGCTCTAGAATACTAATTTCTTAATGATTATAGAGAAATTCTGTATGCGTGTAGTTTGTTGTTGATGGAAATAAAAGAACAAGGGAAGACGATGTCAATGACACGCATGAAAAGCATTTGCGAAATTCCATAGTTTGCGAGTAAGATTCCAAACAGCATATTATATTTCTTTGAAAATGTCTTTCTTGAAGGATATTTGAAGTCACTTTGAAAAGTATCAGAGTTTACTTAGAGTCTTCATTATCATGTATGAAGATATTTGAGGAAGATGTATTAAAGATATTTGAAGTCACTTTAAAAAGAATCAGAGTTTAATTAAAAACGTTCATTAACGTGTATGAAGATGATGCATTCATTTCATTCATTTGAAGTATGTTTTAAAATTTTTCGTATATTAATAAGTTATTAATAAGTTATAATACCAACATACGTAAATATATATGTGGTTTGTGTGTGGAAAAACGTGCTTTTCCATTATATCTGCAAGGAGTTGTTACAAAATGTCAAGGTAGGAGATACATGAAACCACAATTGCAATGGTTAAGCAAACTCAAATACATAAGTTTAAGTCAACACCTAGTAATCATCTTCCACTTTTTATTCCTCCTATTCGTTCTCATGCGAGAAAAAATTAATATGTGAGAGCGATTAGATATGCGATTATGTAAATATGGAAATGCATGGATTGATTGAAAATGCTTTTGGTGAAGGCTCACCATGTGGGATTCTCATTTCTAAAAAAATTCGCTTTGTAAATCATCAGAACAAGGAGGAGTGACGACTTCGTAGTAAAAATTAAACAAAGACTGTAGAAAAAAATTAAACAAAGTAAATTCAACAATAAGTAAGACGAATAAAAGAGAAACTTTTCCAATCTAAACCTGTAATTTAAATTCTTTGAACAATTTTCGAATGTTTGTGTACCACAAGAACTACGAGCAAAATCATCCATTGCAGATAAAAATTGCTCAAGATCTTAAACAAACCAAAAGATTAATGAATTTAAAAGTATTTCAATAAAAATATTTTCACTATGAAAATTAAAGAAAAAAAAAATTAAACTCAACGATTTCATCACTTTCTTACATACTTTCGACTCAACAGTCAATGTTTAAATACTTTCTTATCAATTTATTCACAAAAAAAAAACTAATAGAGCGGTTAAAGTTATTTCACCCAACATAATAACTCGGAATTAAAAAATATCTAAAATAACAACAGCGTGAAAAATTAATTATGGATTATTACACGTTCGTTGAACGGCTGTGCATGGTAGATTTTTTTAAACAACTTTTGAGTTTTTCATCTGCCACCCTTAGACACAGAATAAATATTAATGTGAACATTTTAGCATTACGTAATGCATGAGTATGAGATTGGCAATTAAAAATCGCTTTGTCTGGGATTTCAACGCTTTATATAATAAATCGTCATGCTCATACGCCATGATTTATGTTTTTTAATAAATGTGAACTTTGTGAGTCATTACGCCCGTCTAGCGTGAGTATAATGCTTGAAGCATCATATCACTCTACATTCTCACATTCACTTGAGCAGAAGAATTTGCCATTCAAGTGTTAAAGTAATGTACGCATGGAAACAAAAATTACAATCTATGGGTAACAATTAAAAGTTCGCCTTTACATCTCACTGACGTTTCAGCTTTTTTTTTTGTTCTTTGTTAAGATGAAAATTAAATGAAAAACGCGTCGAGATGAAACACATTTTGTGTAAAATTAATTTTCATGACTTATTCATTTCGTTAAAAGAATAAAGGGATTCGGGATGTCAAATACTCATTCCGTTTACCCTTTCGTTTGTTCCGTTTCGAAATGATTGTTTTTTTTTAATACATACTTCCTTAACAGAAGAAAAATCAGCTGAAAATGTTTCTTCTGTTATGCCGTAGACGATGAAAATGTTTCGTTATAAATGACATTACACTTGAAGTGTTTCACAAATATTTACATTTGTCCTCGAATAATTCATCATCTCCCACTTTTTCTTGCTCCCATCGTTGCGCTTTATAAGATAATTTTCTTCAGAACTTACCACATTAATGAATTTTAGATCACTTCAAAATGAAAATGAAGATGTTGATAGATATGTTGATGTCGCAGCTGTTTTGTTGGTGGAAAAAATTTACATTTTTTTTTTAATTTATCTCTTGTACGTTATATTATGGATGAGGTGATGAAGAAAATCCTCTTGCAATGTTTAGTAAAAAGTTAGTAAGTATCTGATGCAATTGAAATTAATAGAAGCTTAAAAAAATATCATACATCGAAGCGTCAGTTATTACTTGAACCATCATCAGCTAAACACTAAAATATGATAGAAGTAGGTATTACAACTTTTTCTCGTAAAGCAGAACGAATAGTTTGCATCCTTCTAATTTTTCCCATTAGCTTCAATTTCAATAAAATTCAATTTACGTGAAAAGCGATAAAAGAAATGTTATAACGATATGGTCAAGTCATCACAAAGCAGACGAAATTATGAAAGGAAAGAATAAATAGAAGAAGAAGAAGAAGAATAAGCAAAACCATCGTAATTAATTCTATTCGAGAGCCATGAATGAGAATAAGGAGATGATGTAATCAGGATGCTTCGTGCTTCAATGAGGGAACTGCAGTATCCCCTGGCGAATCGTACACATCACGTAGCAATCAGTTATAGATTAAGTTGCATTTCACGTACTTCAATTGATTTTCGATAAGAAGGCAAACGTTGACTACTTATGCCAGGTATGTTGCTATGCTGATATCATAAGATTAAATAAAAACACATATAAAATGCAATTTTCAATTATCTGACTTTTCTTCGTTCATTTTTCATTACGCGTTTATTTTTTGCTGTCATAGAAAAAAGATAAATCCATTGTTTTGCAAGAAATTTGAACTCAATGGTAGTTGGGAGAAAAATAATATTAAATAGATAAACAGAACAGAGAAATAAATTGAAAGCATAGAAACATCACAAGACGATTATTAATCTATACAATGCTAAAGGAGTGGAAACGGAAATGTTTTTCAAATATATGACATTTTCTTTGTACTCGTTCTTTGTTGCCTTTTCCGTTCACATTTTATATTAAATAAATATAGTGAAAGGATATAACTAGTGATCGGAAAATAAATAAAAATATTACTTTTTCAGCAATGTTTTAATTCAGCAGCAATAAATAAATATCTACAATTTCAGCATGAATTTGATATGAGAAACAAATAAATATGAATGATTAAAATTGATAGAATAATCCTGATAAAATTTTAAAAAGAAGTTCAATACGATTCTATTTTAATGTTTAAATTTTTTTTTTTCATACAATATTTATAACATTTATTTTTAATAGAGAAAAAATAAAATATATTGATTAATATACATTGAAGAATAATTTTTGAAAGATTTTTAAATAGATGTTTCTTTTTCTACGAAAATTTTTCAATTTTTGTGGAAAGAAAATCTTAGCATATTAAGGTGTCATAAAATTTATGATAAAACATTTTTTTAATATTATTTATATGTATGTAGGTAACCAATTTATAGGCTAATTGAAAAATGATATATATTTTGAAAATGTCAAGAGATTTCACATAAATTAAATTATTTTTGACTTTGAAAAACATACGCAATTGAAAATATTGTTGTGAGTCAGTGAAAGCCATACAAATTCGAGTGATTTTTAACAGCACTTAAATCCTTTTTGATTCCATATCGTTTTGAAAGCCCTCAAAGAAATCATAAGAAGAAAACAATATAAGAGATAAAACTGCTTTAGAATAAAACCACTCAGCAAAAATTAATGTTTTATAAAATGAGACACCCCCACACATTTGTGACAACGATTTTCTGCTTGCAAAAGCTATATTTTTGATAAAGCTCGCATTCGTAAAAATAATCACATTTTATTGAAGCATTTAGGATTACTGTCGCCATCAAAAAGGGAGCAATAAACTTCTTGTTTCCGTCGGCCGTGGGCTTGTCCTCTGTTTTTGAGATGGAAGCTCGAATCGTCGTTTGCTTGTTCATTCATTCATTCATTCTTCAAGTCGTTCACTCATGATTAATGGGAAAAATCACTGTAACGAGTGATAATGTTTTTGATGGCAGTATCTTCGCCATAAAACTGCGCTAAGAACTCAAAGATCGAAAAGCTCTGTTATAAATTAATTGAATTATTAAAATATAATAATATTTCGCTGTAACCGTGTCTACATTTTATTGTGAAATTGTAAAAAACTAAGTTTCAAGCTTAACTTAACGCACATCATGTGTAGTATTAAATTCCTATTTTACGGATGTGTAAGTTGCACAAACTTACTGCATAAATTTTGATTCCATTCTGTCGGCTCGACAATACTAGGCAATAAACATATTCACCCAAGTGTCGGAAGAAGTAAAAAACTACCATTCCCCAAAAATATGTTTCAAATATAAAGTTTTTATTCATTTTACTGTTGCAGTCAGTGGGAATGGAGAATGAACAAAGCGAGGCTAAAAAGACGACAGCAGCTCGTCAACTTTAAAAAAGAAAAGAACTTTGTTTACTCAACTCATTTAATCGTTGAAAACATAAATACTTTCGGCAGTGGCGCACACAAGTAGTCATTGCATAAAATGAAATTTAAAAGAGCTGAGAGTAGATTTGCATGCTCAGGAAGAGTTGTGTTTAAATGTTTGAATGAAACGTCGTCAGAGAATCATAAAATAATTAAAACAACTCGCTTTTTGCAATGTTGATATTCTTTTCTTGGTTTTTTTTTTCCAGAATTTGCCTTTCATTGTTTGCTGACAAAACCATGAAGGAAGAGAATGACTTTTTTTTGTGTTTTTACATATTTATTTTATGTTTTCCTTTTCACTCTGTCTCGCTTTTAAACAGATGAAGGAATGTGTTGTTCAATATTGTTTATCGTTTGCGCGGGACTTATGAACTTATGAGCAACGAAAAAAAAGTTTTTTGTTCATGGCCCAAGTATTTAATAAATTCAAGCCCTCGAAATTTATCTCCTCGTTAACTCTTTGTGCTTTATTTATTGATAGCTTAGGAAGGTTTAAGGAAATTTATCAAAATAGATTGAGAATTCGACGGAAATAAATAATGTTCTTCCATCATGTTGTAATGACTAAAAGTGTTTATTTTTGTAATGTTTACATGAATTTTCTTACTTTGTGATTTAAATATTACTTCAAGCACAAATCTCTTCAAAGTTCGAACAACGGTCCCCGCACACAAAAGAAAAACAATTAAAAAGTCAAGAAGTTATATTTTTCCTTCTTTGATAATCTTCATTTATTAGCTTCAAAACATTTTTCCCCTAAATTTTCTGTTGATGAAAAACCAACCAGAAAACTTTTGATATCTTTCACTTCAAAGTGTTGATTCTCAAATTGAAGTTTAATATATTTTCCATAAAAATCGAAATCAGTTTTTTCATAAACATAACAAAGAATTAAGTTTTTTTTTTTTCATTTTTGCATTGGTAAAGCTTTTTGGATAATGAATTTTTTTTGCTCACATACATATTTATAAAGAGTACATTAAAAATGAAATCATAAGACTTTTAAAGTCAGCGCTGCCTCGGTGAGAAAAATGAGAAGGGAAATATCCAAGACAGAAAATAGAGAAAATATCAAGGGGGATGAGATACTCCTATTCAATTCATTCAAGAATCATGGAAGAATCTCTCTTGTATTTAGCGAAGCTGAGAGAGGAAAGAGATTTTCATTTCAAATCACTCTAAAATCATCATTTCTTTTTCATATGTATCATTAATCAAGGGGAAAACCAACATAGTGCTTTTCTCCGCCGATTTTTTTTTTGGTTCCCTCCTTGTCATTAGTATTATCCCCTCCATACTATGTTTTTGAATTCTCCAATAATTCGTGCTTGTTCCTGGACTGCCTCTCTTAAATTTATACATTGAGAATTTCTATTTAAGATAAAGCAAGAGATAAAGTTTCAAATCTTCTGAAAAAAAAAAATTACAAAATTATTTAATTAAATGATCTTAATTAACAGTTATAATTGTAAAAATATCAATATAATGAAAAATTCATATTGTTGATTAAAATAGAATAAATTTATTATCTACAATTTTAAAATAACTTCATCATAACTTAAAGGCATTCTAAATTTTTCTGATAAGAATTAAATCTGCTTCATATTTAATTTAACTGCGACTTTAATCTAAACTTATCATTCAATTACAATGAGAATCATTCTGCTATTGGTTATATATTATATCGTAACTTGACTCAATATTTCTAAATTTTCAAGTGTTTCCTTAGTCAACAACAACAAATCATGATTTGTATAATGTCCTTGCTTAGAGGATTATTCATGAGAAAAAAGATTGTTAACTTGATTCACCAAGGACGCAATCCGTAACATATTCTGTGTCTAAGAAAACATCCCTTTTTATTTTACAACAAACTATGTATGTAAGTCAAGCAAAATCTAAATATTATCAAGTTGTACTATTTACCTCTCTAGATAGCGTGCCATGTATGGCTGTTTTAAATGCGGGGTTGCCGCCTGTGCTACTAGGGTTAATGTTCAAAAAAGATTAAATGTTTCTGCAACTAACTAGATATTGCATGAAAAAAAAACAACAAATTTCGTATCATAAAATATCAGTTTACTTGATGCCTTAGTTTGTGCATTCTCACCAGTTTTCGTCTCATTTCCAAAACTATTAACATCATCATCATCTATTAAAAAATTTGTATATAGGTACATGTAGTTTTCAAGCATATGGCTAAACTGTATATGTCATCAGTCAGTCTACAATAGAACTTTATCCAGCAAATCTAAAGTAAATATTGGGTGTAAATTAATTTCGATCTTGACATTGACATGTGCTTGAAAGAGTAAGTTGAGTGAGAACTCATCTGAAATTTCACAGAGACCAATAGCAGTTTGTGTAACTCTCATGTGGGAGAAGACAGAAGTGTCTTCGTATCAAATCTTGTTAGTTCACCTATCGACAATTACTATCAAAATGCATTAACTCAATCAGGTATTGCATTAATACCTTCTGCGATTTTAACATTTTTCTTATCAAATATCGCACAACGATGACTTTGAATGTAAAGATCTCAATGTTTCGTTAAGCTTAGTTGAGCTAAAAATAATCTGATTAAGCAGCTTCGTAGAATGTAACTCAAGGACTGTAAAATTTGAATAAAATATCGATGCTGTGGTAATTTCTAATATGTTAAAAATAGAACATAAATTCTCCGTTGAGGAAGTAACAAAAAATAATTGTTTTTGGCTAATTTTTTTCATTTCTTTCTTTTTATGTCCAATTCAATGTAAGTTAACAATTAATAAGTTTCCTAACATTATTCTAATCTTAACTTCTAAACAATATTAACTCGGACCCTCTTATTCAATATTTTTGAATTAATTCAAATATTTTCTTAATTTCTTCTTACTTTTAAATGTGTTGAATGGCAACATATTTCGAACAGCTTTCAGAAAATTTATTGGCGTCTCCCATAATTGGATCAATGACAACTGCATGATATGGTGGTGGTGGAATGTCATAGCCCATGCAAAGATCATAACTCGGAGGGTGATCGTTTATTTCATTAATGTTTAAGCGTGGATTCTGTTAAAAATTAAAATAAAAAAAAATTGTTATCAAGTCTTATAAAAAAAATCAGATGACTTCATATATAGATAAAATATTTTATCTACAGTTTATTTATTCTTCCCCAAAGTCAACAATCACAAATGGCGTGTAAGGAAAAAATTAAGTAAATGTGCAAAAAAAATGTAAACATGATATCTTATTCTTGTTTAAAAACTCTTTAAAATACCTTGATAAAGATTAAAAATAATAATGATATTGCAACTAAATTTTAAAAGAATTCTAAACAAGAGTCACGAACAAGTTTCAAGGTTTTCAATTCAGTTGATTTCTTATCTCATTTGTCTCTTTTCAAGTTATTTTTTTCTATACATAAAAAAAACTTACATAGTATGAAAATTGGGGATTTAAATTGTCGGATGGAATTGCCCCAGTCCACAATTTACCTCCGAGTCTGGATGTGACATACATACAGATCGCTAAACAAACTGCAGCTAGCGCAAAACCTAATCCAAGAACAATGAATCTTGAATGAGACGTTTCGAGCCAATTGCCCCGAGTGCTTGCCTCCAAAAATAAAGCAAGAATCATCAAAGAAGGTAAAGCCACAAGAACAACAATGACATCGATCACAGGTTGTTTTCTGTTCTTCTGAGAATAAATTCAAAAAGAGAAAAGAAGTTAGCTTTTCATTAAAAAATTAAGAAACACCATAATGTGGATAGATATTTTGGAAATTTTAATATAAATAGCAAAAAGAACACATAATTTAGAGAAACAGCTGATTTTTTTCTAAAACAAATCTATCTCTCTATGATAAATTAAAGGTTTTCGGTAGCCGAATGAAATTTAGAAAGTTTTTAATTATTAGAATTATTTACTAATGTTGGTAGAAAATATTTGAATGTGATTTTACACTATAATTAATAATATAATTGACAATTGTCAAATATCTACAGCGTTTCTACTAAATCGTGTTCATTTTAAAAAAAAATTGTAAACAGCCAAAGAGAGAGTTTATTGATCTTTTCAAAACAAAGAGAAATGATATTCCTTTCATTCATTACGCTTGTGGAAACGTTTTTCCTCAACGAGATTGGAAATCTTTAAAAACATCTTACAAAATTTATTTATCAAATATTTTTGACGATTCTCACCTTTGTTCTCCTTCGAATTGCTTCAGATGACCCTGGTAAGGTACAACCATTTACTTGTGAATGTATACTTGTATTTCCACTCAAGATAAATATTTGACTGTTGTTTCCAATCATTTTCAACAATTATATTTAAAGCATTTAAATTTCAGACTATTTTTACGAACAAGACACGCGTTTACGATATTTATTGACAAGAGCTCGATGCGAAATATCAAACTTTTCTGAAGATACGCGGAAAGAACTTTTGTTTTACTATTTTTAATCATTCGGTCAAAGTGAGCGAAAGAAGATTGTGTATCCCGTCTTTTTGTTCGAAGAAAAGAAGCGGGGGTGGAATTTTCTTTACATTTTATCAATGCCAAAGATCGCAATAAGTTTCTTTTGAAAATTTCTCCCACTTTTGTTTTACTTTCTTGAATTTGGTTACTTTTCAATAGTTCAACTATAATTGAGGTTTGCTATGTGAATTTTGAGGCTTGTTACAGAACGCGTTCGAATGGTAACCATTACAGAACGTGTCTAGTTGTTTACTTTGTTAACTATTCCTTTCTTATATTTATAGGTTGCAATAAATAAAACTCGGGCGGAGAACGTCTTGTGCGCAAGGAGATTCTTTTAAAACTGAGATTATTTTTTTCATTTCTGAAATGCGAGAATAAGCTAAATACTACGGTAGTATGAAGATCATAAAGCATTACGGATGGAATGAATGATAAATCATCATCTTGTTGTGAGGTTTTGTGGAAAAATCTGATAACAAAATGAGTGTGAAGTAGAGAACCCGTGTGACTAGCGGGTGTTGAAAGACGCCTTAATTTTTCGTTTTTGATTTTGCCAGTTCCATCTGAACTCATGAACTCTCATACTTTTATTCTAGAACCTTGAAAAATTAAACCATGAAAGTTTCATGTGACTATTGCCCAAAAATTAATCTTTCCCATGGCATGAGCGCAACATATGTAGCTGGTGGAATGTGATTGGTTTTTAAATCTATATCTATAGATATAATTTAAAAGAATGAAAAAATTGAAATTATTCATCTGTAAATTTTTTTTTTCAAACCGTTAAAAGTTAATTTTAAATCAAATGGAACTCATCGTAATGTACACGTAACGCTTACGTTAACCGAAAACGTACGTCTTAGTATTGTTGACAAAAATTTGAGCATTTTAGTTAAAAAATAATTCAAACATGTTTAAAAAGTTTGATGAAAAAGAGAGTGTATCAGGAACAACTCAACTTAAAAGTTCGGTTCAAAAAGCTATAAGAGTAAAGTTAGTGGAGGCATATCCACATATTGAGAATTTTATTGAGCAAATTTTGCCAAAAAAGGACGCATTCAGAATTGTAAAATGGTAAAAAATATCTTTGAAACCACTAGACATTTAGTATCGTTTATTTTATTATATTTTCAGTCATGATCATATAGAAATTCTCGTGAATAGCGCCGGTGAGCAGTTATTTTTTCGATCACGAGAAGGTGCTTGGATGCCAACACTCAGGTTATTCCACAAATATCCGGTGTTCCTTCCCAAGGAGCAAGTAGATAAAGGTGCTATTCGCTTTGTGCTTAGTGGAGCTAACATTATGTGCCCTGGTCTAACATCGCCTGGTGCCTTTATTAATCCCGTCGAAAAAGGAACTGTAGTTGCAATAATGGCCGAAGGGAAGGAGCATTGCCTTGCTATCGGACTCACAACAATGTCAACTAGCGACATGCAAGTTTAATTTTTTATCATTTCAATGCTGGACTATTATTAAATATTTGTTCAATTTTAGAACCAAAATTAACAAAGGAATAGGAGTGGAGAATTGTCACTATTTGAATGATGGCTTGTGGAACATGAAGCCAGTGAAATAAAAAGAAAACTTAATAAAGAAAATTTGTGAGATCGAAATTGTTTTGTTGATTCCTTTTAGTTTTAATTTTTCATGAACTGTAAATTGCAAGCATTAGGACTTTTTCCTCAGAGAATCATAGACTATTTCATTTGTTTAAGCCTATTTGAAACAATAGAAAACATCTTGCAACCAAAAGTTTTGACACTTTTCATCTTTTTGATTTGATATTTTGAAAAATCCTTGTCATTTTAAGCGGAATTATTTTTTGTTTTGGTCAGATTAGTGCAAGTAGTTGAAGTAGTTGATTCCCTAAAAAAATCTGAAAATTAGTTGCAAAAAGTTTTTTTTTATTTGTTGACTTAATAGATTTGCAATCTGATTAAAAAATACCATTTATAATTTCTTATATTTTCTTAGGAATTTACATAGAAAATCTCTTATGTTACTCATAAAATAGAAATATTTGTTTGTAAAAAAAATTGTCGTGTTAATATCTTTTTTATAATAATTTTTTATGAGAGAGGAAAACAGAAAAAAATGAAGAATAAACACAGATGAACTATTCGGAGATAATTGTGTAACTTCTAATCTACAACTTCTTCTTAAGCGACTTGAATTTATCTTTTCCTGGGACGACGAGAGATGAAGCAACCGCTGATTTAACTAATTTCGGACGATGTTCTGAAGGTTTTAATTCTCATTAAAAAAGTCTTTTTCGTTAATATTTCAATATTCTCACCTTTGGTTCCAGAAACACTGCGAATTGGTGTGCGAGCTAATTTTTTTACACGACTGCTGCCAGGACTGAATTTCTTGTTCTCTTTATGAATATTTAATGCGTATTTGGATTTCACTGTTTGGTATAAATTAAAACTATTAACTTGACATGAATGTTAATTTTTCCTTTACCTTTCGACATAGCACTTGCGGCAAATGATGACGATGATGAAATCGGTTTATTAGATTTATCTGTAAGTACTATAGTTCCAGTTTTAGGAGTTTCTAAGTCAAAAGTTGTATTCAAATCACGCTTATCTGCAACCTCAGCCTTTAACAATGAAGTCGAGTCAAAATTTATGGATTTTAAGGCCTTTGGCTTTATAAACACAAAATCTTCTGAACTTTTGACCTTTTTTGTAGCACATTCCTTTTCAAAATCTTCATGTCCACGTTTCTTTCCAGACATTGGACTATTTGCAACATAGTCAAGATCAGCAAGATACGTAATATGGCTGTTTAGTAGTAATAAATTTGTCTCAGTTGATTCTTGGTTAGTTGAGTTCATTGCTTCATCGTCGCTAAACTTCACACTACGCTGACCTTGCAGCAATTTTCCAACAGCTTGAAGTCTTTCAAGCATTGCATTGTCAAGTTCGCCCATTGAACGGAGAAGTAAGAAGTTTTCTTGAATAATCTCAGCAGCTTGAAAAACGACTTTGTTCCAATTTTCCATTTCTAATTGATAAATGCTGTTCATTTTATTGACATGTGATACTTTTAATTGAAGTTTAGAATTTTCAAGTTCAGTTTCTTTTGCTTTCAAATAAAAACCCAACGATTGGTTGCTTATAAGATTATTCACTTCCAATTTGAGGTTTTCCAATGAGCGATTTGCTTCCTTAAAACGTAAACTCCAAATTGAACTGTCTTCATGACGAATTCGTGAAACTTCTTTATTATATTTGTCTATAGATGCTCCCAATCTAGACAAATCCTGAAATGAGAAATGTGATTGTAAAAATTTTAATCGAACTTTATGATCAAGAGATTTAACCTAAAATAATAAGTAGGAAGAATTTCTACCCGTAGGAGAAACAATATTGATATATTAATGAGATATCGCAATCGTAATTATTTCCAAAACGCTGATTGCTTTATTAACTCAAAAACACCCAACACAAATTTAATATAATCAATAAAAAAAATCCTCTTGTGACCCCATTTTAATACAAATCCCAGACATTTTTTTTCGTAAACATACTAAAATACCTAAATAAAATAAAAAATGTTTTCCTTGCAAAAAATTGGAAGGGTATTATCAATATTTCAACATTTCAATTCTTCATCAATCACTCGTCAAGAAATCATTCGAACTGTTATCAGAAAAGAGTTTCAATCACCACTGCTTCAACCTACGCGTTATTATGCAAAAGGAAAAGATCGAGGAACAAAAGATAAGATTAAAAAACCTATTAAGATTGATATGAACCAGGAGCAACTCAATTCAATTGTGGATACTTCTAAAATAAAGATGCAAATGGAAAAAAAATTAGCAATAATGAAAGATGAATTTGTCAGAAATTTATCATTGCGCTCCTCAACAGGCGCGATTGAAACATTGAAAGTGAACGCAGATGGCAAAGAGTATGAGCTTCAGGAAATTGGTCAAATCATTAGGAAGAACCCAAAGACGATAGTCATTAATCTTCTAGGATTTCCTCAACTTATTCCAGAGGTTTTGAAGACAATAAACACGAGTGGAATGAATCTCAATCCTCAACAAGATGGAACAACGCTATACATACCAGTTCCTAAAATCACAAAGGAACATCGCGAAAATCTTTCAAAGAATGCAAAAGCACTTTTTATAAAATGTCGCGATGGAGTCAAAGATATCCAGAATAATCACATTCGAAAAATAAAAGCACAAAAAGATATTTCAATTGATTTAAATCGTCAAATACAGAATCAGATTATTGCAATCGCTGATGAATTTATAACTGATGCAGAGAAGCTCCTTCATACAAAGCAAAATGAATTGTTTGCAAGTAAAGATTAGTAAAAAAAATATTAGGTTCAATAAATAAAATTATATACTGAAACTTACATTTTCCAATTTTGAGCCATCCAACGTGAGAATTTTTTTTACTTCCTCATAGCGTTCAGCAAACTTGATTCGGAAATTGAGGACTTTTTCAACACTTTGTAATGATAAACATCTTTCTCGCGTTTTCTTAAAATGATTGTAAATTTCATCAATCTTTTTCATCCAAGCAGTTAAATCAATTTCTTCTTGCAATAACGCATCTCCAGAACCATTCATTTTATTATTTGTTGCTTGCTTCTCATTGCCATTTGCCTCCAGCATATTTCGTTTCATTTTCTCATTTTCTGCTTTAATTTCTTCTATTTCAGATTTAAGCTTTTCAATTTCTGTGACTTGAGCATCGCAACGTTTCAAAAGGAACTCTTTTGGTATATTTGTTGTGATTGTATTTTGTCGTATATTTGTACGAATTTTCTTAGCTCGACTTGCGTATTTAAGAGTGTTATAAGTGTCTTCATATGTTAATGATGATGGTGAGACTACAAATTTTTTTTAATTTAGTAACGAAATATAAATAAATGAACAAATCAACTTACTGTTTGCAATCATTAAAGTCTGACAATTTCCACCCAAACTATCTTTCAATATTCTTGTCAAATTTGAATCTCGGTATGGAATGTGTTTACAACCATCAGCAAGTTTATTTATGCAATTACCAAGAGCTAGTAATGATTTGTTGATATTGGCACCTTCTTTGAATCTCAATCCTTTGCATTTAGTGCTTTGAGCTCTTTCTGAACCAGCCAAATCTATCATTGATAGTTTAACAGTTCTTCGAACACTTGTTTTATTGTCTGTCATACGAATATGAACTTGAAAAATTGCATGGGATCTTGAACTTTCTTCATTTGCATCAGTTGGATGTTGTGTACGATTCTTGTTTCCGATAATCAGTAATTCAAAAAGTTCTTCTGCGTTGCGGATTTGCTTTAAGACAAGACCCCCAACAACAACTCCATTGCTATCTTCACGTAATTTCAAAGGTCCAGATTTTGTCAATAAATTCATAACTTGCTCGTTGTAAACTTCCAAGTATGAAATTCCAATTTCGAAACGTCGTTCGCATTCTAATTTTTGAATTTGAGAAAATAGCTCGCGCATTGTGAGAAATGTTATTCCTAGAATATAAGATATTAATTCTAATTCAGATTTAGATATTACGTATTGCATTACATACCCGGGTTATTCTCACTACCGAGCATTGTGTATGTTTTACCAGCTCCAGTTGCACCATAAACAAAGACAGAACAATTAAAACCATTCATAACTGATGTTACAATTGGCTTCGTGCAAATTTCAAAGACTTCTTCGTTGCATTTTTTATCGTCAAATACAGAATCAAACTCCATATTCAGTTTTTTCTTAATTCGTTTTGTGATGTCTCTATGGGTTTGTTTAGCTCCATGAAAGAAAAACTCATCTTCGTCTTCATCGGGATCAAAAACAAGAGTTGATTCATCTAGAACACGTATAATATTTTTCTGATTTTGTTCCTTTAACACAAAAGAGAAAAAACGGTTTCAGCTTCAAACTTTTTTGAATTGTTTATTTTTCTTCTCACCATTTCTCGTCTATTAAATGGGCGTACCCGAACCACGACTTTTATAGCTACTTCTGACATTGTTCGCAGTTTATGTTAACTTAAAATATATTTTTAATTCGACTTGAATTTATCTGTAGCTCTTAAATTAATTCAACCAAACATTAAGTTAGCTTTGATGTATAAAAGCCGTTAGTAATTTTTAATCGGTTCAATTGGGGATGAGTTCATAGAAACGGTTCTTGATTTATATAAAAACTACCAAAGATTAAAAAATTAAAACGAATTATTCTATTTCTCAATTGAATTGAATTTTCAAAACAAACATCAAAACTATTAAATGTAATTTATTTTTGTAATGTTCTATCGATTTTTGATGTATTCAACATATTTGTCAACAGGAAATTATGTAAAATTTATTTTTTCAGGATGGAACATCACTAACTCAGGTATAAATTTGTTTTAATTTATAAAAAAATCTTAGAGAAACAAAAAAATGCTGAAAATTAATTTAGATTTCAGGTATATATGCAAAATAGATAACAACTAGAACAAAATTTTTAATGAATGTAAAGTAACCTTTTTTTTCTCTTTCATCTACAGTGGAGGAGCAGAAGTACTTTTTAATAACATTAAGAAACGTCAGCTATCACTTGAATCAGAAAAAAAATGTAAATAACAATATTGTATTATATACAAATGTATATGTTCAACATGATTTTTAATATTTTAGGGACCCTTAGAGACTTTCTTCAATACATGAAGGAAAATCTTCTAACAGAAAGATTAGAATTGTTTATTCAAGGTGATTCAGTGAGACCTGGAATTTTGGTTTTAGTCAATGATATTGATTGGGAGTTATTAGGTGAACTTGATTATGAAATAAAACAAAATGACAACATCTCCTTTATATCAACGCTGCATGGTGGTTGAAAATGTTAAAATTATAAGTTCAAGGTTTATTCATCCATCAAAGAATTAAATGCGTTTTATAAATAAATACCTATTATTGAAAGAAATAAAAATTTGTTATTTAAATGTAAGACTAGATTCGGACCTGCGAAAAAAATAAAAAATTTAACAAAAAAGGCGGTCAGATCGAGCCGAATTATTTTTTCTCTAACGAGGCGAAGCTCGCTTCATATGAGTTTGTTATTTTTGACGAGACGAAGCTCAACATTTTTTTTTCATTTTCATTTTGAATTTGAAACGTGTTTGTAGATAGCAAACTTGTTTATATTTTAGCTGATATTTCGGACACAGCCATTCCGATTTGAACATCAACTCTCGACCGCCCAAAGGCTGCTGTTTGCAAAACAACTAAATAAAGAACATTTGAAAAAGGAACGAGAGAAAACAGAATTTTTTTAAAGAGAAACAATATGAAAGTGAAACGAAATTATAACATAAATTTTCTTTATAATAATTTTATTTTATTTAAGTTTGAAGTTTTTTTTCAATACAAATAGGTATTAACGAATTTTTTATAAATAAATGATTTATACCTGTTCATCAATAGACGTTTTCGACAATTCTGATCAAATATTTATTTCTTCACTCGACGAATTTCAAAGTCTTGAAAACTATATTCGTTCAAAATTTTTGGTTCAGAAAATGTTGCTTTTTCAATTTTTGATTGAGGACTTCCAGTTTTTTCCAGCCAATGTCGCCTGAAATGTGAAAGGAGACTTTCGTATAAGTAAATCAGTTTGCAAAATATTTTATTTACATTTCATTATACACATTTTGAGGACCCTCGATGACTCCTTTGACAGTTCCTTCTTTTGTGTTCATGCACCAACCACGAATACCCAATCTGTTAGCCGTATCTTCAGTATTCTTTAAATAATATGATTCTTCTCATTATGATTCAATGAAGAGAAATTTTATAAAATCCCACCTTACGAAAGAAGACTCCTTAAAAATATTTATTAAAAATTTAAAAATTCAATTGTATACGTGTGCATGTTGACAACTCACCTTGCACTTTACCAAACACTTCAAACTCTGATGAGAACAGTTTAAATCCTGTCATCTCAGGTTTCTCAGTATCCTTAAAAACAATTTTATATTTCCCTTCAAGAAAGCACAGTATAACAATAAGTTTTACACAACAAACAAACTTAAACACGGATTTTAATTTGACGTTGAACATTTTGCCGACTGTTATAATTTTGATAACTTGTGTTCAATTCGAAGTGTTTCTATTGAATGACTAAAGTTACAAATGAAATGTTTTTTTCAAGTTGTATTTCCATATTTTTTATTACGTCACTCCAATTATGGTTGACAAACAATGTACAAAATTTAATAAAGATTATATGAAAAATGAATTAAAATTTATTATGTATTTAATAAATGCATCAGTTACCATTAAATATGTTCCACATAAAATTCGACTTAACTTTTAAGCCACATCATGTTAACATTCTATGATTGTTTGAAGTTTTGTAATGGATATTCATTTTTATGTTTTTTTAAATGATCTTCCATTTGTTTCATTTGCTTCTGTAAATTATCTGGGACGTCATCGTAAACGTCGGTGAACATTTCACGCCAATCATATTTTTGCTTCTTCTCCGCCTGTTGATTTTGAATCATAATTTTCTTACGAATATCTTTCACGTAATCATTCTCAGCTATTTCATCAAACCATCCTTTCTTTAACATGTAATTCTTGAGTTTATTAATTGGATGTTCAACAGTATTCCAAATTTCCAACTCTTCAGCTGGTCTATATGCACTAGAATCATCAGATGTTGAATGATGTCCTAAACGATATTGCATTGCTTCAAGAATTATGGGCTTGTTGTTTTTCAAACAATATTCTCGAGCTACTTTGGTTGCATTGTATACTGCTAATAAATCAGTTCCGTCACATCGTAAAGCAGCCATTCCATATCCATTCCCTCTACTTGATATCCCATCACCTCGATATTGTTCCTTAACTGGTGTTGAAATTGCGTAACCATTATTACGGCAGAAAAAAATTACAGGACATTCAAGTGTTGCTGCAAAATTCATCGCAGCATGAGTGTCACCTTCACTTGCAGCACCATCACCAAAATAAACAATAACACAACGATTATTGTTTGCTCTTCTTTTAAAAACATACGCAGATCCAACAGCTTGTGGTATTTGTGTTGATAGTGGACTGGAAATTGTCATAAAGTTAAGTTTTTTTGATCCATAATGTACCGGCATTTGTTTTCCTTTACCATCGTCGTCATAATTTCCATAACATTGGTCAATAAACTGAGAAATTGTGAAGCCTCTCCATAGAAGAACACCAGCTTCACGATATTGTGCATATACGAGATCCTCAGAGCTCAATGCGCAAGCTGATCCAATGTGTGACGCTTCCTCTCCAAAGTTTGTCATATAAAATGAAATTCTTCCTTGACGTTGACTCTCATATAAAATCTTGTCAAGTGCATTTAATAATACCATGTCACGAAAACATTTATGAATTGTATCTTTATTCAGCTTAGGATCTTGACTTTCATGTAAAATATTTCCTTCGGGATCCATAACACGATAAATTGGAATTGGATCGTAGTTTTCTGGCATTATCATCGTTGGTTTTGTTATGAATTGTGCATCTCGTACGCCAGGAAATAAGGTTGGAAAAGTTTCATTATAAATAATTTGCGATGTTGAAAACTAAAATTGAAAAGTATACTTTCAGATGAAACATTTTCATTAGGAATGAATAATTTATATAATTTTACCTTAACATGACTTATCCATGCTTTTTTAAGCATTAAATTGAAACTACGGCTCAACATATTCTGTGAAATTAAATAAAAAAAACTTTAAATTTGATTAAAAACTGAAACGTCGTGCGATTTCTTATCAGAAACTAACATGAAATGAAACTGTCAGCTGACTGAAAATGAAACGCGTATAATGTGAGGGAAATTTTCAGATACAGATTTGCCTCAATCTGTCTTATTTTCTCCCTTTCCATATTTTGAATTTCTTATTTATTAAGAATTATATATTATCTTTGCCATCCAATAGAACTCTAGATGTTTCCGAAATTTTTCAATATGTATACAATTGAAAAAACTCTTTTAAATTTATTCATGCAATGTATCTTTGGAAGATGGAAGATTTACAACAAGATAGAGACATTAATACTACATTTTTTTCTGGATTTAAACGTGCGTTCCAAACAGTTAACCGTGAAATTCTTATCGAAATCAACTGAAAATCATAGGATTCGATCCTAGGTAGTGCTATCAGATGGTTCCAAAGTTATGTCTGTGAGCGACAACAAAACATTAAACTCGAAAAAGTCTTTTGAAAGAAACTAATGGTATGGTACCATCAAATAAATGTAAATTGAAGTTTCTATGCAACAGATATAAGGATGCCAACTTGACTGTTGATAATCCATCATAGCAACATGTAAATATATATCATAAAAATCATTTTTTACGAAAACATCTCATGATGTCATATTCAAATTTATATGAACATCTGCGTTTGTTGTTTCATTTTACCCTTTTGCTACGTACACGAAAATCTATAATGATACCGTTTTGGAAAAACAAATCGTAGCATTCTAGTAAATGTATTGAACACGTGCCATGGAAGCAAGAAAGTTCGGAAGGACAATAAAGTTCTGAGTGACGGTGATATCATTTTAAAGCCGTTCAACTTTCAAGAAATGTTTTTTACAAACCGTTTTGTGCCATCAAATAATGAGTGACAAGGGACATGATGATGAATAAATAAAAAAAAATTACGTACAATCGGATGTCAAGAGCTGAAAAGTAGGAAAAGAATCCAATTTCAAACGATGACCTTTCTATTCCGTTATTGAGAAACGGATGAAGTACGGAAGAAACTTTTTGAGGATTTTTTTTTTAATTTTAATTGCATGAGAGCCTAAAAAGCTAAATAATGATATTTTTGAATGATTTGAATCGTGTCAAGAATGCTCTGTACTTTAGGAATCCTTGGAATCATTGAATGTTTTTAACGAGATATTAATGTTTTTCGGCCAAAATGATAATTTAGGAAGAAGTATCATAAATTTTAAAGAAAAGCAGTTCAATGTGAATAAATAATAGTCGATTTTATTGCAAGTGTCTCTGGTTTGGTTCATTCAAGATTTACCCTAAAATAAGTAAGAAAACTTCAATGAATACAAAATAAGTTGCTGGAAAGTGAAAGGTTCCACTCTTTTCTAATCTAAATAAACCTAAAGAGAAAAGGTACTCTTACTTAATAACAATTTTAATATTAATATATATATATATATATTCAAAATGAACACTTGACTGCGATCGCTTTCGTTTTATTCAAAAATTAACAACTCTAGCTAGAAATTTGTCGTTTTCTTGAATTTTAATTAGTGATACTTGAAAATGTTCTGTAAGCACATAGTGAGTAAAGTTTTCATTTTAAAAGCACATTTAATTTTTATATTTAATGTCTTGCTAAAAGCTAGAAGCTAAAAAGACAACGACACAATTCAGATCTTTTTTTTCAGTTTTGTTTTATGGGTAAAGGGAAGAATTTTATTGAAAGACGCAAATAAAAATAATAACATAGCAATGTGAAAAGTGAAAGTTGAAGGTAAATGGTAGAAGGTGAAAAGAATTAGGCAAACATTTTCTTTTAAACCTTTTTCAAATTTCAAGTTAGTTCAGAAATTGGGAAGAAATGGATTCAAAGAGAAATTTCAACACTTTTACTTGGAGATGTTTGTATTAAAACACATGTCATGGATACACGTCAAAAACTTTTGCTTTTGAGAAAGGTACATTTCGAGCCTTTTCAAGTTTTCATATCTTGTGTGTGAATAAAGGAGTTTGCACTCGATTTACGGATTCGATTCTCGTGAGAGCCAATCTATTCTTTGTAAAACTTCACATCTAATCAAAGAGCAATACAAGTGCCTTTGTTGGCTGCCTCATTAAACAATAGCCAATTTCCAACAATTTGCTTAGTTTTACTTGAAATTTGTCTGGTGCCGTTTTATGTCAATGGTGCTTTTGCCGGCTAATTTTTTTCGATGTATGAATTACCCCTTGCATTTAATGGAGCAAATTCCATCACATACCTATTTTAATTCAACTGAGAAAATATGAAAAAGACGGTTTTGGGGGAGAGATTTATTTTTCTCCTCTACAAAAAATACAGATATTAAATATATAAGATTCTCCGTTTATTTGACATAGATATGTAGTATCCATTTGAGGCTTGGACAATTGTTCTGAAATTTATTTATTGACCCAGATATATAATAGGATCCGTAAAAATAATTACCTACGCAATTATATCAAATAACAGGTGAATAAATTCACATTTAAAGAAAATTGTCCCAAAGGAGGATTTGTTACGTGCGTTGCTGAGATCCTTCCGCTGTCTAACTTTTCTCTTTGTTGAAAGTCTCACAGTGTAATTGTTTGTTGTTTTAGTAACGAAGCATACAACAAAGTATTTTATACAACTTTCAACATTGTAAATAAATTGTATCAGTAAGGCTTCTTAAAAGTATTTTACATTGAAAGTGGAATTGCAGAATTTCAACTCCATAAAATGAAAAATCTACGAAGTTTCAATTTTCCTAACAATTAACTTCAATTATACTCCCCCCCCCCCTTTTCCCAATTTTCACCTGGGATAGTACGCAAACAAGTCAACAGATGATTTCAATGTCATCATATCACCGTCCAATTATGAGTTCATAAAAATTTTAATTTATAGATAATCTTTGTTCACAAACAATGCCAAAGAGTAACTGTTAAAGAAAATTGAAAAAAGTATCTTCATTTTCCCTTCACGATAAATTCTCTGAAATAACAGATGTGGCATAATCAAGAAAACCAAAAAAAAAAAAATAAGACCTATCTTACATAAGAACTTTTCATGCCAATAATATTCTCGACTCAAGAACACGGAGAAAAATTTATTAAACTTCATTTTTAAAGCTTCATGAATCTTTGGGTGAGTAAAGCTAAATATAATTTTTTTACATGTTTGTTTTTTTCTTTTTTTCTTCTTTAGCATGTTCAATTATTTTTGCGATGCTTTAACGCATACAGTGTTATCTCGTTCATAAAATATTCCACTCGTTCACTTGAAAACAAACATTTTATTTTGTATTTAAGATGCATGAACGTCAGTCTTCCACAAATTTATATTTTTGCTAAACATTAATCAATATCATTTTTTGATTTTTTCCTGATTTTTTAAAGTTACTGTGCGTTATTGTTCTTCATTTTTAAAATTTTTGAAATTATTTTTCCACTGTAAACTTTTATGAAGAAAAAAAAAAATACATGTTAGCAGCACCTAAAGTTGGAATGATGAGATTTACCTTCGTTTACCTGTAGGAATCTTTCCTTATTTCTCCATGGATGAACTCATTTTAAATCTCAAATTTAAAAATCATAGCATAGGCATCAGTAAAATGAGAGGAAAAAAAGATGTCAATGATTTGAAGTTTGTTTTTTCTTTTTAAAATCTTTTTTTGAAATATTTTCATTATAAATTCCAATAAAAATGATTTTTCCGATTTTCATTATATAATAATGAGAAATGTTAAAAGCAGGTAATAACGCGAAAACTTTCTTCTTAAATAAGATTTGTTTTTTCTTGTTATAAGATGTTTGATAAAATAACATTATCAAACATAACAATCAATGATTAACATTAATTTAATAATTTATATGAAGCCATTTTTTTTAATGCCATTTACAAAATGCATGTGTTGAAATATCAGCTCCACTTCAGTTCAAGTTTTAATTTTTAGAAATATTTAATTCTTTTCAAAAATTTTGAATACATTTATCTAAATATGCTAAAAAATGGTTGGCTCTAATATTAATTAATCAATATTTCAGATACAAAAAAATTAAATTTTAATTAAAAAGTTTTAAAGCTTCCGAAATAAATAGAAGAAATGAAAAAAAATTAGGGTAAGAATATTTAAAAGCTTTTACTCGTTTACTTATTTGTTTCCTTTTTTTAGCTAAATTCTTTAAGACTTCATGACGTCATTTATGAATTTATGTTGAGTAATAAACGATATTATACACGTTTATAAATTATTCAACTTCTTGTATTAACCATACATTTTTAAACCACAAGAGCATTAACAAAAAGCTAAAAAATTGGACAAGAACTTTCGTCAAGAACTGATACTTGTTGTTGTAGACTCGGAAGATGAGATATTGTATCCAATGTTTTCAGATTTTTCTCGTGACAATTTTTCTTCTTCGCATTTTTCCTCCCCCAACGAAAGCAAAAAACAGAAGTTGAAAAATGTCACCACATAAAAATATATATTTATGTCATCCTTACGAACCTCCCCATCCTTTTAGTTATGGTGCTAAGTACACATGCTCGTGAATACATATTTTAAGCTTTTCCTTTTCCCATTTAACATGTAGAAACATTCCACGTTTCAATGAGTCTAAATGGCTTTTTAAGAGCAACGAAGAATAAGTTTTCTATTCTTCTTGTTTCTGCTTTATGCTGAACAAAAAAAAACCAAATATAAATAGATTTTTATGCTGGTAGATTAAAGCTGTAAATATTAGATGAACAATTACAAAAATACTTATTTACATCTTTGAAAAGTTTTCCTTTTTTTCTATATCATTTTCTTTAAGTTCAAAGCTGAATCGTAGTTAGGCGTATATTAATTAGGTAGATAACAATCTCGTTAGTTTATTGAAATTATTCTTGAAGTACCTACATGTGAAGTTAAAGATGTATTAATATTGAAAATTTGACCTTGATATTCAAAAGCGAAACAAATCTGTTTGATAAAAGAATAATTTCCAAAACAAGAATTAGTTTAATTCCGCACAAGAGTGTTAAGAAGCATAAACACATTTCATTCTTCGCTAACGTTCAGTGGCAAGCTGTGATATTTGATTCGAATCTTATGAATGAGAATTTATTTTTTTAGGAATTTATGTTTTTATAAGAAAGATTATTAAAATTAAAATTCGTCCAACCGTTTTTCTGTCGCTATCGGAATCTACATTTTGTTCATGTTCGACAAATTTTCGTCTCTTTTTAGATGTAACAAAAAGAATAAAAATACTCTCCCCCATAATGCTCGGAAAACAAAATACAGTAAACCCTTGATATCGAGTGCATGTTGTATTTATCAAGGGAAAATGTTTTATGAAATAAATTTTGCTTCAGAATTCGAGTGTTTGCAAGCAAGAAAGCAACATACTATTGAGTGACTTGTTGTATCGATAGTATGTTATATCAAGGGTTCACTGTACTTCTTTTTCATCTTTTATAAAAACAAACGCCACGCATTCTCAATTTTTTTCTCATTTCATCTGAAGATGAAGTGAATGTTATCAAATTTCTTTATGAGCATAAATATATTGAAGCTTTAAAAAGGAAATGGGTTCATATCAACAAAAAATTAAAGATTTTTCTTAAATAGAATTGTTGCAGAATAAAAAAAGATATATAGAAATAGTGTCATTACCAAACTGTTAACTTCTGCTTGACTATTAACTGCTAGCTTCTCATTCAATTTAGCATAGAAGCAGCATGTCGTTTCGTTTCCCACGTAAATTTTATTTAATTTATTACCGTCGAAGATATGAAACCAAAATAGTATACTTTAAGAAACTAAGTATCCATTTTGATTATTTTTCAGAAACTCCCAAAAATCCCAAAAACTTGATAACTGAATTAATTGTAAATAAGGTCTGAAACACTTAAATGTGAAAGGATATTTTATGTATAGGCACATTGATTGCTTTCAACCCACTTCGACAAAAGTTAAATCCATCAAAATCCATTTCTCAATTTCCATAAATATTTACCAGATGTGTGGAATGAATTTTTTATTTTTATGATGTAATTTATGAGACCACCCGAAATAAATTTCAATTGGAACAAATTGGATGGTCTAGAAAAAAAAAGATAGAAACATCTTTACTCTTTTTACTTATGTTCGAGAATTTTTTCCAAAAAGCAACTTTTTCAATTCTCCTAAGAAAGGAATTATAAAGTAGATACCTAAATAATATGCAAATCATGTGGCAGTGGCTGGTGTTTACGAATCTTATGTGTTTTCATTTGAATTTTTGTCAATTTGAACTGAAGTTTTAAAAAGTTTTGACATAATTTAAATTTTTCCTGTATTAAAATTGATAAATAGAGTGGAAGATAAATTATAGAACTGAAATTTTAAATATTTAATAGTTATCATATGGTGCGCTACCGTTAATCTTCAACGTTATTAAAATTTCAAAAGAATATTGTTAAAATTATTTATGTTTTCTTATCGTTTTTAGCAAGGTTTTTAGTATATTTAATTAATGTACTATTTTTAGAAAATAACAGAGGTTGAAAAAGTTAACCGGTATTACGCTTTTGTTTTTATTTTTAGTGCTTTCAGAAATTGAATATAGCCATTTTCAATAAAGTTTCTTTAAGCATAAATTTCCATGAAAACAAACATAAGTAACAAGTTAGTCCAACGCAAACGTTATATCGAAAACATATAAATCCATAAAACCGTAAAAGGAATAATATATGTATATATGTTGAAAATCAAGCGAATAAGAAATCGTGTTTTGTATTTATCTGAGGCTTATGCTATACTATTACCCTTGAAATGTTGAAATATTAAATCAAATGTCTGTTAAGTTATTTATTATAAGTATCACAACATGGGATTCAGGGTGAAACATCGGCTTCCAAAAAATTTCTAGTCGATGTGGCTTTTTTTTTTTTTTTTTTTTTTTTT